TATTTAATTTAAAAGATATATCTGAATAATATACCTAAATAATAATAACTTATACTAAATAAACATAATAACCAAATCATATAAATACCGAACAATATAAATATGCATAAATATACCATATGCGTCATAAAAAGGGGCATGAATGTACAGAAAACATTTTACTTTATTTTTTACAGAGATTACGTGACCAAGTCCTTTTTACCGACTTATTTTTTAATTTTAAATTTTAATTCATCCAAAAATTACTTAAGTTTAAAAGGCTCGTATGTAAAAGTTTTTCCTTTAAGGGCTTAAGCACATTATATTAGCATATAATATTTTTTATTGCAATGTTTGCACTGAAATTTTTCGCATTTTCCCCCATCTATCATGAGGTTTGGTTTATTGGTACAACATACATTTGCAGGTTTGTGTGATCAATTAAGGCTTATGAACCTTTGCCAAGTAGAAGAGCAGATAGCACAATACAGAGAAGGACATCACAAAGAATACATTCAGGGTTACGCGGGATTCGAACCCGCTACCTCCACGCTTAACAGAGCGTTTGGCGGGTGATACAGCTCTGCCAGGGAGGCCCCTATCATGAGAATTAGGTTATCAAATATTGTCACGTAGCTTAACTATAAATGAAGCTTTCCCTCATTAGGCAGACAAAAATTAAATCAAATCTGAAGTAATGTAATCAATGAAAAATGTAAGTCGAACATATGTTACAAGCTGAGAATCATTTTTTTTGGTCTTTAGTCATTGCATATATATAATAACATAAATATTAAATCTACGCTGTGGGTATGGTGGATCTACTTCGCTGACCACGACTTTTGACATGCTTCGTTTCCCTCATCTAAAGCTAAGAGCCAGATCGAACTACTCTCTCTTCCATTGCTACGATCTTGGGTTCATGGTTTCACAGCCAGGGAAGGTAGGTACTTTATTTACATCGCGCTAGAGCAGCACAATGGGTTATTGGCGACGGTCTGGGAGGCATCCCTGAAGATGATCCAAAGACGTGCCATCACAATTTTGATCCTTTGCAGAGGGGAGTGCTCACCCGGTTCCTTAGCCTGACGATCTGCACTTGAAGTTGATCACTTTACTGTAGAACAGTTCTACGAGGACAGATACCGCACACCCTCTGTCGCAAAGCAGGCTGATCAAAGTGGTCACCCACCCGCTTACTGACAGCAGCCAATGAGACTGGACTTCAAGGTTTTACTGGGAAGCGTGTTTTTACAATCAGCCTTCTGCGGGACCACAGGCATAGAAATACACACCTAATTGGATGGTTGAGGAGCGTAGTAAGTAAACTGGATTACTACTGCCATCATCTGCCCTTCAATATTAATTGTGTTAGAGTGCGCATGCTCCAGTATTGTTTCTGGATCGTCATTCAACTTCATCTTCGAGTTTGGTATCATTGGATAGCTCTTAAAAAATATTAAATGGGTCTGTTTTGTTGTTTTTTTTATACGATACAGATTTTTCGAGATATTTTTTGACCATTTCTGAACTTTTTTTACACCCTGTAAATTGAAAAGTCAAAGAAGATTAAAAAGCAAAAAAGAAATAAATATCAACTCTTTCATTAGTATTCTCTAAAAAAGATGAAAAAGTTATATTAAAAACGCCTGAGATTTGGGAGAGAAGTAGTGTCTTTCCACTAAATACTCTCAAGCATGAAAACAGCTGGTTCGATTTCTGCATGTATTGTTTATATTTAGTTCCTCTGTTAACACTTTATATTTTTAGATGCTCTTTTATTATTTATGTTCTGTACTTTTCAATTTCATAAAAGCTTATCAGACGATCTAACAAAGTCAGAAGATTTGTGTACGACTGAATAAGAACTTAACTCCACACAAATCTGCATATTTATAAATTATAAATCAAAATTTCGACGAATAATAATATTGACGAAAAACGATCTGTAAAAGATTACGAATAATTACGAACCAAGAATTAAACTTATTGTATTGTTTTTGAGCAGTTAGGGTTAATCCTTGTATTTCAAGCGTCTCCGTATCATATAAGGTCCCGCAGTGGACTGATCGATAAGACACGGTTCCCAGCAGATCACCGAAGTCAAGCATCACTGGCTGCGGTCAGTGTGCGGGTGGGTGACCACTTGGATCAGTCTGCGTAGGGACCGAGGGTGTGCGGTATTGGTCCTCGTTAAACTGTGCTACCGTAAAGTGCTCGACTTCGCGCGCAGGTCGTCGGGCTACCGAAGCGGGGGTGCCATCCCCTCCGCAGAGGATCAAAATTGTGATGGCATGTCTTCGGATCATCCTCCGGGATGTTTCCCAGACCGTCGCCAATAGCCCATTGTGCAGCTCTAGTGCGACGTAAATTAACAACAGCAACAGCAACAGTATCATATAAGCCAAGTAAACAATTTCACGTCCAAAATGGTTATTTTAGAAGAACATGATCGTTGCAAAACTGATTGACTTTTAAAACTTTTAATTTTGTTCCTTTGGCTATAAGTGAACAATTGAAAATAAGTGTTTTACGAAATAAAAGATTGGGATATAATTTTTTTTATCTACGTCAACAGAATTTTATCTATCAATATTTTGACAAAAAAATTCAATGGTTCAATATTTTGACAAGGTAGATAGGTTTTTTATTTACGTCGTGCTAGAGCTTCACGATAGGCTATTGGCGACGGCCTAGGAAACATCCCTGAGGATGTTCATCCACTGTTGAGGGGATGATCCCTCCACTTTAGTAGTCCAAATACCTGCGTGGGAAGTTAAGGACTTTATGATAGAACACTTAAACGAGAACCGATAACACCCTCGGTCCTTACTCAGGCTGATGAAAGTGGTCACTCACTCGCTTGTTGACCGCTGTCTGTCTATACATATGCAGGCCTGTGCTGTAATTACAGAAAAGAACTTATGAGACCTATTTGATTTGAAGAACAAATTATAAAATCTGTTCTTCAATGAAAAAAATACCTCAGTTAAGAAAGTTACTCTGCAAATGGGAGAATGCAACTTCATCATTAAAGCCTAAGCTAAATTTTCTAAATTTAGAAAAAGCACTGCCTATCTGACCGACTGATCTCGAAATTCCTCCAAACGCTCTGTAGAGTACTGCGGTTGAAGCTTAAAATATATTTTTGTGATGTCCTTCTCAAAATTGAACTATATGTTTTCAGCTTAATGCTTATAAATCGTAATTTATGCCTGCATATGTATTAATAACAAGATATAAATAAATATTAAAAAACATTCTTTTAAAAAATATATTTATACTAAAAAGCTCTGGGTAGATAGAGAACTTAAACAAACAATTTGTGAAATTCACCATTATTATTTTTCACCAGATTCTTAGAAAAATGAGCTTAAGGTTGGTTATTTTAACATAGACCTGAACCAATGACCTTCTCAGTCACAATCCAATGCCTCTATTCTTTATTTACAGGCAAGCATACAGACAAGCTTGTGTTCTAAAGTAGGCAGGTGATACTGATCAGATAGGGATACCCCCGATATCTTCATGTCCCGCAGTGGACTGATCGTTAAGACACGGTTCCCAGCAGATCACCGAAGTCAAGCATCACTGGCTGCGGTCAGTGTGCGGGTGGATGACCACTTGGATCAGTCTGCGTAGGGACCGAGGGTGTGCGTTATTGGTCCTCGTTAAACTGTGCTACCGTTAAGCGCTTGACTTCGCGTGCAGGTCGTTGGGCTATCGAAGCGTGGGTGCCATCCCTTCTGCAGAGGATCAAAATTGTGATGGCATGTCATCGGATCATCCTCAGGGATGTTTCCCAGATCGTCGCCAATAACCCATTGTGCAGCTCTAGTGCGGCGTAAATGAACTACAACTACAACCCCAATATCTTCATATTGCCGTCATTCAGATACATATTTTTAAACGCATGTAAACTCTTCCTTTTTTCTCATTCATTTATTCATACTACCCAGTTAAGAAAAGAAAATCACAGACTGTGGCACAAAACGTTGCAAGTTCGTACCCTACAAGAACAACTAGGTGAGCAAACTCTTAATTGATGAAAGGCAAGCTTTATAACGCAGAAATCCAAAGGCTTGTGCACTTCATCAAATTCTTTGATTTATTGGTAAAACATGCAGTTGCGTCTTGTGTGCTCAATTAAGGCTTAAAAATCATTGTTAAGTGGAAGGACATCAGGAGTATCAGCGGAATTCGAACCCGCTACCTCCACGTCACGAACATCATTTGGCGAGCGATACCACTGGTTCATAGAGGTTTCTTAATCTCTTTGACAGATCTAGAAATAGATTAAGTAATATTACGGCAATCCTTAAAAAAGTCCTCCGAAGGCAAAGTTCTCCCAACACTTGCTCTAGGAGTTCCCTTGCCTTCTGGATTGGGTGCAAAATTACAAGGTTACAGCGTTGAACATTAGTAGTAATAAGGACGTAAGCCCAAAAAAAGAGAAATAAATACGAACTCCGCACTCGGCTCGTCTTGACCACTGTGCTGTCGTAAAATACTCTCAATGGTAGACAAATCATGGGTTAGAATCCCCTTGCTGTCAGGCTAATCGTGGAAAGTTTTCATGGTTTTCCTCTCCATGTAACGCGGACAGTTCCATCAAAAAATCCTCCATAAAGGCAAATTTTTCCCAATGCTTGATTTAGGAGTTTCCTTGTCTTCTAGAATGGGTTTAAAATTACGAGTCTACGTAGTTAAACATTGTTAGTCGTGAACTCAAAATTGGTTCAGCCTTTCGACAACGGTGATGAAATAAAAATTTATGATGGTTTTTCTTTTCGGTTTATGTGGGAATCGAACCTGGTGCCTTTATAAGCCAAAGTGTTTGATTGAAAGAAATTTCCCTTCATCTACAGGGGCTCTTATTCAAAGTCTTATGAATTTTACCTCTTTTTTATCGCCATTCCACCAAACGCTCTGAAGCGTGGATGAAGTTTTCGAATTCCACCGTAGCCCTAGATATATTTTTGTGCGTCACTGTACTTTTGTACTTCGCGTATCTGTATCTGTTTTTCAGCTCAACAAAAGTTTATACGCATGTATATGTAATTAAAAAATAAATAAATGCTTTTCTCAAACTTATTTCACAACTCATCGGAAATACAATGATATGAAATGATTTTAAAAAAGCAGTATCCTTGGTGTAGTTCTAGTGAAAAATTCAACATTGAACTGGCTGAAGACATGTTTTTCTCAAAAGAACTGAAAAAACTGTTTAATCCGTCTGACATAGGTTAATCTTTTGAGTTGATCAAATTCAGTCAGTTCCAGTTTCATGATTAGAGTTGTGAGTTGGTAAACATCCATGCAATAGCAACAGAAGTGTTCCACTGACCGGAGAGTATCGTCTGTTCTACTTTCGCCTGCGTGTTAATTGGCTTATCAGATCTTCGCGCAGAAATCAAAACAGAAGTAAAGTTTACTTAAAATTGCAAGAATGAATGTAAGTAAAAGAAATATTTAAAATTTATGTTTCTCCAGTAAAATGAATCTATAAATAAATTAACGAAACTTGCTTTTAAAACAAAACACATTTAATGTTTCATTACTTTTACGGAAACATTTCATGCTAACTCGTATTAACCAAAGCATTAAATGCTTACTATTATTAACTTTTTTATAATATGTTTCAATTTCATGTTCGAAAAACTATTTATGTTTTTTGAAACTAAATATTTTTTTAGCGTCTTAGGTTTTATAAAATGTTGTATTTAAGAATAAGTAACTTATAACAGTAATCGTTAAACCAGGTTATTTTGTAACAAGTAAGGTGGTTTAAGAATGCTCAGATTTTCTGGAGTTAAAAGGCTTCTAATAATATTGAACGTAAAGATATTTTTATATATATATATATAGTATTAACCGGGTCCGAATCTCACAAAACGACAATTGAGAATTCGAATTTGTAATTTTAACTTAATGATTCGAATTTTTTTGAAATTAGAATAAAATTAATAAAAGAAATTATTTACCTGCAAAATTATTAATCTCTCCTTTAGCGGTAATTTTTTATTCTGTTTCACTGTTTAATTTTTTTTTTTTTTTGTTCGATCAGCAATAAGGGCATACCTTTCTTCAGCAGGAATGATTCGGTAACAGATTTCACCAAGGAAATATTAAAGCTCACTTGAAATAGAGACACACACAAAAATTATCAATTTTTTTAATTGTAAATTAAATTGCACAAATATTATGTGAAAAATTGCAATCTTAGAATGGGCTGTGTCTTTTCGTTTTCAAAATGTGAGGAGCTGTTCTGTGGTCCCTGGCTTCTTCTGCTGCCGACGGAAAACTTTGCAGAATCTCACCAGAAGTACAAATTTACGGTATTATTACAGATAACTTATCTAACGTATATTTTATTTATTGATTACAACCTTAACTACTTTTATCTTTTTTTTATATATCATGAAAACCAATAATTTTGCACTTTGGTGACTTAATGGCAGTTTTTAGTGAAGTGCTGATCAATAATGAAGGTAATAATCATGATTTAGATGACAAAAGGATGTAGCCAATGTTTATTCTGTTGTATAATAATAAGAAACCGTTATATCTCTCAGTTTTGCCCTGATAAACAATAATATTGCATTTTAGACAGACTTTTAGGCAAACTTTGGTTACATATTTATCAATAATGAAAGCAGTGATCAGGATAGAGAAAACAAAATAACCTATAGTCCATGTTCATTCTGATTTCAACACATTGGTAGCCGTTAACATAATTGAAATAACCTGAGCCGATGGATAAACACAAAATTAACAATGTTTTTCGGCATTTTTACTCAGTATCTTAGCAAATTGTACCCTAGGAAATATGTTTGCATCTGTTTTTATTCAAGCTAAACAATTGTAAAAATATTCCACATTGTCTAAGTTTGTTTGATAGAAGATAAATTTAAGTTTTTTCACTTCTAACTAAAATTTCGAATAATTTGTTCGATGCTGATTTCAATGTTAAAATAATAGTCAAATAAATAAATAAAATAATTCAAATAAATAATAAAATAGTCAAATTAAAATAATAGAAAATCAGCTTTAGGGTGTACAGAAACATTAATAATCTGTTCAAAAAAAAATTTCCATTAACCATTCTATATGCATTTTTGACAGAATAAATTATTATTTAATGCTTTTAGATAATACAAATTGTTTTTAAACCAGATTATTTTCAAAAAGTTTCTTTTTTATAAAATGCATAGAAAAATGAAGAATCTGTATCCAAAAAAGAATTTTGTGGAAAAGTATTTTAAGTAAATTATTTTGAGTAATGTTATGTTTATAGGCTATCACAACATGTTCTTAAATGTCGAAACAGAATATTTTAAAAATGCCATCTAATACATTTCTCTCATTGCTATTTGAATAGTTTATTAAAAGAACGTATTAGAAGAAATTTTAGTAAATTTATAAAAGTTAACTTTCGAATGTGTGTTTATAAAACATTTTATTTAGAAAAATAATTGCTATACGGCCGATATACAATTATATGTTTGACAATTTAATAACGTAGTAAATAGATTCTCCTCGAGAGTTATTACATTATGAAAATGTGCCGTGTTAAAGAAAGCTTTTCATGTCCACTAGTAAAATAAGCGTGGTTACAGTTTTCAGTGACATAAACAGTCTCCATTACCTGATCTTAATATTTCTTCTACTAACATCTGAAGAACTTAGTAGAAGAACATGTTAATTAACAATAAAGTGAATGATAGAATTCAGATTTAGAATACATAGAATTCTTAAGATTCTGCACAACAAAATCGAATCATCTTTTTGGTGGCGAACTACTCGATATAAATTTTTTCAGAATAAATTAATGCCATATGTCGAAACACTAAAACTTCTTATTATGTTTTTAAATCCACTAAGATTTTGAAGTTTTATATACGCTTTAGTGTAAGAATTATGAAAAGCTAATGCATTATTTAATATTTAATTTTTCCTTTCAGTGGCTAGTGTTTCATAATTATGATTACAGTGATAGAAAATTCGAGATGTCTAATCCCTACTCAGGTATGTATTTTGTTATAATACAATTTCTAAAAATAAAGACTTTCACATTACTTTTTTAACAATCATTAAGGATGAATCCCAAATCAGTAGCTCCTAAAAGGCGAGAGGGTTTATGGAAGGGGCCATAGGGGCTCCAAGACCCTGGACTTTTTCTTTTAACCAATTACGATTTTCGAAGCAATTATCTTTACATACTCCCAGTAATCCGTAATTCAATTTATATTTTGGTTGTTTATATGAAATTATTTATACGTTACGTCAATGAAAAGAATAGTAAAATTTTAAACAATATTTTTTTTAATAATATGTATACATCGAATATATTACGAAACAGATTTGCTTTAAAAAAATTTCATCGGTATTTCTTATTCGAATTTTTTCAAAATAAAATAACCAAATTAATAGCCATGTTTCCCTAATAACCATTCTCAATTTTTTTTCTTCGAAACCTATTATAATCATGTTCTGCTTATGCCTACATCAAGAATAAATTCATATGCTGCACCAGTATTTAATGACTATAGGATGAAAATATTTAATTCTCAACATTAAATATTTTTAAAATAACAAGTAGTTTTTCTTTGGTTAGTGCAGTGCGCAAAATAATAATCGACCAACCAGAATAACTTCTGGTCTAATGATCGGATTTTCACGTTTTAGAACTCAATCTTAAAGGTTTGAGGGGATGATCCCAAATATGCTTAGTAATTAGCGCAGATGATATTTTAAGTTACGAAATCAGACACAAAAATGCACTTTCTCTGAATAAACATACATTTTTTATTGATGAATTCGGATTTCTGACCCCAAAAAGTAGGGGGCGGTAATCTGGAAAATATGGTCCTCGTAGTTTGATCAGGAGAGCGATCCAAATTTTGAAGCTCTTTATGTTAAATTCTACTTTTTGGGTATTTCGCCAAATCTCGCGAACTCGAGCAAATAGAAAATATTTTGCACACAATTATAAAATTCGTTTATATTAATAAAATTTCATGTAAAAAATAAATTTTAGTAAATATTTATTACTTTACTTAATAACATTCACGACTTTTAATGAACTTTATTTCTTAAGTAGTTGTTCCGATAAAAGAAACTCGATCATTAAGAGTTCCACAGAAAAATTGGGAACCACTGACTTAGTAATTTCCTCAATATTTCCAATGGAATTCGCAATTCTTTTCAATATATCCCTAAAAATCTATATAAATAGTTTTTAATTATCAGCTTAATTAATTCATTTGTTTATGTATTGCACTAAATATTTCTTGGCTTAAATTCCAGCAAGATACTTTAAGATAAACTTTTATCTTAAAACTAGCCTCAAATTATGAAGTTCCTTATCTCTAAAAAAATCTTAAATAAACTTTGATCTTTTAACACTGCAATTATGATCCGCCTTCTCTGCTTCTCTTATCACTTTTTTGACGTAATGTTTATTACAGTTGTATTTCCAACAATATACATCAATTGAAGGATGAATTAGTTAAAGTCATTTCACCTGTTTTGTTTAATGTTTTTTTAAGTGCTAAATAATTTCACTGATTTTCTTGGTAAGTTTCTAATTACTCTATTTCATGTAACTTTAAACTATTCAAAGGTTACTTTTCCCCCCTCATTGTAGATTTAATTAATAAATCGTATGAAAAACGAGCAAGAGTTTCAGATTTAAGATATTTTTGATCGGTATAGTTCGAAAATTACTATTTTGTAGATTTATATTTTTAAAAGAAAATTAGGATCCCTTTGTAAAGTATTAACAACTTTTTTTAATATTATCTGTTCTCTACAACATATTGGTAGAATACTTCAAAAGTGATTTTTTTTTCATTTAAAATTACCATTTGGAAGAGTTATATTCTTAATAGAAAATAAAAATAAATAACTGTAAATTATAAAGTTACTTTATTTATTTAAAACTGTGTTTATTTAAAACTGTGTATTATCTGTAGTAAAGCATATTTTGAAAATAATTGCTTGAAAATTGTTTATCTTTCACATAAATTTGCTATTTTTAAGCTTTATTCCTTTAATAGAAAATAATAATGATTTTCTTTGCAATTTATGATTTTTTTGCATTGAAAATGCTCTTTTTTTTCAAACAGTGTAAGTCCATTTTGAAAAGAGTTGTTTGAGAATTATTCTTTTTCAAATAAAGTAACTAAGTCGAAGAGTTATATTTTTAATCGAAACAAACTACTTCTTTGTAAATGATAAAATACTTTTTTTTTAATATTTAAAGTTTTAATTGCTTTCTGTAGACATTGTGAAGTATATTTTTGAAAATATTCCTTGATTTTTTTTCAATAAAATTACCATCTTGGAGATTTATATCATTCCTAGAAAATAAAGATTCTTTTATAAGTTATTAAAAATTGTTTTTGAATGTTTCCTTATTTCATAAGTTGAAGGATATTTTTAAAAGAATTATTAGAAAAGTGTTTCTTTTTTTTGAATATAAAAGATAGTTTAAATATATTTTTTATAATTTATTGTTTAAAATGCTTTAATCAACATTTTGAATTTAATTTCTGCAAATTACAAAACTATAGCATATCCTCTATAACATAATACAAAATTTAAAATTAGTACTTAAAACATTTTTCAAGTTGCAAGGAATATTTTAAAAAATAGATAATAAATCGAAATTTAATTTATTTGTCTTGATCAAAAAGGCAATGCCCATTCTGCCCAGTTATATGGGCTTATAAATTAATATTTTTATATTACATATAATTACATTATATATAAAATTATTTGCATTAAATACAACAATGCTAATTGAATTGATTTAAAACATAAAAATAGCTTTTGTAAAACTTATCAATTCTTTGAAAAAAATTGGATTTTTGAAATTACTAACTGAAATTGTTTGCATATGTTATCAGTGTTTTATATTGCAATAGAAGTTTTAAATATCACAGAATAAAAGTTAAACTTGTTATTCAGAATTTAAAAATAAATTAGTGTTATAATTAAAATTATATTTAATGAATAATAATATCAAATTACTTTTTTTATTTTAAATAAATTAACAATATTATTTAAAGATTTGTTTCAAACCGGCCAGCAGTTTTTCACATTCTGGTAATCGTATTGAAATTTTCAAAACTACATATTTTATTCTTTAGCAGATGTAGAAGTAGATTTCCAGGTTACAAAAATGAATAGTAAATTAAAAATATTTGTGTTAAAAATGCCATCAGTTTTCTTTATTGAGGTATAAGTATTTTAAATATTACTCTAATCTTTATAACATTATTACATTATTTTCTTTATTTTAAAAGTAACTTAATTTAAACTCCTAGTATTAAAATTTCTACATATTGATATAATAATATATTCTNACCAGATGGTAAATTACTTTCGATTATCCTTAGGTCACTTTGTCACTTTTAATTACAAATCGATTATCTTTAGGTTTTCAAATTAAACTAAATCTTAAATAGTTTACAAACTAAGGTAGACAACGTTAAAGAGCACAAAAACATATATTCAAAAATATAAAAATATATAAAAATATAAATAAATATTTTTTATTTCTTAAATAGTTTGTTTTAAAAATAATTCAGCTCTTTTGCATTTTGTGATAAAGATAATATATTTGCAATTTTAAAGCTATTGCGCATTCTTTTTAAGAAATTGAACAAATTAGTTGGTGTTTTTAACTTTCTTATTTTTTATTACTTAATAAAATATATCTGAAACTTACGGAAAGAGCCTATACTAACAGTTCAATTACATTATGAAAAAATATATATTTTTAGCTACATTATAAGGTGTAAAATTAATCTTTGGTGTTCATTTGAAGTTTAGAAAGGAATCTTTTAAGAATTCAGTTATTAAGTATTGAAGTTTTTTTGTAAAATGCCTTTTTTTTCTCTTTTTCTAGTAATCTTTTGTAAAAATAGGCAAGATAAGAAATTGCAATTAATTTAATTTCCAAAATCATTTATTATTTCATGTATTTCATTCTTGAACCATCAATGCTTAAATAAATTAATAAATTAAATTATTATTTATCATGCCTACAAAGAAAAAAATCCAAGCAATTTAATAGTATAAAAAATTAAAAAAACATTAATTAATGAGAAATGAAAAAAAAAATTTAAAAAATCTTATTATTCAAGTGATTAAAAAAAATTTAATTTTAACTTTTTCAAAATTCAAGAAACTCGAACTTACATTCTTTCTTTTCACAAGTTGCACAATTTCTCAAAAAAATAGCAAGTATGTGAAACTGTTTCCAAAATAAATATTTTTTTATCAAACGCAATACAGTTAAATTACAATGTTCTTAAAAATAATTTTCTCAGTTTAAAAAAGAAACAAATTTTGTTTTACGAATTAAGAAATATATTTGAAGTAAACATTAAAAATACGTTATTAATAATAATTCACAAAATTTTTTTTAATTTTGAAACTGAGTAGTGTTAAATAAAATAATCTTAAACATTAACTTCGTTACAAAAATGATTAAAGTGCTTAATTTTGATTGTTTTCTAGTTCATATTTAAGAGAAAATAATACGTTACAAAACTAAACTATTTAATAAAACTTATCTAACCATTAGCACTTTCTAGCCATTAAACAATTAAATTTAATTTCCAACTTAATTCAATTTTAAGCTCAACAACTACATTTTTCTTAACACGATTTTTTGTTCTAATTTCATTTTGAAGTGTTTACATTCTAAGAGGCAATCAAAATAAATATCAAAAAAAAATTTATTGACAGATAATATTATCGTAAAAATTAGATGAATTGAAGATATATTTGTTATGACTACCAAAATATCACGTATTGCCATCTAGTGAACTATTTCGAAACTACACGTGTAACACTGTAATGAAAATAATTCTGATTTTAGTTTGAAATAAACTTTTAATCTACACATTAAAATACAAATACATTTAAAATTAATCTACACATTTAAGAATACAAATAACAAAAATACCTTCAATAGATAGTAATTCTTATATTTGAAGGAAAAAAAATTCATTTATTTTTATTTTCTTGAAAATCAAATTCAATAGATTTCCTCTACGTTGTGATAAATTTAATAAACAAAATCGGAAAAATAAAATGAGTACAAACTAAAATATAAGTATACAAATTCTGTAAAACAAACTTTCTCAGTTAAACGAGTTAAAAATGAATATTTAATATAAGAATAAATATTTGAACTGTCTGAAATAATTCTGTAATCAAGAAAACACTTAACATATAAATTTTTCACAGCTTTAGAATTCAAACTACAGTGATTGTTGATTTTAACGTAGAGTGCACGTAAGGGAAAAAATGAATTTAAATAAAAATAATAACCATAGAAATAAAAGGATTTTTATTATTGTATTCCATTATAGAATAAAAATGTAGAATTATAAAATACATAAATTTCAGATAATTTTAAACTTAATGAATTTAAACAGAATCAGTCGAATTTGACATTAAAGGGCACAAACTTCGGACCACTGTCCTGGTTGAACATTTAGAACTATATTTTCCATAATGCAGCCACGTAAGATTTGCGTAGTATATTTTCAGTGCCGAAAATGCAAAACTGACGGAAAAAAAACTCAAAAAACAGAACAAAGAAAAATAATTTTTATATCGGATTCTATTACTTAATTGAAAGTTAGCACCAATTATACTATATTTGACATCAACCATTAAAATCATTCAGATTTTAACTTAGTTCGTTCACCACCGCCCATTAGAGTAGCTCAAGTGTGACTTTAACAGCCAAAACCAAAAAAGCAACAAAAAAAAATATTTGCTGTTTTAATATACATAAATTTTTAAAAAAAATCGATACTGACGTCATTTTTTGGGTATTGTGACCCTTTAAAACACAAAAACAGTAGTATATTTTTTTTATGATTGGTATGTTTTCATAGTTCCTCATTTCATTTCAAATATAAGTAATTTTACGTATTACTATTATTGAATCTATACATTAGCTTGTTATTATAATTAATATATCAGGACAAAATGCTTACAAGGCATGATTTTGATTAAATATTTCATTGTTGTTTCAATGAATTCTATTTATCATTATTTTTGAGTTTTACAAAATATGTATTTAAATTATTTTTTTTAGATTTTATTTTTTTTATTACATATTCATAACATAATACATGTATAAAAATCTCTGTTTAATCTTTATTTTTTCTTCTTCATATTCCTTTTTCTTTTATGAAAAAATCTGTTACCACGAAATGTTGCAAACTCTAATTTACACTAGTCATGCAACCTCCTAATTTTCCGTTCAACGAATTTCCTACGGTAGATGTAAATCTCTCTTTCCCAGTTTTTTGTAGTCAGGATATCAATACTTGATTATTAATTGTAGTTTCATATAAAACTATTGAAATTCTAATTTCTTTCATTTTAAGAACATTTAGTATGTGGGTGTGATAATTAGGAGTCTGAATTTTAAAAAAATTGATTTTTTTTTTATCACTTAAATTTGTTTGTCACGTCGAACTAAATGACACTGGAGAACAAATTTTTTGCTGCATTTATAAAAATTCTTTATGCTGCGTTGTGTGAAAATATTAAATTTTAAATTAGTTTTGCTCCTATAGCTACAGTTTTTTATGAATGACATTTTTAGTCTATTTTTTGTCGAAATGTATAAGTTAAAACTGTTATATATTACAGGAGTTGCGTAAATGTGACAAATTCGTGGGGAGTTAAGGCGCATTTTTAATATTAAAATTGCATAAGAACCTGTACCTGGAAATGTCATCGTACGGGGCTAGTGGAGCTTCCTTGTTATAAACCGGTTCAGAAATACGCGAAGAAATAGATTATATTAAAGAAGCGCTCCTAGCGGCGCATGTCGATATTTCCAGGCATGGGCTCTTATGCTATTTTAGTCCTGGTGAGGTAAATTAAATCTTCTAGAAGTTTGTCGCAACATTTATGTGACCCTCTGCAGTGTGTAACTTTTATCAACAATAAAATTGACAAAAAATGCCATTTAGAAAAATCTGTAGCTTTGATAGAAAACCGATTGCAGATTTGGAATCATCGATACAAGAGTATCTAAGACTTGTTGAAAAATCTCATGCAATAGAAAACAAAACAAAAATGTTCCTAAGTGTATTAATTTATTGTACTTTAACCCCTGAGGAATTTACTTCAAATAAATACAGGTCTTAAGACCATTCTCACTCAAGCTATCTTGTTTTCCTGTACCATTCCCTGCTTATTTTATAATCAGGATTAGTTTTTATTACTGATTTGCTTCATTATTTGCAGTGCGTTAAATGATTTGATTTTATCATAGTTCAGCTGCTTCCATCTTTTTTTTTATTCAAGAAACCAACGTCTGTTGTCTTCACAATTTTAACTCATCAAGTTATTTTGTGTTTGACCCCTCCCTTCTTGTTCTCGTCGAATTAACTGAGTAAAGTTTCTTCATCACTTTCTCGTGCCGTGATATTTCCGTGTTGGAATGTTTTACAGTAACTCGCCAAAAATAATAAAACAAGCTATTTCTCATGCCTGTTTCTCAACTTTTACTCCAGATGGCAGTACCAGGCTGTTTGTAATGTGTTTAGAAATGGTTAATTTTAAACTTGATGACAGCACTCATCAAGCATGTAAGCTAAAATAATTGACTCCAAAATCAAATTTTAATCCATATGTTGCACAAACACTTAGTTTTAAATAGTTTTCATGCATAAAAAATAGGCACTTTTATGACTGCTTTCTTCAAATTATGCGCCCATTACTCGGTTAAAAATAAAATGCTTTCAAATTATTTTTTTTCCTGAGATGAAAGCTTCGGAAATATCATTTTACGTATTTTTTTTTTAATTTTTAGTTTATTATTTATAATAAATGTCTTTATCTATCAATAACTCTTTGCAATTATATATTTAATTACTTGTAATTCTTAAATATTTTTCAATTACTTATTAATTTTAATAGATTTTTAAATTAAATTATCAATTTTAAATGCTCATATCAATTAATTTTAAATATTAATTCTTTATTTTTAATTATCTTACTGTTGTTTTAGGCCCTTATTTAGGGAAGATGAATGCTGAAAAAGATGAAAGTGGTACGCCTACAGTTAGTGTGACTAATTCTGAAACAGTGGACAAGAATAAAAAGTTTACGGTACAGCTTTTTATTTTTTTCTTGTACCATACAGTATGTACAAATTTCTATCAGATTAGACTTCAACATTATCTTTCGTATTTGCCTCAAACATATTAAAGTGTCAAGTTGAACTTTCATTCTCACTTTCAATTAAAAATTAACTGAATTAAGTTCAACTCAGTACCTCATTAAAAAAGTTTTTTTCTCTTTTCATTTTTTAATAAGCTAAACCTCGTGTTATATTTACCTGTTTTATGGATTATTCTATATGTACTTACAAAAACTTATCGCAGATTGTAATGTAATGTAGAACTTAATTAATTAATGCAGATTTTTTTTCAATATGATATATTTTTAAATTGGCACATTTCCTAATAACGTTTGCGCATTTTTTATGCCACAAAAAAGTAGTTTTTTTTATAATATGTTCTAAATAACATCTCAAACCTTTTTATTCTGGACACAGCTCAAAATGCGTGTCAAACAAATTGGACACAGAAAAATATGCTCATTTTCAACATTCAACTCAAATTCAACAACTTAACGTGTAATTTTGTAACGTGTAATATAAAGTCAAATTGAAAAACATATTAGTTAATCTATTTTCAGACACTCTTAATGTCGTGTATCTAATACTATTCTGTTATGTACTTAAAGCAGCTTCTCCAAATATTAAAAAAGAAAATATAATAAACATCAAAATTATAGATAAAAGAGCTACCATTTTCATTATTTTCCCATAAAACTACTTACTTTTCCTAAACTTTATTTCGACCTTCACTGACTTGTTATACATGATGTAATACTTGTTACAAAATTTCACAGATTGCTTTTTGTCAAAACTGTCTTTGAATATGTATTTACTTTTTTTTCATAGCCATTTTGTAATCGTTTCAGGTCTACAAAGTTGTTGTAGAAGCAGCTGGTCAGCAATGGTATGTTTTTCGCAGATATAATGAGTTCAGTAAGCTTTTGGAAACGGTAAGACGTGTTTTATTTTCATTTCGTCAATTGATTATATTTATGTTTTCAAAGTAAAATAATAAATATTTTCTTTTTGTGTCATTGCTATTATATTAGGAAAGGTCATTAATGCTATCAACCACTTATTAAATAAAAAGTTACTTTTTATCAAATAGCCTTTTTGCATTTTTTGTTTATTGCTCATTTATAAAATTCTGAATATGTTTAGATGCTCTGATATTTTAAGGCATGGCTAGTGCAAAGACATGATTTTGAACAAAATTTTCAAAATTGAGTTCATTGTAAATTTAGAGTTCCTGGTTTTCAGCTTTCTAAAAATACTTTATTTTTATTTGTATAGTCCAATTATTTCCAAAGTTATAGCAGTTTTTGTGCGAAGGAGATAACAGTGGATAAATAAACGCATTTAAAGTCTTAAAATCATAAGTCTATCTCATAATCAGATTTTTTCACATTTTACATTACCTTGAACATGATATCTCATGTTGTTTTTAAAATAATTATCTACGATTTTTCATGAGTGTTCATGGTCATACAGCACATGTTTTGAACTACAAACTAAGAGAGAAAAAAGAGGTGTATTTTAATTTTTATGCATATTTTTCTCAAAGACTGGTTCAAATTTTTCAAAATTTGTGATCCCAAACTCTGTAGTACATGAATTTAAGATAACAGTTCAAAACATAGTTGATAGCTTTCTAAATAAAATCCTCTTAGGATTTTTTGCTTCAGGTGATAAAAAAAATTTTTTTAGTGTTTCGTGTATATGTGAAAAAACTGCTTTTTTTTCTAAAAATGGCTATTTAAAAAAATAATAATAATATTTTTTGTGTTTGTTTTACACGTTTTTAAACACAATAAAACAAATTATTTCGTTTTTTTTAAATTTTATAATAATATTTTTAAAAAAAAATTGTCGAAAATAGTCTCATACCTTAAGTACGATACGGTTTTCCGTAAAATGCTACAGTATACGAAAGGAAAATTTGTTTTAAGCTCATTTTATAAATATAATTATATAACATTTTATTTTTATTTTTAAGGAATCACTATAAACCTTGATATTTATGACAACTTATGGCAAATTTTTAAAATTTCTAAAAAAAAAATTATGTTTAAGCAGCTTATTATTCCAATAACTTCCTTTCTCTTCTCAATGCAAACCACAGTAATATTTTTCTAACTGTAGTTTGCTGCTTGTCGTTAAAATAAATAAATAATAGAAAAGTTGTTAAATTAAAACTCTCGTCCTTTATTTTTAGTTAAAACGTCATTTTACTTTTCTCATTATTTACTTTTACTACGGAATTTCAGCATTTATCCAAATAAATTGTGTCCAACCGGTGATTTGATAAAATCCTTCAATATGAACCATCATTTAATTTTTAAATGTCTATATCTTATAAAATAAAGCTTTTCTAATAAATTTTCAAGTAATATTCCAATAATTTTTATGAAACATTGCTTTATTGTTTATTTGATAATTTTAAAAAAATATCTAAAGATTAAAGACGCTGTAATATAACTCACATATTAACATTTGTTAAAGCAAAGAAAATTTCAACCGTTGAAATAGTTTATATTCTTTAGATAAATGCAGATTCAATAACTCGCAACATCTTTGAGGCCTTTCATTCTTTTTTTAGTTTGTTTTCCTAATTTTAATTTTATTTTCGTGTCAAAATCAGTTACCTATTTTTTTTTACCCTGAATTCCTATCAGGCTTACAGCAGTAATTTATGACTGTTAGGTCAAGTTTTGGCTGTCTCTTTCCAAAGCCCTATATGTTACTTTTGAAAATAGCAAAACAAAACGGTTTTGTGAAAATGCAAAAATTTTGTAATCTAATTTTTTTGATATTTAAAAAGTTATTCCAATGTGGCATTATCTGCGCTCAAAAAAATACGTTCAAAAATTCAGAATTGTTCATTGATTTTTTCACTTTTTTCTCTAGGTGGAAAAAACTCACAAATTTGATCTTTTTTTTAAAAAAAAATGAAAAAATTTTTATTAATTTGTCTGTTTTAAAGCCCAAATAATTTTCTATAAAAAGATGATATATATAGTTTAAAATAATAACTTATACTCAGAAATATGACTCTTTAACTGGGAAATTTTTTGAAGAAAATTAGCTTTCACATAAGGTACTTAAGTATATAAGCTTGTTAGTTTCAGAGAAAGTTACCTAACTGCAGAAAATTTGAAAGAATTTTATTGAAGAGATGGGTTGGGTGCTTTTTGAATAAGATTGATTTGAAAAGTATTTCGAAAAGATTAACTACATAATTGAAATAAATTATCCTCAAAAAAAATAAAAAGTAAAAATCAAAAAAGTTCATTCGTTTAAAAAAATTTAAAGTAGAAAAAAGTCGACGCGCATTGAATAATTTTGGTGAGTCTTGATAATGCGCGTCTATTTTTAAGCGCTCGATGCATGTCGACTGTTTCCACCTTTATAATTTTTGAACCATATAAAGTCCTTACATTATCAAATATAATCACAAAATTACTACTAAAGACTAGGGAAAAGCTCAAACTCAATAGGAAAAAGATTTTCTCAGCTTTATTTGAAGATTGCAAAAACTATTTCATTTATGAATTAGGTAGCTCAGTTGTTGTGCAATCATTTTGAAAATATTTTTAAAAGGGATGACATCTTTGACATATCCCAATGAATTGTTATCCCAATATTGTTTTGTCAGTAGAATGTTTGTTCTACTCTCGTGTGCCCTGAATAGGGCGGGTCGAGGTATAAATAAACAATATCCCAATGAAAACAGTGTTCAAATAATAAAATTCACATGTTTTTTGATAGTCATAGAAAAATTATGAGATTGTATATATTTATATTTTTTTATCGTTCAAAAATGAAAAATAAAAAAATAGTACTGTTGAAGTGATTATTCCTCTCAACAATTTCAAGTTATATTATTTGCAAGATAAATTCTATATTTATGACAATTTTTTCCAGCTCAAGCGCCTCTATCCTCATATTTCCTTGAAATTACCCGGGAAAAAACTTTTCGGAAGTAATTTCAGTTCAGATTTCATAAAGAATAGACGCCAAGGACTTAACGATTTTGTTCAGAAATTAGTTTCAGAACCACAGCTTTTAGAATGGTATGTGTTTATCTTTTATAAAGATTATTAAAATATCGAATTTGATAAATTCTAAAATAAATTATAATTCCATCTTAAACTACGGGATTTTCCAATCATTTTTTGCTCCATAGGTGATTATAATAAGGAAGCTACATAGAAATTAAGAAAAAAATTATTAGAAAACATCCCAATTTTTTTTTTTTCATTTGTTCAGATTAGATTTTATGGATTTAGGTACTGATTCTATCTTAATAAAGTTTAACCCTGTTCATTGTTCTCAGTTTCCATTACAATTGAAATCTACAAGAGTTTTTTATTTCCGATTAAATTTTCAGTTATTATCAAAGCTTAATTAATTTTTTCCGCACTATTTCTTTGTAATTATCAATAACTATTTTGTAATAATTATATAATTACCTAAACTGACCATTGAATGTAACATTTTATCAAAATAAATTATTTATTATTTATTTAATTACTTATTTATTTTTTAATCATTATAAAACTATAATTCAATACATTTATCATAAATTGATGCGATTACTACGCAAAATAATTAATCATACAAGATAACTTTTAGTTTTTAAGCTTTTTAAACTTGAATAATATTGTTACCCTGTTACTTTTTATTTTTATAAAAATGAAGCAAAGATAGCAAAATTTATAAAATGAGTTAAATATAAATAATAGTTGATGTTAACTTCAACAAAGGTTTATTAAACATCGAAACTAATATTAATTATTTGATTTAATGAATACTTTTTTTCACACAAATATAAAACTCACTTATCCTTAAACAATTCTAAGCAAATTTTCACTATTTAGAATAGTTTTTAATTATTTTATTTATTAAGCTTCGAAATATTTTTAGATCGCGATATAAAAATTTTTCATCCAAGCTATTCAAAGTGACAAAATCCAAAATTCGAACACAATCAGTTGAAAAATCCTTGCAAAATACGATATTAAAAATATGACGTTATATTTTTGATCTTAAAATATAGAAATAAAATTACATCGATTTCCTTTACGTAACTTAATATGAAAAATTCCAAAATTTTAACATAATCGGTAGAAAATGTTTTATAAAATTCATTAATAATTCAAATTTTTTTTTTCTTTATGAACAATTTGATCAAATCTTTCTCGAATGGCATCAATTAAAATAACATATTATGAAATGATAAAAATTTGTATATCTTGCACTTCAAATATGTTTCTATCATTTCTAATTTTAAAAAAAGGAGGTATAACCTGTTTTTAGATATATATTTGGCATGAAAATATCTTTGAAGAAACTAGTTTTACAGTTGTGTGCAAAAACTGTTTGATTTCACGATGTAGTTTCTGAAATTTTGTGGCTTACAGAAAAAGTAAAATTAACATTAACAAATTCAAACTTAACCCTTTCAATCACAGAAGGTGAAAACACCACTGGAACATAAGCCTTCCATCTAAAAACCCCTTTGAGAACCCTTTGTCTCAGCCCCCTTTCCCTAATAGCTATTTTTAATTTCATTTTAGCAGAATATGGTTATTTTTACTTTATACGATCTATTAAAGTCGTCATTTGTCTTTTAATTGAAAAAAACTAGTCTTGAAAGGGATAATAAGGCCTAACAACTCGAACCATATTTTTCAGATTTCCAATCCATTTTTTTTCTTAATATAACCGAAAAAGGTATGCAGACTCAGAACAAGTACGTTTTTATGTCCGATTTGGTAGCTGAAAATTATAGCGGAAAACATTTGTCTGCGAAGTAATTTTTAAACCATTGAGGTTGCATTCTAGTACCAAGTTCAAGTACCATAACGACCGGATCATTGTACCGAATAAACCGGATTGTTACTTCTCCTATTTTGTTAATCGAAATCCCCTCTCTCGACTAGAACAATGTTTAAACATTTAAATTTGTAAGGCTTTGTGGAGAACTCCTCCAGACTAAAAGTCTTGGACTGTTTGCTGCTAAAGTAACAAGCGAGAGCACATTTCTAATGGGGGTTCAATGGAGAAATGAAAGTGTGGATTGGTTTACTCTCACCGATCTCTGCCGAGATTAAGACAAAACTATTCACCACACACCCCTATTCGAAGTAACTTTTCCTCGTAACTATAGTACCCACCATGACGCGAGACTGATGTCAGAAGGAGTTCTTCTGAAAGCAGCACTATATGTTATCGCTTAGCTTTATTTTTTTTCTGATTCTCTATTTTTTGTTTTTAGTCCTGACGTTCGAGAATTTCTTAGTGTTGATAAAATGCTGGCTGCTGCCAGCAATGTCTCTCCTTTAAACAAAATGCAAGATCTATCCGAAAGCCTTTACTCAGTAAGTTTGTTAGAACCAATTCCTTAAAAAGTATCAATCATGGAGGAGTTGACATATAGAGCTAATAGAATATTTTACTATAAATCTTAGTTACTTACTATAATATAGATCCGAGAAATATTTTACTTAGCCTTTCACCCTTGCTAAGGAGTAAAAGAATATATGAAGCAAAATATGTGACAAAAAATTGCTAATATATGAATATATGCTAAAAAATAAATGACAAAAATATTTGCTGAACAAAGTTCCTTCGTATCAAATGTAGATTATTTTCATTGATATATTTAAATAATAAAATGCCTTATCATCAAAACTCAGTAATTTTACAAAGAAATAAAACAGCAAATTAAATGCCCTTCTTGTTTTTTCATTTATTCATTAAAGAATTGGAATTCTGAAATAATTTTTAATCTATTTAAGTGAAGAAAAATGAGCCAATATTTTTCTGTTCCGCTAATCTTAACTCTCCTGAAGTTTTTAAATTTCGTCCATAATCTTTGTAAGTACAAAACGCGAATCTACCATAAAAGAGAACTCGTTTCAACTGTCACACGAGGCTCTTTTTTTCTTTGCCGAAATCGCCAAGAGAGAAGGAGCACGTGACTGAAGGAAGTCTAAAGTTTGGGACAAAGAAAGATGGGAAAATATAGCAGCGTGCTTGTTCTACTTGTATTCCAGCTTTATGAGATAGCCCAATGGAAATCATTTTCACTCATCTTTATATGCCTGTGAAGGAAAACAATAACTTTTGCCTATTTCTTATCTAAAGAGTCAATATGTTACTGAAATAATTACGAAATATTTTAATTTCTAAATTTTAAGATTCTTATTAATGCAAATATCGAATATGAGAGTATCCTTAAAAGAAGATTTTAGATCGGAGCTACGAAAGCAGCTTCAATATCACATGAAATGTTTTTAATAAAACTCATGTAATGAACTATTTATTGATTATCTATCAAGTTTAATAAAACCACAGATACCTGGGATTAAATATAATTTTTGTTTTAGATTCCCTAATAATTGCTCAAAATAAAATTGACATCAAAATTTCATTAAAAAAATATTTTGTAATTTAGTGCATTTGTTAAACATATTAAGACTGTGAGCCTTGTTTTAAAAAAGGAGTAAAAAGAACATAAATTCCTTTTAAACAAAAATGAAAGTGATATTGAACAAGTGTGGTAATGCTGTTATTATCATTTACTATATTAATCAGCCTAAAAAAATATTAAAATATGAATTTATTGCCATTTAAAAAAGAATGGTTTTGTTTAAAAAAAATTGAACTAATTGCTCCATAGTAAAGTTTTTGCAATAATAATTAGCACCATTTCAACTGTTCGATAATATATTACGATTAAAATTATATATTACGACAACGCAATAAGGTTTCACTTAGGTTATGTGTATTCTTCTCGACGCTACTGTATCGATACATACAGATTAAGTTGTTTGGAAGTGATTTCCGATAGTTTTGTTTTTAATGAATTCAGAAAAAAAGTTTAATAAATAAGAAAATTATGGTTTTTTTTGGTATATATTTATCGCTAAAATACAGAAATAAGTTTTTATTCTGTATCTTTCGCTTACGTATAGATCAACTATAGGGCAATCCGCTAAAATGCCGAAAGTTGTTTCGAATCTCAAATAACCTTGGAAACATTTTTTACTAGGCATAAACTAGATACTTACTTACTAAAGTGAAAATAAAATCTTTGCTGGTGCAGTAGAAGAGTTTCTGTTAACTTAAATTAACAGGTTATACATTTATGTTTCGGTGTCTAAAACATCAAGCAAATACGACCAAAAAATTAAACAAATTAGTGGATCGAACCAACAATCAATCAATTAAAAACATCTAATACAAAGAATCAGATTAAAATAGCATTACCTTAAGAAAATGAATTCGCAGAACTACGATTAAAACACGCTTACTTAAATGTACTTTTGAACTTCAATAATACTTAAATCGTTAATAAGCACATTACCGAGGTATAAAAGGCGAAAACGTTTGATTCTGCTTTTTAGTGGATCGTCCTATTTAAATTGTAGATTAGCGAGGTAATATGCACTTTAACGTCTCTCATGTTTTATCAGTAATATTTCTATTATAAATTCGGTTACAACTTTTCAATAAAATGCAATATTACAATTTTTTTTTTTGTAGGAAGACAAATCTGGGGATGAAGTTGAAAAAGAAGAAAAGCCAGTTGATCTAGGGCCTAAGGAAAAGAAAAAGTATGATTATTTTTAATTTATTTTCTATACTTTTTTGTTATTTTATATTTTTATTTTTTTTTATGTTACTGATTTTTTAATTACTTTTTTTATTTCATTTTTAATGATTATTTCATTTTATTACTTTTTTTCTTTTATTGTTTCAATTTTTATTTCTTTAAAATTCCTTTTTTGTTTAAACACGTACTTTTAATTAGATCATGGGTTCTTATTTCTTACCAGTTCACGTTTCAGACGTGCTGCAATAGTAACAAATCTAAAATGGAAAAATTGGGTATTATTGTACTACGTATCACCTTTAATATCCAACGTTTCCTACTGGAAAAAAATGATCTTGATTGATTTGACCTGGTGTACAGTTATTCAACAGTAGCGTCAATGTATTTTGCAAACATTGACTATTATCTGTGTTTTTATTATACTAGCGAAACTTTTTCATTTTAATAATTCCTTTTAGGTTCTAATTATTTAGATTTACAAGCATAAATAATTATTTTATAGAGTGTAAGAAAAATATAGAAACCATCAAATATTTCAAGAAATACGCAATGGGTCCAAGCTCTAGTACGCGTGAGAAACATTTTCAAAAGATTCACTCAGTTGTACGAAATTTGTCCCCCACACTCAACCTAGGAAGGTAAAACAGGGGACTTTAAAATTTGAAATGGTAACCCCCATTTTATTGTAAATTTGAGTTCCCCTGAAGAAAGTACCACATATGACTGACATGTTGCTGCATTTACTGATGGCGATGTTATTGCAAAATGAAAATATGACCTGAATTCGAAAAAAATAAAAATAGACTTATTTAATATCTTGGAAAATTTATCTATTTGAAACCAAGCTCGATCCTTCACTCTCAAACTGAACCACATACATGCGCATAAGAAGCAATTTGACAGTCAGTAGCCACGTCACCTAAACTGGTTGTTAATTATGAATGCAGCCTCTCCCCATTTTATACTTCCGTTCTATCAGAAAATGTTCAAGCAGATATCATCAACATGGATGATGAAATGTATTTTTAAAGAAATATCTTAAAAAACAGAGCAGTATTGTTAATAAATGGTGTAAAAAATACAGCTGCAATCCAACCATTAATTAATAAAATAAAAACTTTCCTTCTTCCTGACCCCAGTAGTGGTTGTGATGAAAATGATTGCAAGATGAGATAGATACTCCTGTGCTCCTAAGTGTTACTTTTTCCTTTACATAAAGAGCCCGTACCAGTCCTTCAGGGACCAATTTACATTATGTCTACGGAAGTTATCCTTCTTTCTCGAAATCTGTGTCATTATACTCGTGCCTATGGGTTTTCCAGAATATTAAACCTTTTACTCGTGAATTTCTCTGACATCTCCATTTTAAGCAATTTGTACCACATTGTCAATTTTCGATTATATTTCCATGTGTGAACACATGCAATAACCTTTGACTCGAATTGGTGTACTTTTCTTTAAAACGTTCAAATCTGCAATAAAAATGTGAGGTTACTATTTAAAATATTTCAGTAGCCCTAAACGTCAGGGGGTGAGGATGAAGTATCAAGAAATGCATTTAGAAAAAATAAAAACAAAGGAAAACTTTGTTTCTTAAATTTTTGATTCAATCTTTATTTCTGAATATGTTCAACCATTTACTTACTTTTTGGATACTCTGTATACGTTTCAAAAACCTCATGTATTATTTGGCAAGCATTAAAGTTTTAAAATTCATTAGTCTCTAATCATCTTTAGGTATTTCATTTTTCGAAACTTCATAATGAGGGAATATTTATGGTCAGCTTTTCCAACTTTTTATTTATTTATTCTTATTAATTTTTTCTTATTTATTTATATTTATTTATTTATTTATTTTTATTTATTTATTTATTTTTATTTATTTATTGTTTTAAGAATTTTAAGAAATTTATTTCTTAACATTCTTAATGCCGACCATTTTTTTCAAAAAATGAAATATCAATTAAGAATTTATGAATCATAAATAAGTTTAAATGCTGTTTTATTATAATATTTTAGTCTCTATTAATTAGGAGAATTTCCAACTTATGTTATAACTTGATAAATTTTACTTATTAACTAATATTAATTATTATCTAAAGCTACGTATTGTTTCTTTTAGTGTAAAACCTAGCGATTTTGAATTTCTCAAAGTTATCGGAAAAGGCAGTTTTGGAAAAGTGCTGTTAGCTAAACATAAGGTGGAACATAATGTTTATGCCGTAAAGGTAAGTCATTCACAATTAAGTCAACTTTTTTACAATTTTTTGTTAATTATTTTTTTATACTTGGATTGAGTTATTCTGTAATTATTATTATTCATATTATTTGCCAGTTATGACTGGGATAGCCTGGTTGGTAGAGCGTTGGGCCCATGTCCAAAAGGTCAGGAGTTCCATTCCAGACAGCCGAAGTCTATCCGTGTAGTAAATGATGACTGATGCACGTTAAATCTCTCAGGTCACGAAGTCCTCCATGGTACCATAACAAATCTGGTGGTACTGAAATATCTACCTCTGTATCTGGGGGTACTGAATCTACCTCTGGGGGTTCTGATTTAGAGACTGATCGTTCTCTGATTCGGGTCAAATTTACGTTCTGTCGATGAATGGGTGTATGAAGTCGCTAAAGTCGCATTCTTAGTCATAAAGTGCGACACTGGAAAATAAGAAACGCACGCTCTGCCTTAAATTCGCTTGGTTTCTGGTATTGGCATGTGACATTAGCAACAACATAACATCTACCAGTTGCTTTACTATTCATTTTTATGTTTTAAAAATAACAATTGTCTTACTCTTAGTTTTATTTCTGGTAGCTCTTTTTTCATTCTCTTTCATTATTCTTAACTTACTTTAAAAAAATATTCAATTAAATGACAATTTGAATGAAACAGTTCTTCTTTTGGTTTTTGCATTTCTCTTTTGATTCATTTCGAAGCATTTGTGTGTAGGCAATTGGAAAGTGCTATGATTTAGGAAGAATAAAGTTTTACATTTAAAAAAAGTTATATATTACTGTGTAACCTAGTCCAAAACTGACAAAAAAAGAAAAAACTACTTCTCCAGACTCATGCACTCAGAGAGTATACGTATCTACGCACAGGACCGGGCAATTTTTCCCGTTAAACTTAATTTAGTTTTAAAATGCATATAACATATTACTACATTTAAATGCGCGAAAATCGACAGTTTTTTTATCAGTGATTGTACATAAATACACTGTTATAAAATACTCGCCATATTTGAAAAAAACAATCGCAAAGTCCTATTAAGAGAACTGCAAACAACTTGTCTACAACCACATAAAATCAATAAGCATTCCAGCCTCTTTCTTTTTCCAAATTGTAAACAGGAACCGAGAGCAATAATTCCCAATTCCCCTGACAGAGTCAAACGGGTGAAATTGTTACATGCTTAACATACCCTGGATAAAAATTACCCTGATGAAAATAATCAAAATCGATGAGTAATTTTCCTTTTTGCAAATTTTTGTGAACCCAGATAATGCATAATTGGAGACAATTTTTTTAAATGTTAAAAAATTAGATCGCGAAAGCTTTTATTTTCAAACAACTGTTATTTGTCTTCATGCTGACGTTTTATACCATTTCCGGAATTTATTTTGAATGCGCAGGCTAAAGATAAGCATAACTTGACCTAATAATTATGAAAAACTGTTACATGCTTACAGCAATTATGAAAATATTCTCAAAAAAAAAGAAGCATAGGTTTTAAAAGCAGCAATTCTGTTCAAGAGCTGCAAACTAATTTATCTTTTCACGATTTATATTACCGACGAATTTATATTATCGCGAACATTTGGCTCTTGCATATTTTATTTCCGTAAATTTACTGAGTCAATAGTGATCATTTTTGTGTAATTTTACAAAAAAATTGCTGTTTTTAATTCTCTGTAATTTTACAACTGATTCATGATTTCCATGGCATGTATTTTACCGGGAAAAAAAACATTTATTGTGAAATTTTTAATTTTATTTTTTCATTGATCTGCATACAATAAAATACATTTAATTGTAGTTACACTTTGTTAATATATAAGTAATATGCATTTTATTTTATTTTTTAGGTGTTGCAGAAAAAGATGATTCTGAAAAGGAATGAAAAGAATCATGTCATGAGTGAAAGAAATGTTCTTCTTAAAAATCTCCATCATCCTTTCCTTGTTGGTCTTCATTATGCCTTTCAAACGCCTGATAAATTATATTTCGTCTTAGATTATGTAAATGGAGGAGAAGTAAGACTTATATTTTATATTATATAAAACTCTTTTGTGTATGAATGGATGTGGGTACAAAATCGATTATATTACTTTTTCTCGCGTTGGCAACGAAGAGCTAAAGCTAATTGAGCCGTAAGATGGGCAGAAACTAAACATTGAAAGCGGACTGTTCATATAAATCAACAGATTCTGTTGTTATATTTTTTTTTAAAATACATGTTTAAGTTCGCAAAAATCCTGCAATTCTGTTCTGCTATTGTTGTCCCCAAGCTCCTAAGTTATAATAATACAGGGTGTTCCAAAATTATCTTTACATCACCTGGCTTGAAATTGATTACAGACTGGAAGTGCTTAGGACCACCAATGGTGCGCATGCTGAAGTGTACTAAACAAAACTTTATTAGTTGCAGTAATACATGCAAAAGACAGAATATATAAATATCTTGTTTATTTTCGAAGTTATGAATTTTTGAAGTTGTAAAGAGAACTTTGGAGCACCCTGTATATCTAGGAAAGATTTATAAATTCTCAGAATAGCCCACTTTTATGCTGCTGCTGTTAAATAAATAGAGAGATTGTGCAAAACGTTAAGATTCCCCCTAAACTCTGACATTAAGACTTTTTGATCTTCCCAGCGCATGCTCTGAAATTTCCCTACTCATCATTGTGTCGCTTAGGTGTGTAGAAAATAAGGTTAGCATTACTGTTAACGTAAGCTAAATTTGAAGCCAAAATCTTTCTAGCTTGAATCGGAGTTGTTCATCGATTTATTCAACTCAAATCATTCAATCCCGTATTACTACCTCTATTTTCATCTACTTTGCTGAATTTCCTAACTTTTTTCTTTTTTTAATGCATTTTACGAATTTACTTATGAATAAAGGGCTTAAAACTGCAGTGAAAACTTAAACCTTCGGGAAAAACCACCTCTATGTACCGACCTCCTCTATTTTCTTCCACTTTTGGGAGGTACGGAATATTTTACATGTGTTGAAGAAAATCTTTAGGAGAGGCGATCAAAACCTCTCCCAGCTACCGGAAAACCCTCTGCACCCAACGCAGACGAGTTCAAATAAGAAAACACTAAAAAATATCAAAATAAAAATTAGTAACAAAACAAATAAAGCAGATTAAAATATATTCAAAACATTTGTGTGAGACTCACGGGTTCATTTTGACGATCTCTGAAAGCGGTCTGCAACCACTTGTTACAGTCAGAGGGCATTAAAGACGATGCTATCAAAGATTTACTTTTAGAGTTGAAAGCTAAATTCGAAGAAAAAGCCGTTTCATAAAATAGCTGAGCATCTCAAACAAACGAACCTCTTCTAAATTTTTGAAGATAACAAATTTTTATGATATTAAATTAAATTCAAGCTTGAATTTAAAAAAAAAAACATAATTGTTCATTTATTCAGAAAAATGTTTGTCTATTCAGAGAGAGTAAACTTTTGTGACTTTTTTTCGTAATTTAAAATATCGTCTGCTCAAATCAATTAGCGTATGTGAAGTCACTCCTTTGAATCATGAAGATTGAGTCCTAAAACGCGAAGATCTGATCATCAGAACAAAAATTATTCAGGGTGGTACATTTTTTTTCCTGCGCACAGTACATAAGTTCTCTAATATGAGTTTGATGTTTGCAGCTATTTTTCCACTTGCAACGAGAGAGGTATTTTCAAGAGCCTAGAGCTCGGTTCTATGCAGCTGAAATAACAAGTGCCATTGGATATTTACATTCGGAAGGAATTATATATAGGTGATGTTTTTATTCCTTCATTATTAATATTATTTCGATGCCTTTTGCTATTTTTGTCACAAAATTCATAGTTTAATTGCAATAAAAAACAAATTGATGTTTGATTTTAATTGATAATTTAATCTTAAATCTATTTTTATTTTAAATTAAACAAATAAAGGTTTCTCTCCTCCTGGAAGCAGAATTTACGAAGTGAAACAACAGCAGTTATATTCAAATTTGTCTGCAAATTAACGTGGACGAAAGGAGATAATTTTTGTGAAAATTCAGTTCAGTCTAATATTAGCGAAATTTGAAAATAAAAATTAATTAAAAAATTACGCATGAAAACTTTGTTTGAAATTTGAACTTTATACCATAATACTAAAGAAATGGAATATACCGATATGCAGTTAGTAGGGCATATACCAATAATGCTAAAACGGATCGTTTTCAATGTACCTTTTCTCAGCATTTAAACAAGATATTGCTTCAATTTTTTTTCACCGAATATTTACATATACATGTTTACACTATGATAACTGTTAATCTATATCTTGGGCAGAGATATTTTTTAAAAAATTATGAACTGAAAAAAACTTCAAAGCAATATAATTAGTAGTTTCTTAGAAAAGGTACGTCGAAAAAGGCCAGTTTTAACATTATTGATATATGCCCTACGGACTTAAGTCTGTAATCAAGAAACAGAAAAAATATTCTTTACTTTTTTCTCTTTGCGGTGTACTCTGAATTCAGCTTTTTAACTTTTGTTAGTAGCAAGCTTAGAAATTAAAAAGGACAGGATTTTGTGCTATGTAGACAAAAGAAAGGAAGAAAGAAACGTGAATAAAGCACAAATAAAAGTAAAAAAATGGACGTACTATAGTTGCTGTTCTATTAACCAGAAACCAGTGCCTGATTTATAATAAGGCCTGATAAGACCAGGCCTAGACCCCAAAAATTTCTGGTGACTCCCTAATTGTTACGAATAATTTCTTTTTGTGCTTCTCCTTAAGCATTGTCTATTAGAATTTTGAGTTAACAAATATTGAAATAGATATAAACTCAAATTAACTAATAAATCTTAATTTACTTAAGTTAAATATATTATTACTTTCGATAATCTAAAAAAACTTCATTAATAAACAACAGGTAAATTTTGTTTAAAGTTGCGACCAAGGGCCCCCTGATAGTTTTATGCTTCGTACCCTTACATTGGCAGACCAAGCCCGAGAAATATATATTTAAGAAAAACTCCTTATGTTTAGAAATATTTTAAAGCTGAGTTTATAAAATTTTCTCAAATTTGTGTCTGTGTTTTAACTTTTTAAAAATAAAAATAAATTTTAGATAAAAAATAAAACAATCTGCAGACGTTGTAAAACACTGCACTGCCGGGATGAGGGATTTCTGCTAGCACGCCTATACGTAAATTTTGAAATTTTAATTCTTTTTTTCAGGGATTTAAAGCCGGAAAATATTCTTCTAGATTATCAGGTGAGCTTTTCATTTTGTTTAAAGCTAAAACGTTGCTACCAAACATGCTCAGTCTAGTTCAAACTATCGAAATAAAATAATTCTATTCCAGGGACACGTTGTTCTGACAGACTTCGGTTTAAGCAAAGAAGGCCTTGCTGAGAAAGACACAACCACTACATTTTGTGGTACTCCTGAGGTAAGAAATTGAATCTATGTGTGTACTAACAAATGTATTAACTATTTTAGAGACTCCCTGTGTAGTAAATGGGGACTGGTGCACGTTAAATCCGATGCGTCACCAAGTTCTCCACAATCCCATAACATATCACACCTCTGTAGTACTGAATTGGCGATTCATAGCTGTTTATGTTAAAATTACGATCTGTGGATGAATGAATGGGTCTGCCCATGAAACGGGCTGTGACACACGTCACATCGTCATGTCAAAAGTCTAATTCTTGGCTATAGATGGCGCCACTGGAAAACAAGAAGCCCACAGGCTTTTCCTTAATGGCATACGACAACAACTATTTTAGAGCTAAGCATTATTTACCAATGTAATTTGTTCGTATTTGTAATGTGTTTTAAACAAAAAGGTTTTCAGAAAATGATTGCCCATCCGATTACAATCATGTTTAACTTCAATTTTGACATAAAATATACCAAGAGCTATATTCGCGGCAAAGCTAATCTTTCTATATTACTAAACATTCAGCAGCTTGTTTACATTAACTTTTTCTGGTGGTTTTCTCATATAATTTTTATTTTACCAGGGCACATTTTTTTTAAAATTCTCTTTTACTTTATAAATTTAAGGGAATTCTATATTCTTCCTGATTAAAATCTTTGTAATTAGTACTATATAATCAATAGACTCGGTATTTGTGTGTTGCCTCTTCTTTTAACAAGATTATTAACAATATTAGAAAATGCATTTTACCCTGATTTGCCTTTCTCGGCTACTGTGGTTTTGCTTGTTCTGTTTTTCATCCGTTATCTCTCTCTGTTACTGAGATTTTTTTAGTTTTTTTTCTCACCTTAATTTTCCATTTGTTGTTGACAACTTTACATTTTATGTATCAAATAAATTTTGTTTCTTCTCATTCACGTCTGTCAAGACTTGAAAATGGGGCCCTGTTTTTAAACACGTGAAACATGAAGAGTGCTATTTCCAATTTGCAGGTTTTTGAAGCAAATGAAGTTTTTAATCCAGTTATATAAATTAGAATTATTCTATATTGGTGGCACATTACATATCGTAGTAAAAAAAGCGCTTAAAGGTTAGGTTTACAGAGAGTATAATGTCATATATACATCTTTTTACATAATAAAAACTAGGAAAACATAGTAAAGTTATTGAAAAGCACTTAAAAAAATTTGAATCTTGTCAAAACAAATAGAAAAAAAATATTTTGAAACGAAAGTGCACTCGCAACAGTCAAAAAAAGTAACCTATCGTAGTTTAATTAACATCACGTCCACTAACTACAATAATTCAATCCTTTTTAATGAAAGCAAAAATGTTTACAAACAGAAAAATATTTTTACTTACTTTTTTNTTTCTATATGATTTCTTACAATGCTACCTAGGAAAACATATTAAAGTTATTGAAAAGCACTGAAAGAAATTGGAATCTTGCCAAACAGAGTAGAAAAAAAATATTTTGAAACGAAAGTGCACTCGCAACAGTCAAAAAAAGTAACCTATCGTAGTTTAATTAACATCACGTCCACTAACTACAATAATTCAATCCTTTTTAATGAAAGCAAAAATGTTTACAAACAGAAAAATATTTTTACTTACTTTTTTATAACTACATAAAAAAGCATCAAAACTTCAAAATTTAATATATCCGAAGCTGATTTGAAATTTTAATTGAAGGTCAAATTTTTCTCTTTTCCCCACTGATAAGAGAATTATAGAATTAAAAATGAACAAAAAGTTATATTATAAGAGTACAGAGAGTAATTTTTTTCTCTCGTTAGTTTTGACTCCCAATGAGGTGAACCTGGTTCGAATCCTTGCATAGCTGGTCGATACGAATTGCACACCTGGCGTACACCGACCTCGGTACTAACGTAAAATATCCTTAGTGATGCACGGAACATGAGTTAGAGTCCCCTTGCCGTCAGGCTAACTGTGGGAGGGTATCGAGGGTTTCCTCTCCATGTAACTCAAATTCGGGTTAGTTCCATCGAAAAGTCCTCTATGAAGGCAAATTTTTCCTAATACTTAAACTAGGAGTTCCTTTGTCTTCTGGATTGGGTTCAAAATTCAAAGCTCTACTATGGTTATAAAATAGGCGATTTGCTGATTGTCAGACTTAGGACTACGCGTCTGCAAAAACTAATAATTCCTCTCTGAAATGTTTGCTTTGCTAAACTGCGTAACGTAAAAAAATATTCATTTTTGGTATTAAATAATTCTATAATTAATTTCTTCATGAGACAACTTAAAATTTTATAAAAATTGTACCTGAAGTTTTAGTGTAAGAATGTTTATAGGAAAGTAATAAAATGAATTTATAATATAAGCCTTCAATAATAATAATAAGCCTTTCAGAACATCAGTCTTTATCATTTTTTTCTTGTTTAATTATATTTCTTGCTTTAGATATCTAAATTTTTAAAAAAATTACTGTTTAAAATATTTTGTGTTTTATATATTCGTATTGATACTATTATTTTAAATTTAAAATTTAATACTTAAAATTTTTCACTGTGTTTTAATTTTGTCATGTCGTAACATTTCAAAATCAAGAGTAACAATCATATCTTTTTCAGTATTTGGCACCGGAAGTTTTGAGAAAACAAGCGTATGACAAATCAGTGGACTGGTGGTGTCTTGGAGCTGTTCTTTATGAAATGATGTATGGTTTGGTAAGCACAAAATGTTAGTCATATTTATCTCGCATCTATCGATCAACTTCCATTTAGTTTACTAGTAACCATCGCTTTTAGCGATTCCGCTCACGTGCAACAGCGGTCAAATACTCAAAGAATCGTTGAGGAGCAGCCAAAAAAAATTATGATACGCATTTCTCCTTCATGCAAAAGTTGACAGATTTAAACCAAGTTTTAAAAAAATAAATTAGATACAAAAACAATGGGTAATAGTTTACAATGGGGTCACTCTCTTATTTTTGTCGATTTTTCTTAAGACAATAATAATAAGTTAACGCAAATAGTAATAGGTTTTTATGATTTTTTTCCTCAAATCTTTTCAAACTGAACTAAATCTTTTAACATTTAGTTTAATATTAATATTAAATTATCAGCAAGAAAATAATGATATCAGCATACATGAATAGCAAAAAATAATGTCAACAAAAAATACTAACACTAACAAAATGTTGTAACTTATAATATTGATGTTAATTTATCAAAGATATAGAAAAACATCGATATAAAATAGTTAGTAAAACTAAAATTTTATTTTCAATTATCATTTTCTTACCTTTTTGCAAAGATCAGAGAAGATAGCAAAAGAGCAAGCAATGGTTAATAAAAATAATGGCGGTTAAATTTTAGAAATCATCAAAGATGATATCAAAGATTATTTAAAATTGAACAATAGAAATTTATCGCCAAAAAGAGAGGACCCAGATTCAACTTCTTAACAAAACGATGCTTCTTACTAGAAAATTTATGTGAGCAAAAGGTTAAATGCTAATGTAAAAAAAAGAAAAAGCGTGAGAATAAATTTGAAACAATTATGGTGGATTTCAGCTCCGGTTTTTGCAAGTGATGAACATAAAATCAGAGCCCTGTCACTGTAAAATTAAAAATGGGAGAGTTATAAATTCGTACCCGCTTTTATTAAAACTGACTCAAATTTGAATATCCTAGGTAATAAGGACTGATAGCTTTCAGACTATTGAAATAATTGAGTTTAAATCACCAGCTTTCATCACAAGCTATTTTCAAATCATCACGCTATTTTTTCAATTTCTGTAAGATATATATTACAGTCTGCTTTTAAATTTTGTACAACTACAGATTAGAAACGAGTTTTATATAACATTTCCTTCGTGTTTTACATTTTGCCATCATGTAAGACGTTAAATGAGAATTTTAAAAAAGCGAATTTCGGGAGGTTCGAAATGCGATACAAAATGTGCTATGTCTTGAGATTAAAGATTTTATATCATATGTTTATTTTAACAAGCAGAAAACTTGATTAAAAATATTGGACGCTTTATATCTGAGTTCAGCCACAATCATGCCAAATCATGATAGAGAAAATTTCATCGAAAAAAAAAGTTTCTTGAAAAGCAAGAGTGTATTTACCAAAGATGTTATTCCATACATAACCTCAACTCTTTCATTAATTAAATTAAAAAATTGAAAAATTGAAAAATTCCCTAATGAATAAAAAATAGCATTAAGCTCCATATGTAATACACAATAAAAAGTTAATTACTGGTATTATATCGAAACATACAATCTAATAAGTGCACTGTTTCTACAGCCTCCATTTTATAGCAAGGACACAATGGAAATGTACCAAAATATTCTCAACAAGCCACTACGTTTGAGAACAAATATTTCAATTCCAGCTCGGAACTTACTAGAAGGGGTTCGTATTTTTTTAATAAAAATCATAAAGGTATTGTTGTCCTATAAAATATTTTTGCATCCGTATTTTAAGAGTATTACCTGAGATATTTATTTTTCTTATTCTACATTACTTTTTATTCCGTTTTTTAGTTTGATTATTTTTAATTTAAGAATTTAGTTTCAAACTAATATAGTTGCACATAGTGAGTATAACGTGATTCTGTGATATAACCATATAAAGTTGCATTTCACTTTGAATGTGTTAACATATTTAAACCTGTGTCAAAACATATTAATCGTTTTGCAAATATTATTTTTTGGGGCAAATTTCTGTAATATAATATTATAAACTAATTTCGTTAAATGTTTAAGAACTTAACGATCTAAGCACAATGTAACGCTTGTTGCAATGTCTATAATTAGTCTGATTGGGAAGTGAAAAGATTAAATAACGATTATAAACTCATCAGATTTGTTATAACAATATGCCTTTAATTTTAAATAATATTTCGAAACATTTATTACCAAGCAAAATCGTTCATGTTCACTAATTGATCTTAATAGAATCGTAACGGAACCACGTTTGGACGTAGGAAGTGGGGGGGTCACAGGTGAAAGCAAACAGAATTATTTTATTACATATATTTAAAATGCGTAAGAACATACCTATACCCTTAAAGAACAAAACAATAACATAATTGGAAATCAGTTTTAAATGAGAAGACGAAAGGAAAATACAATAAGCCTCTGGTCTATGCACCCTGCTCTTTGGAGCTGCCCAACCTCTAAATCCAGAGTCCCAAATCCCTCTCTTAGCTTTTAAGTATCTGTAGTTTTAAAAAATTGGTGTTTAGATATGATCAAATGACCAAGCATTGCTAGATAAGATCCTTTACAACACCACTTGGTTGAAAAATAGGAGGTTCGCCTTTCTATCTAATAAACAATATGAGATGGGGGGGGGGAATTTAATGGGAAATTATAGAGAATCATTGATTCAGCATAGACACCTAGTAATGTATAAATAACATTGGAAAAAAATTCTCAAGAACTGCTTATTTTTCTATATGATTTCTTACAATGCTACATGCCATTGTAGAAACACATTTAGCTAGTTATCACCTAGATTTTTTTGTAAAGAGCACAAAAAAAAAACAGAGCACCGTAGTAACTTTTGATCTAATGATATGACTGTCTGAAACTAACGTGAAATTTTAATGGCTTTAGTGATTTAAAATGCGTAGTAACTTTACTGGGCCAAGATAGGCTTTTAATATTTCAAACCAAACAATACTCTTTTAGTTCTATTGTGTATATATATATATATATATTTAAAGAAGTATATGTAAAGCAACCATTGAAATTAGCTTCTTAGTCATTCCGTATAATTCTGTTATTCTAGCTATTGCAGAAAGATAAAAATAAAAGATTAGGTGCTGTTTCAGATGTAGAGGAAGTTAAAAAGCACGATTTTTTCCGAGCAATCAATTGGACGGATTTAGAAGCTAAAGCAATACCTCCTCCCTATAATCCGAACGTCGTAAGTAAATTGTTTTTTAAACGTACGCATTTTTATTATGTTTAAGTTGTATTTTATATGACCGGAGTTTTAAAAGAATTCGAATCTAACGTTTTAATTTTTTGGAGCATGATAATCGGCCATTAAGTATATTTCATTTATTTTGATGTTTTTCCTTACTAACTGTTCTTATTGCAGCACTGTTTCGCTTTTGTCATGCCAAATAAGCTATTGCATCGATAGTGTTGATTCTACACTGTTAGAAATTTCTCGGAAAAAATGGTTAAATGGCTACTAATTTAATTGTTATTTTACCACACTCAAACAAAACAGTCAAATAACTATGAGCAAGATCCAACTTTTGACTGTGAGAAAATATTGTTTATTATCTGCTACTGTTAAAACTAATACTGTTAAACAACCGGAATTTTATCGCACCAACTACGCCCACCTAAGGAAGCTATTTAGCTCCTCGCAACTGCGTACAAATAACCGAGAGGGCTAATCTGTTCGACAGAACTAGGTATCGTGTCCCACCGTTGACACCGCAATATTTCCTGTTTTCTCTTCAACACATGAAAAGTTTGTGTTCCGCATTTCCCAATTTATGTCCTACATTTCCCAATGTCCATTGCCTAACGAAAAGTCGAGCTCCTATTTCCAGCTAAATTTCTTTTTCACTGTTTTTAAACTAGTTGCGGCGGCCCGGTAGTGCGCTGGGCCCATGTCCGAGAGTTCGTGGGTTCGAACCCCGCCGGTCGAAGACTCTCCGTTTAGTAAAGTGACTGATGCACGTTAAATCTGTCAAGTCACAAACGTCCTCCATGTTCCCATAACAAATGAATACCTCTGGGGGTACTGGATTGGAGATCGATCGTTCTCTGATTCAGGTCAAAATTACGATCTGTGGATGAATGAATGGATGTAAGAGTGGGTCAGCTCTATAAACGGTTGCGACGTATGGTGTGGCAGAAGTCGAATTCTTAGTCATAGATGGCGCCACTGGAAAACAAGAACAATCGCACCCCCTCTGCCTAAACAGGCATACGTCAACAACAAACTAGTTGCTAGCTGTAAATGATTGGGGAAAAAACGCATGGTTTTATAATCGTACTAGTTGTTTAACGGTTTCATAACCGTAAAGGTAAAAAAAAAAATTATCTACTGTACTCTTTGCGGTTAATCGGATGGACAGATTGCTGCCGGTTATTTTTCTATGATCGTAAAAGGAAAATTTTAACAGTGTAAATTAGTTGTTTGAATAGCATAAATTTAGAAATCTTGACATAAAAGTTAAGTATCAACTGCAAGAAAAATCTTTTTTTTTTCGAGATTATCTTTTAAATATGTTAATCATGTCAGTTTCCGATAACATTATTATAAAAAATACATTTATTTTCTTCAAACCAAAAACATCTTATGGGCGTGTATTTTTAACAAAAATTATGAGTGTGAAATAGAATAGAATCTGCTCGAACAAAAACTTACAGTGAAAATCCGTAAGAAATGTGACGTCAGTATCGGAAAAGAGATTTAACTTGTTGTGTATTTGTAAAAACGGTGCTCAATAAAAGAAAGTAAGAAGAGTTTGAAAAAAAAAAAAGCGAAAACTTCTTTAAAACTTAACAATGAAATCAAACCTAAAAACTTCAATAAAAGCACTGATAAAATGTTTACTTAAAGAAATATTTATTTTATTTTTTTCGTTTTATTTTATTGTAAGAAAATTTAAAGGCAATATCTCAATTGGTTGTTTTGTTCCTAGTTTTATCAATGGTTTTTATTTGATTTATGTGTATTTTAATATTTATCTTTTTTTTAGAGAGGAAAAATGGATCTGAAAAATATTGATCCAGAGTTTATCAGAGAACCTGTACCAGGTAAAAAATATTTTTAACATTAAGAAACAATACACAGTATACTCTTGATATCTCAAAGTTGAAGGTAACGCTGACAAAGTTCAGAGCTTATTATTTTCTGAAAAGTAGACAAATATAGTCTAAAATATTATCTTGAAAAGTAGAGTGAAGAAGCATAAGAAAAACTAATAATAATTAATTATGTAATGATAGTAATTCTGTAAATCTAAATACAGCAATGATAATTTTTAAAAATAAGACAAAAATAGTTAAGCATTAAATAGAAAAGATTGGTTTAAAATAAACTTACACTGCGATTTTCAGAAAATTCATCTTCAATTTCGAAAAATATTCGACCTAACAAGTTTTTGAGAGGAAACTCTCTCTCTTTCTCTGTGTGTATGGGGGGGGATATAAAAATGTATTTATTAATGTTTATATGAGCTAGTGTGTTATTCTGAACAATGTTTTACGAATTTGTTCTTTTATCCTTCAACTTTTCATACCTCGCTCGACAGTGTGCATTTAATCGAAGAAATGCTAAGAAGTTATCAAACACTTGCGGTTTTGTTATGCGTTTAATACTCTTTTATTTCCTCTACGAAATAATGTACAGTGCGCAAAATAAAAAACAGACCACTCTGATTAACTTTCGATCTAATGATCGGATCTTCACGTTCAATAGTTTCAATAGTCTTTTTAGCATTCATTAAAAAAGGCCTTTATTACTAAACCAACAAATCTTTATAAAACATTATCGGTAAAAATGGGAAAATTAGAAATCGTTTCAGAAAATAATGAACAAAAGTTTGAAAAATATTCTGTGGGAAAATGAAGAGACAAAAAAGAAATAGTAAGCATTATAGATGATGATCTGAACGAAATTTTCATTTTATTACCGTTTAATGCTGATAATTAAATATTTTTTATATCCTCAAATGCAAGGATATTTAATATATTGTAGTCACAAGTTTCATAGTGCGTACTTTAAAAAATAGTCAAAATACTAAATATAAAAATAAAAAATATATATATTTTTGATACAAATGTATAATTTAGTTATTTCATAGAATAATTAACTAATTAAGTAATAACTAATTACAAATGTGTAACTTAGTTATTTCATTGAATAATTAAGTATTTCATTAAATAACTAGAACAGTAGTCAAAGTATATAACAGATGAAAAATTTCATACTTTACCTAGTAATTCTATGGAATATGTTCTATGAATTACTAATATGAGTATTCTAAGAAATAACTAATGATAACCGTTGAAGTGAAAGATAAACAATTTCAAAGTTTTTTTAATGAATTAAATGGTTATAAAGAGCAAAAATCTCTAAAAAATACACATTTCATACCTATTTCGGATGATTAATTGATAAATAATAAGGAAAGGCAGATGATATATTTTATTATTGCTCATATTAATAACTGCGTCTGAAAGCAATGGAATGCGGTGTACACACACATACGTCACTGCAAAGCAGCTATAAGCTGTTCAAAACTGACTAAAAGTATCTAAAACCGGTTAAAAAAAATTTCAAGTGCAGTATTTCATCTTCATCCGTATTTCTTTAACGATCAAGTAATCATTTTAAGTAATCTGGCTACCGGTTAATCACCAAAAAGGCAGGGAGAATTTAATATAACCCTGTAACTTTAACATTTTTGTGATTAAAGAACAAAAGCATCTTAAGGAAAATAGAGTTACTAAAAAGATATTGATATTCGAATAGTCGGGACTGTGAATTAATGAGTTATAACACTTGCATTGAATTAAAAAGTTAACCGTCACATTGATTCTTAAGAAATGAATAAAATACTTATAATCGCTTTTTAAAAGACGCAATTAAAATTAAATAATTGCTTTAATTTAATTAGAATTGAATTAAGAATGAATAAAAAAAATAATTTATGAAATTAAAGAGATTTTAAAAGCTAGGAAATATGTATTGCCTATAATGGCATCAGAATTCATTTTTTTAAAGATGCTTTTCCAGATGTGTTCGTATAATACGTTTTTTTAATCTGTGTACATTGTCTTACATATGCATTTTTGAGCTATATTCAAAATAAAAATCTCACTGATCACCAGGAGTTGGCACTTGGCTCCGCCTTCATCACGTGGTATCCGACGATACTATATCGCTATTTTTGGGAGAAGGATGTGAACAATCCTGAACAAGATTGCTATTTGGCGATCGTATGACAAAAATATTTCTTCGCAGTCTCCATGTGCGATTTTTTAACGTTCAATATTTCATAAATGTGACAATATTTCTCTCTTTTGAGTGAATAGTTTGTCCTTTTTAAGACATTTTGTTGGGAAAACAACAGTTAAGTTTAAAATATATTTAATTAGCTAGAGAAACGAAAGTTATAATAGCAGATGATAAAGAGAACTAAGTGATTTTATTTTAATAACTGTCGTTGAACAGCAGACTCAACTTTGTGTGTTTACGACTACTAATGTTCAACTCCATAACCATGCAATTTTGAACCCAATCCAGAAGACAAGGGAACTCCTGAACCATGCATTGGGAGAAATTTGCCATCGTTGAGGACTTTTTGATGGAACTAACCCGCATTTACTTACAGGGAAAAGGAAACCAAGAAAAACTCCCACTGTTAGCCTATCGGCAAGGGGACTCTAATCCATGATCCCTCTGTCACTGAAGATATTTTACGTCAGCACTGTGGCCGGGGCAAGCCGGATGCGAAATTCGTATCTACCAGCTATTGCTGGGATTCGAACCCGGTTCACCTCATTGGAAGGCGAACACTCTATCTGAGCCCACGGCTCCGAAGTAAATGATTGAAAAATAATTCACTGTTTGAGTTTGACACGCATTAAGGGTTGTCTCATTTTCAAGAGCGGAGATGTTTCTCCTCTTACTCCCGCACTGAAATGAACTCTGCTTCCGAGGAAGTGGTGACAAGTGCCACCTCCTTTGGAACGAACTACTATATTTATTCTCCATGTAGAACTTTTTTCTTTGTTTTTATGCTTGTGTCCTTTATTTTTTTTAGCTTCACTAGCACGTTCTCAGAGTTTAAGTGCAAGTGTTCAAGATGCTGATGTCTCATTTGTTGGATTTTCATACGCTCCGCCAAATGAACTTTGAACTTTGTTTAAAAAAAAAGAGATAGTGCAATTGTTTTTGTTAAAATGTGTCCTAAAAGTGTCTATTTGTTGAAAATGTAACAGTATTTAACTTTATTTGTATTATTTACTGAATACATAATTGTGGGCAAAGGAAAATTCTAAGACATATTTAAAGAGATTATTAAGGAGTTGAAGTAAGGAGATTAGTTAAGTTACTGGAGAAGCATCTTAATGCATTAACTTTAGAAAACGCCATTTATAATTATTTTTGGAATAAATATTTCTAAATGGTTATCAAAATTTTTAAAAGCTTAACAAGTTAAAATATTAAACATCATATGGGAGCTACTTAACATTTTAAAATTATTTTTTTATACAGTAAGTAATTTTTTATTAACAAATGTACACAATTTTATATAAAAAAAGAGAATATTTATTTTTATGTTAAATAATTTATTGTATTTTGAAAATACTCAACTGTTGAATTTATGTTGAAATGTTATATAATTAAAATTATCCTAAAAAAGCATTTCAGTTGTGTTCTTTATTTTTACAAAATATACTTATTTTAAATATCATAAAGAAAATAACTAAACAGTATGGAATATTAAGTTTAACATTATTGCCGTTAATGAAAATAATAAGAATAAAGACTGAAACAGCAATTAAAGTAGAAAGTAAGCAAGCACTCAGGTATGCTTTAGTTGCGCTCTTGAATGTAATTAGACTTCAAATCGGAATTCTTTAAAAACAAATGATAAAAAAAAATTGAATTTACCACTAGGACATTCATTAGCTACAGAAAATGTTTAGAAATAATTTTGCGGCACTTTCATTTAAAAAATAAGCGTTCTCTGTTAGATTTATTTAATGATCGTCAATGAACTATCCACGCAAGTAGATTTAAGACAGTATGAAGTATTTTGAAATTTTGAGCTTTCCTTAATACATAAGATAAATACTCTTTAGGCGTGAATTGTTCTTTAATTAAACGAATCTGAATTTGAACTATATTGAGAAAATAAAGATACTAACACCTCCCCACTGTTAACCCAACAATAATTGAAATCTAACCTATAGTCTACACCAGCGATTACCTAAAGGCATTCCTCTGAAACCTAGAAAAATTACAGCGGTTCCGAAAATTTGAATTTTTAGAAAATTATATTTTTAACCAATCAATCATAATTTAATATTTCAGCTCCATCATAGTTTAATATTTTTATATTTCTATTTCGTTTATTTTTTCATATTTCTTGATCATAATTTAATGTTTTAACTAATTTTGTAAAAGCCATTAAAAAAGTAGCAAACTTTAAAAATAAATAATTTTTTCAATAGCAATATATTGAATAAATTATAAAAATAATTTGAAATTATAAAAAATTCAATAAGTGTTTCTCATCGCTCTTTTAAATTCAAACTAAAATAGCTAACTTCAAGGAGAAAAAATTATGCTTCCTAGATTATAATTATCACCGTGTTATCATTCGTTTTTTTTTTAATATTAATATTTCAGCCAATTTTATTCATTTTCAACATATGCATATACCAAGAACAAATGTTTCAAATTAAATATTTCATTTTATTCACATTAAATATTTTCAAAATAATTGGGGTTATTTTTTTTTTTTTTGGCTAGAATATTAATTTATTCACAGCTGCTGATGAACCTTTTTTTTTATAATACTGGGGGTTCGCTACAGAAACTAGATGATTACTACTGACTAAAAGAATTAGAACTGCTGAATTCAAGATGTGGTGATTGAAAATTTCATAGGGCTGAGTGGAAGACTATCAATCATCTGGATTTGAACCAGTGTCACTTTTTTATTAAATGAAAGGTACCTGATGTGTGCAAATTAAACTAGTCCCGCAGTGAACTGATCGTTAAGACACGGTTCCCAGCAGATCACCGAAGTCAAGTATCACTGGCTGCGGTCAGTGTGCGGGTGGGTGACCACCTGGATAAGTCTGCGTAGGGACCGAGGGTGTGAGGTATTGGTTCTCGCTAAACTGTGCTATTGTAAAGTGCTCGACTTCCCGTGCTGGTCGTTGGACTACCGAAGCCGGGGTGCCATCCCCTTTGCAGAGGATCAAAATTGTTATGGCATGTCTTCGGATCATCCTCAGGGATGCTTCCCAGACCGTCGCCAATAGCCCATTGTGCAGCTCTAGTGTGACGTGAATGAACTACAACAGCAAATTAAACTACTTTTTTTAATACAGTCTGCCTTTTTGGTTAAGCATTGATACATTTTAACCAGAGTTGTACAACCAACCGAATTCCGAGTTCATGGCTATCAATGTTCAACTCAATGCCCTTGTAATTTTGAGCTCAATCCAGAAGACAAAGGAGCTCTTGGATAAAGCATTAGGAAAAACTATCCTTCGTGGAGGGCTTTTTGATTGAACTAACCCGCACTTGTGTTAGATGGAGAGAAGAATCTCCCACGGTTGGTCCTCGGCAAGAGGATTTTTACCCGTGATCCATCTACCGCTGATGCTATTTGAATGTCATCCCATTGTGGTTGAAGGGAGCCAGTAACAGAATTCGTATCGGCCAGTCATGACTGGAATTCGAACCTGGGTCAACTCATTGGAGGGCAAATGCTCTATCCCCTGAGCTATTTGCATTGGTTGCAGATACATAAAATATTGAAAATGTAAGTAAGAGAAAAAGCGTTTGAAAGGAATCACAAAAATAATTTTGCTAAACGCTTGATAAATAATATTTTTCTAAAAAAAGCGTTCAAGATTTACGTATTAAAAATGTATTTCAAGCAATTTATCTTTAAAGTTCTAATTTCCTTAGTAAATTGTTAGAAAAAATTCCTTTAAAATGCAAAATACTGCAGAAACTGTAAAATTTGTAATTCAAAACTTAAAATCATTTAGGCTTTTTAAACATGAATTAATGCTGTTTTTCAAAGACTTTGACGTTACATGAAAATACACTTTTTTTATAATTGATATATTTTCATACCTGTTATAATTAGCAAACAGCTATTCATGACTGTTATTTTCAAGTTTAGCTTATTTTTAACCAGCGCCCCCTGAGCCAGTACATAAAATCGAGTAAAACGTTAAGACTTCATTTTCAAAAACGTCACGGTAAGCATTAGGAGCAAAGCTGCTGCTTTGAGAAAATATAAAGCGTTTGATATAATTCTTTAATGATTGAAAAGTTGCTCCAACCAACACTTAGAATAGAGAAGACCTTCGCATGGATTAATTTATTCGTATGGTTTGTCCGAAAGAACAAACACAAACTGAACGGTGGGGGAAAGATGTCACAACGTTTAGACTATTAGGATCGGTTTTCTCGTTTTTGGTAACCCTTGCTAAGGCTTTTTATTTTATTTTAGTAGATATTTCTCCAACTTTGCTTTGTCTGGGATCACAAAAATCTGCAAAAATTAAGAATTAATCATTGATTTTTGATAATTTTCAGTCAAATGGAAAATCTTCCTAAATTGGTGATTTTTAAAAAATGTTTAATGTATTTTAAAAAATGTAAGTTTTTTACCGTTCTAAAGCCCAAATAATTCTTTTAGACAATATGGTTTGCATAGTTAAAAAAAATAGCTTTGCCTCAAGTGTGAGCTTCTGAACTGTTACCTTGTTATTTTCCTTGGCTAATGGCCGGAATCTCAAACACCTCTTTATATAGTTCTTTCGCCAAGGAGAATAAAAAAAGCAACAGTTTAGGTGCCTTACACTTAATGCAAAGCTATCATTTTATACTTTGTCTGAGATCTTACCGTAAAGAATTATCTGGACTTTAAAACGGATAAATAATTAAAGCATTTTAAAAGTTACTTAACTTTTTTTAAAAAAAATAGAAATTTTTCCATCAAAATCAATTCCTCATTATTTCTTTTTGTTGCTTCTTACGCCACTTGCCAAATATTTTATTATAACTTGTACGTATACATGTATATTATTGTGCTATGTTTTATGTAATTAACTTGTATGTAAATATATATTAACTTGTTATGTAATCATGGAGGACTTTGTGACCTGACAGGTTTAATGAGCACCAGTCACCATTTACTACACGGTGAGTCTTCGGCCGACAGGGATCGGACTCACGACCTCTGGGACATGGGCCCAACTCCCTATCAACCAGGCTATCCCACTCTTTATTTTTCCAGATAATGCAATCTTGAAGAAAGGCTTTAAATATTGAAAAACTTAACCACAAATGCTTTTTCTTTTCTCAAAACTGGTCTTTTCTCCTGCTTTGTGCATTTTCACCTTAAACATAGAGGCTGCTGGCTAAAAATAGGCTAAACTTGACCTAACAATCATGAGTAACTATTGCAAACTAGTAGCAGTTATTAAAATAGCATATTATTGGCAAAAAATCATCATATCATGCAAATACAGAGTCTTCGAAAGACAGCCTTGCCTTTTTCATCCAACGATGCACTTCATCATGAATTTAACGCGAGGGCGTATTCAGGATGAAAAGTGGTTACCTACAAGTGATGTCACTCTTGGGTAAAAAGTGGCATTTGCTTATGCCACGATTCAGCAGCCTATCAGGTAGTTTCTGAACATCTAATTAAATCTGCTCTGAAATATGATTCAGGGTGAAAGCTAATAACTGTAATGTTAACGCGCTAGGGACAACTACGTGGTTAGGTCCAGCCATGTGATTTCAGTGTTATTCTTCCCAAGTTGCAAGCATCCAAATGTAGTTTTTAATTATTTATAACCTAATTATTACTTCTTTAAAATTGGTAAGATAAATTTTATGTATCATTTCAGAACCTAGAACATTAACTTTAAAAATAATTCAGCCTGATTGGAGTGTGACACGTCGATTATGTTCCTTGTTAGCATAAATACAGTAATATCTCATTAAGTAGAAAAAGTAAAAACATCAAAAGAATTATTCGTACCTACGCCCAATATGCTTAAATTTATTATCTTGAATATTAGATAAATTAATGTACGTTTGGGATATATCAAATAATTTGGAATGTGTTTATTAATGGATGATATATAAAGTTAATAAAGGAAAATAAAAGCTGTTTTAATAATTCAGATGATTATTCACCTGTATTCAGTTAAGGTAAATATAAATTATTATATCAACATGCCATTAATTTTCTATTAATTTAAAAACTTATAAATTTTTTATGAATTTTAAGTTATTTAAAACAATTAATGCCCTTAATGACGTCAAATGTATTGTTTTTTAATTATTTGTGGCTATGAAAAAAATACAATTCTCTCAGGTTTCTACTATTTTATTGAAAATCTTCCAATTTTAAGGTATCTAAGTCCCTGTTATAGAGATTATTGCCGTACCCACATTTTCCTCTAAGTATCTTAGGTAACTTTTGCCTGTAGATCCATTTCAGACTTTCATCGCAAACAAATCCTTGATTTCCTACAAAATTAAATAAAAGTTGTTTTTATTACAAAATACTGTATTGTGCGAAAATTGATCATATTCGTGAGATACAAATTTTTTATGTATTTCATTATGTACAGTCCGCAAAAAAAAAACGAATCACCCTGAATAACTTTCGTTCTAATGATCGGATTTTCACGAACTAAGTGTCAATCTTAATGGTTCCGGAGGGTAACCTCAAATATGTTAATTAATTAGTGCTAACTNTTCTTTATGTACTTTTACAGCACAGTTTCCGAAAGATAACACATTTCTTAATATTTTTTTCCAATGCCCTCCTCGAGAATGACCTTTCGTCATGCAGGCATCTGAAGGGCAAATTTGTTGGCTACTGTTTCAAGGGCACCATATTAGATGGGTCAAAGTTGCTCACACGGTAAGGACAGATAGTACAGAGAATGAAAGAACACTCATGCCTTGCCTGGGATTTGAATCCAGAGCCTTTCTGATGCAAAGTCAGTTCCCTGACCCCTACACAGGAAGGTCGGCCATTTTTCAGTAAGAAAATGATTATAAAAAATACTGTATTGGGCAAAAATTTATAATTTACGTGAGAGAAATATTTTTTGTTTTTTATTATATACTTTCACAACATAATTTTCTAAAAGATAATGCATTTTTTAATTTGAAAATGATTTTCTTTGCAACTTGCAACGACTCACTTTTGAAATTAAAATTGGATATTTTCAATTCAAACATTTTATAAAATTTAAAAATATTCTTTAAGTATTTCTCAGAAATGGAATTGTTTTTTTTATAAGAATTCCAATCGATACTGAGTTTTTGCTGCAATCAGGGAATATTTTTTTAAACATGAAAATTGTTAATTACTTCAAACAACAGTTTTACTTTTAACTAAGATTAACAGCCAATTTTTAAATGATTATTAATTAAAAACTCATTTTACAATAATATTATATTATGTTATACAGCACACATCATAGAAACTTCTTGCTTTTCTCTCTTCAAATTGAAAAATAAATATGAGCTGCTGCTTTTTGGTGTTAAACCTAGCACTTAAATTTTGCTTTGTATTACATTTTATTTTACTGAGCAAGCAAAAAGACTTAGGAGCTTGAAATTAAAGGGTTATGTAGAAAAATAAACATGGATTAAGAATAAAAATTTTTAATTTTGCGTAATAGGTTCCAGAATGACTAAACTGTAAAAAAAAATTACCACGTGGAACACTCTGCAACAGTCAGAAAGAAATAGTTAAATTGGACGTTCTGAATGACATACTTTTATTTATGAAGAGTTTTTTTCTATGAATTTTTATGAAGAGTTTTCATAAGAGTTTTTTTTTCTTTTTTTTTTAATTCCAATTTCCTTCAAAAGTTATTGCTTATAAGCTTATTAAAGTTATAAGTTACTTTTTAGCGAAATTTTTGCTTTTTTTTGCTTTAAATAATGACTAATTATCCATAGTTTAATAAATATTTATTTATCTCTTTCAAGATTTTTATTTTATAAGTTAGTGCTGCAATTAGCTAATGTCAAAAATAAAAAAAATTCAAACAGATTTTTATGCATATTTTAAGCCGCACAATCCTCTCAGGTATATTGTTAGATTTCGATAACTTCTTTTTTTTTCCTTTCATTGCTTAATCTCATGCGGTAAAATGTTGGCATAATAAGACCACATATTTTTGACAATGATATAAAATATATAAAAGTAGTAGTTTTTTTTTAACCAGCATGTTTTTTTTTTCAAAAACTTTAAATTTTGAAAATATAAGGACTCGATTTCTTCCTTTTGGACGTGCATACGACGGATATAATTTTATGACTGTTTCATAAGTCTCTCAAATGATTTAAGATTTGGCGAACCATAATTTGAAAACTTTATTTTCGATAAGGATTTTAGAGACATAAAGGTGATCATTACGAAGTATTCTGTTGCTATTTAAATGTACTCTCCACCTTTCGCGAGAACTCCTCTCGATCAAACGTTTGAGGAAGTCTGCTACCATAAAAACAAGAGTAAAATCATTTCTAAGGAAGAGGAAATGAGTTTTAAAATGACTCTCTTAGCTTAAATCAATGAGCCCCTTTACCCCTATTCGCAGTGACTAATCTTCGTAATCACCGAAGGCAATCTAACATCTGGAGGAATTCTCATGAAAGTGAAATAGTACTTAAAAACGCAAAAAATAAAGAACAAAATATGTGATTCGAGTGAAAACGAACACAACACAAAATACTCACTTTCAACATACACTTCTTCTAGCTGACTCCATACTTTTCCCCAAATACTTTCTGGAATTGTTTTCAGTTTGTTTCCTGCAAGATTCACTGTTTTTAAAGCTGGAAATCCTTCGAAAAAGTCTGCGGGCAACTCTTCAATTCCGTTGAAGCTAAATCACAATTTTTAATGCATAAATTAATCAGTTTTGGCTTAGTAAAAATATTAAAAATGAAACTGTGAAACATAAACATTTTCAATACAGTCTAAGACCACTCTCTTAACTTTCAAACATATATAGATATAAAACTGATGTTTAGGTATGGTAAAGCGGCCCTGCAATTATAGATAAAATCTCGTAGATCATCACTCGGTAAAAAACTAAGAATTTATTGTTCTTATGAAGAAAACAGCACAAAATATGCAGAAAAAATTGAATGCGAAATTGCAGAGAATAGATTTAGCACAAATAGACGGTTTGTTAAACATAGACTACATAAAGGGAAAGTACTTAAAAAGTGCCTTTGTTTTTTTTTCATAATTTCTTACAATGTTACATACCAGTGTAGTAAAACATTTTGCCAGTTATCTTTCCAGTTATTATCTTACCAGTTATCTTTATTTATAGTAATGCGGAAGATTAAAAACAGAGCATAATAATTTTTGATATGATTATCAGAAACTAATATAGAATTTTAATGGCTCTAGAAATTTAAAATATGCTGATTAGTTTGAACAAACGTTACTTGAAGTTACAAAATCAGACAGAATGAACACATATCTTTTTTCAGCGGAATTTGTTTCTTTACCCTCGAATAGGGGGGGGGGTAGTAGGCACAACCCAACAACATGATCTCGTTGGTTTAATCTGAGGCGAGAAAAAAGGTTGCGGACTCTAACGATCAGTGCAGTTCATCTATGGAAAGATCTCCTTTCGCCACAAAGTCAACGACCGTCTGCTGTTATGGAAACAAGAAACAGCGCATTTAAAAAAGGGAGCTTCTCTCTCCACTGATTCCCTGTCTCTCACCGACCCGAACCAATATCTGCCTTAAATATTGACCTCCTAACCATAGTCTCCGCCACTGCTCCAAAAGAACAGTTCTTTCAATAGACAGATTACAAGTATGCTTCTTACCTTATTTCTATCAACCACAACTTATTAGCTGGGTTTGGAAACATGGATCTGGACACAGTTCGGACACGGTTGTCACCTAACCATAACTGCTGAAGATTGGTCAGAGTTGTAAAAGCTTTGTCTCCCAACTTTTCAATGTCATTTGCCTGCAAGTCCAACTGCTCCAGAGCTTCTGGTCCATCTTCAAACCAATCGTTTCCCAACTGGACAATATCGTTACCCAGGAAAGAAACGTCCCTCAAATGCTTCAGGTGACTGAGTGGGAAAGTCTTGAGATCTTTCCTTCTTTTATCAACGCTTCCATAAATGTAAAGTTGTCTCAATGAGTTCTCAAGCCCACTGAATGGTTTGTCGCCAAATGATCCAATTTTGCAATTTTCAAAATGCAAGTTTACTGACTGGTGTCCTTTGAAAAATTCGGAGGGGATGTCACCGAGATTGGACCGCCAGAATGCGAATGATACGTTGTGCCCTAAGGTGTTCTTAACGACAGGTTCAACCTTAGAGAGACTGCTGAAGCCTTCACAATCTACAGAAGTCAGCAAACCATCATTTTCACATGAGCAAGGATATACTTTATCTCTAGGAGGACAGTCAACAGCAAGTGATGCTGCAACAACTGTTAGGAGGATTTGACCGAATAGAAACATCTTGAGTAAGGAAACCTATAAAAATAAAAAAAGCAAATATTTTACTTGAAAATAGCAACTTATTAACGCACATCATTGAAAATTATTCAAGAAGATAATTCTTACTCAAGAAACTATCTAAATGAATAAATCAGAATGTATGTATGTATGTACCTTATACAAACCTTACCTTATGTACCTTATTATTATTCTGAACTAATCCTGACCAAATTTTGTGTATATGTTTGAAAACACAATGAATTTACTGTGAACTTATAAACTCTCTCCCATCACCAGTCTACGAGCTACATCCCAACGAAAGAGTTTGTCATGGAATTTCATGAATATTTTATAAAATGAGTGATTTGTTAACCTGCCACTCTAATTGATCAAACAATAATTTTATCGCATGTTTTAATGAATAATTTAACTTTAAATTCCTATGTTAGGTTATCACAAGTAAACTAAATGTTAACATGTTCGCAACGTATGGTAAAGATGACCGTTACCGAAGCGTAAAAAGTATAAGAAACCACTATTGATACTTACGCGTTTAAATCTGTCTCTATGATCTTAAATAATAGAAATTCAACAGGAACTTACAAACAGGAAAATTGCAGTAAATTCTGAATATCGAAGGTTAAATTATAATAATGTTATTAATATTTCTTTTAGTGAATTGAACTAACTCATATTATCCTAAATCTAATTGCATAAAGCCTTACTTAAATATACAACAACTAACAAGAAAATAAAGGTTGTGTATTAGATGCCAAGAAAAAATAGTATGGTGTTATTAGGTTACTTATCCATTACGGAGGGTGGTAAGAAGGATATTGCCACAGTACCTGTATTAGACACCTTTATTCGTACAATTTGTTTCCATAATCACATCACCTATAACGACAACTCTAGTTGTATTTAATATCACATTCAATTAATTCCCTGGCATCAAAAGAAGTTCGGCGATTTTCTTAGCCTTCGAAGTAATTGGTATTAGTTCGCATCGTATATGGGAACAGTAAAAAATAGCTAGGTGGTTCTTGACGCCAATTGTGCTTAATTTATTTTGGTAGTAGGTACCAATTGAAATTTTAAAAAAAACAATTGCATTTAATATCTAAATTTATGAAGAAACGGTAACTCTTAATCTAGGAAAACTGTAAGAAAATGAAATTTTATCATTTACACTAATGACGCTTTACTAATTTTGGTAATATGTATTACTGGTATTATGTTAACTAGTTTTTTTAATAGATATTAATTAAAATAATAAGTATATTAATAAAATAATATTATTGGTACCAAGATTCCTACTATAGGTGTTGGGAAAATAGATTTATTGATTATAGTAATTTTTTTCTTATAAGTAATTGACTTTGAGCAGTAGCATTATACCAAATGATACTGAACATGCTGAATGATACTGAACTTAAATCTTTATTTTGATTGGTTGAATTTCTAAGATTATGTTTTTATTAATCTATTAAGGTAAGGTCACTGAAAAGGGCAACAAATAAAAATAAATAAATAATTGGAATTGCTTAAGCTTAAGTAATTATATCAGTATATGCCTTTCAGTTTGCCGACCAGCCTGTGTAGGGGGCAGGGAACTGTCCTTGCATCAGAAAGGTTCTTGGTTCGAATCCCAGACAAGGCATGGATATTTCTTTCTCTCTATCTGTGTTCTATGTCCTTTCTCCTTTGTGTGTGAATGAGACCTGCCCTATAAACGGGTTGTGGTAGTGTGACGTGGGCGCCGCTGCTCCACCGCCGTGGATTCGCCACAGGTGCTCACTGGGTAGCGAAAAGAGAATTAGCAGTTCTGGCACTTTCTGTGGCCAATGAACAATAGTTCCAAGTGCCCGCCATTAAATACAAAAAAAATGCCTTTCAGTTTTTTTCTTCCTTTTTCGCATGATTTCCTAATGTTGATTAATATTGCTTTCTTGATTATTTACTTTTTTTTCAACCAGTACGAAGAACGAATATTCAACAAGTAAATAATATTTTACTTCTATTTTCAAGTGAGACACTCGAGAAATTAACAAGGAAATTATTAGCATAAAATTCATAATGTGAAAGGTGGATCTAAAAAAATTATTCAAAAAGAGGTTCGGGGAGAAAAAGTACGCTACATTCTCTGCGATTCCAGGTAATTTACAACACTCAGTACTGCATTGTATAGCAGAATGAGAAAGTTGATTCCTACGATTGTTGATTGGGGACATCAAATTTGGGAACAATTTCACTGTTTTTCCCAAAGCATATGCTTTAAATTTTCAAAGTTTCTAATAAATAGCAGTATTGTAAAGTACTTAAAAGTTAAATGATTTTTCATAAGCTAAAACCCATGGCTAATGGTTTGCACGTCAGCGATTCTTTCTGGAAACAATCTATTTTTTGAAATATAAAACGCAGCCAAAACACTCTTATGAAAATGGGAGAGTTAACACATCTGCTGCGAGAGATTGGACATAGTTCATATGCTGGGAGTAACAGGGTTCCTTTGCTAGGAAAAATGGGGAGTTGCTTCCTATTCTAGGAGAGATGAAGAATTGTTCCTATGCTAGGAGATATAGGGAGTTGTTCCTATGCTAAGAGAGATGGGGAGCTATTCTAATGTTGGGGGAAGTGGGGAGTTTCATCTAATCTAAGAAGGATGAGGAAGTGTTCTTAAGCTATGTTTTTATGCTATGGAGAGTTGGAGATGGGGAGTTGTTCTTATCCTAGAAGAGGTGAGGAACTGTTCCTATGTTAAGTGAGATGGGGAGTTGTTCTTTTGCTTAGAGAAATGGAGAGTTGTTCCTTTGCTAGGAAAGATGGAGGGTTGCTCATTTCCTAGGAGAGATGGGGAATTGTTCTTATACTAAGGGAGATGGGAAGTTGAATGAAGTTGATATAAATATGACAACTAATCAGATATGAACAAACCATCAATTTTTCTGATTCTTTTATTTTTTCTATAATTTAGTTCCATCCTTTGTTTAATTTTTGATTTTTTTCCAGTTAACATTTTTTAATTTTCCTGATTCTTTAAATTTTTAGTCTTATTAAATTTCTTTCTTTTTTCTTATTTTTTAATGTTTTCTCCCGTTAACATTCCTTACTTTTCCAATTTTTCACTTTTTTTCTATTACTATTCCTTCATTTTTTTTTCATTCCTTAATTTTTTTCTATAAATAACATTATTTCACAGTTCTGCTTTTTAATCAATAAGCTGAAATATTTCCTCTTAGGACTACGGTATTTGTTTACAAAAACTTCACTGAAATGAAATTATTATCGTTAGCGATTTAACTGTAGTGTGATTCTAACAATATCTTTTAACAAAGAACGCAGATTGCGTAAAGAACTTTCAACTTTGAACTTTCATTACAACTGTAATAGTAAACTGAAACATTTAACTGAATCATTAACTTGAAGAAAAATATCAATAAAAACACATAAATGTAGATAATAGTTTAGAGTTTGCAGCTTTGGCAATTAGTCGCATATTTTTTTAAAAAGGAAAACGTGATAATATTCTTAACCAATCGCAGAAAGGTTTTTTTATTAATTTTAAGAACAATATGTAAACAAAAAAAGAAAAAATATTAGATCCCTTCTAATTGCTTACATTTTGGCATTAATTGCACCTAAATCACTTCTGACAAAACAAATTCAATCAAATCTTCTTGTTGTGAATTGCAATATTCTGAATTTATCGAAATTATATAAAAATCTAAAGTCAATACACATTTGTTATTCTCATTGAAGAAAACAAAACTCTTTTAATCGATTACATTCCTCAATAGTCTTCGATTTCACGAAGTATTTTTTTAACCCTTCCCCCAATCAAAAAAAAACCAGTTTACCCCGAAATATTAATCAATTTGATAACATTCAATCAACTTAAGTACTTTCCTGACATTTAATCTATTTAAATTTAAGTTACATAAAACAATCATTTTATTCATGATATTTTTATTTTATTTGTAACCATTGAGAGTTTTGATTAAAATTTATTTGAAGTAGATATTAATAAGTATTGTATATAACTTATTTGATAGAACTTATATGAGAGAAATAAAACAAAAGTATTTTAGTAACAATCAAAAATGTCTGAATTCATTTTTTGAATATAAAAACACTTTTCTGATATCATTTAAATATTTTGAGGATTATTTTGTGTTCCTTTGTTAATTTAAACTAAAATGCTAAAAAAAAATGTAAAATCTTTCCGAATTTTTGATATCATGAAATGTTTAGAATCACCCTTCGAGTTCATAATATCGGTGTTTGACTGTATATATTTTTACTGACTAAAAATTTCTATTACCGTAAAGTTTTGCATTATTACTGATTAGATTTTTTTTTCAATAAATGATACTGCTTTAATAAAATTATCGCCCTCAGATAAAGACAGAAAATATTACACACTAAAAATGCTAAACACACTTCTAAGAATATTCTAATGAATATTTTATTATTAATAGTTTATTCTAATGAATAGACTATTATAATGAGTAGTTAATTTTAACTATGGAATATCATCAAGTAAAACAATAACTTAAAATAGAAGAAACATCTGCTTACTTACCTGAAAATCACTTTAAGCGAAGTGAAATGATACAGTCAGCTTTTATCTGTAATAAACAGGTGTTACCTTTCTTTTTTTACGCAAGTACACATTGATAAATGGCAATGGAACAATGTTAAAAGAATGAGTATGCATTACTTTGAAACTTAACAGTTGTGCTTTGAAAAAAATCTTTTGATGCAGTAACATAAGTGAAAGAAAGCTTAGAATCAAAGAAATAAGAAATATCAAAAGTATTTTGTGAACAAGGGAAAAAATTAATTTCGAGATTTAGATAAAATGGTACTCCAGATCTGCCATTAAACTTTTACACAAATTTATGAACAATGTGTTTTACAGTCACAAGCATAAAATTAACAACAAAAAAGTCGTTGAATTCTTAAACTTACTACAAATGCACCTTCTTTCTTTTGTTTCTAGTTTACAAAAATTTCAGTATATTTTTCTTGCCACATATTTATTTTTTAATTTAAATAAAATCAAGATAAAGTTCAACTGGAAGTTTTATACTAGTGCATTTAAAAGAAAGAAATATCATTGAATATGATATTATTAATAAATACTGTTTGTTTGGTTACTACTTTAAAAAAATCTTGTATTTATGTATATATTTATTTGAAACCTTCTTCCTTCTAATGTAGAAAACTGAAGTTTAATTAGTTTTAGCAGCTAAATTTGAATTTAAAATTTTATATTCATGGATTTAAGGAGTAAGGAACACTAATTGAATTGATATTTCTATTAATTACTAATTACTTTTTGAATAAGCAGAAACAATATTACTTTTTTATTGTTCGTTCTATAGACTTACAAATTATAATAGAGAAAACAAATTATAATAGAAAAGAAATCGCTACGAAACAATACTCGAGAATAAAATATTTGAAATTTTAACAACTTTAGACTAAGAAAAAAAATTTGGTGACTTTATTAATTAAATTCTTCTCTGCCAAAATTGATTATGATCTAAGTTTGCATGTCTTTAAACGTAATCTTTATTAGAGTTGAGAGTTTTTCTATTAATTAAAATAATATCGATTGTTACATGCAATGATTTTAATTTCAATAATTTTAAATTATTTCTAAAAAGAATCATATCTTTCATTTCAAAATTAAACTCAAAATTTAATTTAATTTAATTTGTATGTTCTGATTTTTTTTTAAATATCAGGTTTTGGAAAATAATTTGAATTAGCTTTGATAATCATGCTACAAATTATGGTTTTTAGTCGTAACTAGATATAATATAGTCTTAAACTAAATTGACTGTTTTCAGAAATTAATAACTAAAAAACGGTCCAAATAAAATAAATGAATTTTGCAGCTAATTTTTGTGACAAGGCATAATTTTTTTCTCTTAGAGTTCCGATGTTTAATTCTAAAAGTTTTTAACAGATGGCATTGCAAATAGTAAATCAGTGTATTAAAGAAAAATATTTAGAAGTCACATCATGAATTTTTGAAATTTTTCAATGAATGAAAAATTTATTTCAAAATATATCTGAAATATTCACCACCATTTATAATTACATAACGCGATTGGAAAATGAAATTTTGACTCATGAAAAACATAGCTAAAAAACAGTAAGATTGACATACAGCGCCATCTTTCGGAGAACATGTCACAGGTATGTATTTATTTCCTCACCTAGCTTGAAATAGATGGTTATCAACTTGCTTATGAAATAAAGGCGGTCAATGCGCAATGCTCTCCTTACCGGCCATTATTTTTTTAAACGGCATAAACTTTTTTTCTATCACCGACGTTTTCAGCCAGATGTTGCAAAAAGGCTTTACTGCTGTGGTTTTCATACATTCGGAATTTTGCTAATTTAAATATTTTTTGTACATCTTCTTTAACTTATTTTTAACAATTATCTAACAATATATCCTTTTGGTTTAATTTATTTCTGCAATTCTGTGGAAAAATGAAGAAAAAAAGTATTGTTATGTAATTGCAAGTAAATAACTTTTTGAAAATAAATTTTTTCGATACTTTTTTTTTTGATCTTTTGTCACAGATGTCAATATTCCTACAGACATTAAAATAAATTTTGATAAAAAAAAAGGTTATAATTTAGGAAATTACTATTATAATGTTGTTAAAAATAAAATTTTCAGATTCATACATCCAAAAATATTTAATTGCAACAAGAATTAATATACATATCTTTAAAAATTTGAAAAAGCAGTCATAGAATTTTAAACTGATTTAAAATTTGCTTTTGATGCATTTTTATCATGCAGTAAATGTTGACTATAAATTAAAGAAATTATTATCAGGTGAGGTGAAGTAGTCAGATTGATTAACGCTACTTTTCAAAGCTCTGTCACCAAAGAAAATTTTTAAAAAAAAGAGCCATAGCCAAAGTTCCTTACAATTAAAGCAATGCGATCATTTTAATCGATATATTTAATCTTGCCGTGAAGAATTATCTTGGCTTTAGAACAGACAAACAGCATAAATATTTTAAAAGTTATTAAACGTTTTTAAAATCGCCAATTTGGCAAAATTTTTCCACCAAGATGAAAATTATCGAAATCACTGACGTTTGCTCAGTCTTTAGTTGTGTTGTGTTTATATTTGTTTTATTATTAGGATTTTGCAGAAACTAAACAGTTCTACCTACCATAATATATTAATGAGATAAAGTTTTTTGTTTCGATCTAAAGTCAACACACTTTTTTTAAACTTAAGTGGTAGGTGACAAAAATAAATAATCCCTTGGAATAAAAGAATATATTATACCACTTTTTTATTTCGGTGTTTTTTCATAAATGGACCACTTTTTGCTGATAGGAATTCATGGGTTAGCATTTGCAACAAAGCAATTTATTGTGGCATTAAAAAGTATAGCTATTTTTTTTATTTGTGCAAGACGTCTTTTTGTGTCAAATTTAATTGTTGATTTCTCATTTTATCATCCAAGCGAAATACAGTACTTAACTTAAGAAAGAATTAACTGAACTCTCTTTTATCCAAACTTAAAATTTTAACACAAATATGAAACAGAATTTTGAGATGAAAAGTTTCTCTCACGGTTTAGCTTTCTATTACTATCGGCTTATGGGTCAAAATCATCTGAGTATACAATACAATTGGGTACAGAATTGTCTGGTAAGGATTAAACGAACTACGAAGTTAAGATGTGAGTAATAAGTTCAAAAAGCGGCTAATATTTTTTCACCATCATGGTAATGTGAAACATGTGTGAGAATGCAATGAATGCCTAAACAACATTTTTGAGTTCGTTAAATAAAATGCATGAAATAGCCACTGTCATTATTTATTGACTGTACTTAATATTCTTATAATTCTTGTTTGTTATTAATTTTAAGGAAAAAAGTTTTAATTACTAACTTTTTCTGTGTGTTTCTATTATATCTTGAAGTAATAATTACTTATCTTGGTTTTAAATGTACACGTAAATGCATAATGTAAACTTTTAGTTTTGTACATAGATATTTAAATCACTTAAGAACACATTGTGAAACGTAACCTAAAGTACTCTGAAGTAATTTCGAAGTGGCAATGCAAGAAAAATTCATTACATAAGTTTAACCTGCGGATGAATCTTAAAAAAATTTTAGTGACATATTTTTTTAAAAGTTCAATTTTAATAAAGCATTGTATGATTATTTTATACTTTTTTCAACTCTTCCAATTTTTATACTTCTTTTTAAAACAAAAACAAAAAAAAACTTGTTTTAGATGTGTTACAAATTAAAGGTTGTTATTTCTAATGCCACTGTCTAAAGCAATCCTGCTTGAAGCCAGCTAATTTTTAAGGCAGAGATTGCATTTCTTGTTTCTCAGTGGCGCCATCTATGGCGAAGAATACCAGTTCAGCCACGCACACGACACAGCTCGTTTTGCAAGCTGACCAATTCATTCACAGATCGTAATTTTGACCTGAACCAAAGAACGATCTCCAATTCAGTACCCCTAGAGATATTGATTTCTGTAGGAACTCATAGGACTTTGTGACCCAAACAGATTTAATGTGCACTAGTCATCATTCTCACGAGGATTCTACCAGAGTGATTCGAAATCCTGTTCCCACGAACACGAGCACAATGCCCTACCAACCAGTTTATCTCAAACAGCAAAATAAAAGCAACACATGCAGGCAAAACCAAAAAGTGTATTTTTGGATCCTGCCAAAAATCATTAAGACCAAAGGTTGTTGTTACTAATGACACTAACCAATATCAAAAGTCCTGCTTGAAATCAAGTGAATTTTTAAGGCAGAGAGTGCGCTTCTTGTTTTTTCAGTGGCGCCATCTATGGCCAAAAATACGACTTCAATAGACCACACGTCACAGCCCATTTTACAGGAAGGACGCATTCATACTCTATTCATTTATTCACAGATCGTAATTTTGACCTGAACCAGAGAACGATCTATCACCAATTCAGTACCCTTAGAGGTATTGATTTGTTAAGGGAACAGGACTTTGTGCCCCCGACATATTTAACGTTCACCAGTAACCATTTAATACACTGCGATTCTTCTGCCAGCAGGATTCGAGTCCCGTTCTCATGAACACGAGCCCAACGTCCTACCAACCAAGCTATTCCCACAAGCAAATTAAAAGTATCACATTTAAAAGAAATCTAAAGGTGTATTTTTGGAAGCTGCCAAAAATAATTAAAAACCAAAAAAGATCAAAATTTAGCTAATTTTTTTTAGTAACTGTGGCGCAATATTACCTTTTTTATAGCCAATGAACGTGAAGAATTAATGCACTTATAAGAATCTGAGTGAATAGAAAAGACTGCTCTCTTATTTTTAAAACATTCAAATAATAATTACGTTTGTCGAAAAATTTTATTTAAATTGGTCTCGTCTAATTTTCAAAATTAAGAATGATATTATATCTCTTTTTCAAGACAAGTCGATATTTTCTCCTAAACATAACATTCATTTTTGAAATATTGAATTTTGAAAGGAAAAAAAAACAATCACATGAGGTTTTCAATGATTTTATTGGAAATCTTCTAATTTTAGAGAATTCAAAGCTCTCTTCTGCAGTTTATTGCCAGTTCCGCATCTTCCAACAAAGGCGTTGGGTAACTTCCGAGTGTAGATCCATTTCAAGTTTTCATCACAAACTATATTATTTGCTAAAAAAAGAATTAAAAGCAATTGTTATATAACATGGAAATATATTCATTCTATGGTATATCTGTTATTTTACTACTAAATCAGTTATTTTGTAGAATAAAAAGTCTAGATAACTTGATTCTGAAATTCGAAATATTGATGCTACTAAGTATACTAGGGGTTCTATAATTATAGCCTTCGATATCGTACTTCAGTATCTCCATATATTGTATATGACTACAGAAAAAATTAGAGAAGCATAAAAATGATTATTCATATGGCATTTTTAGTGTAAACTTTAAAAAACTTATGTGTTGAATCAGTATTAAAAAACTAATAAACCGCAAAAGTCACTGATCAAGAATTATGTGCCAATTTTAAAATTTTTTAACGCAAATGTATAAATTGCGTTTCGTTAAACATAATAAGACAGCTGAAAATTAAATTGAGTTGTTCTCTTTGAGAAGGGAAAATGTTATTAAATTTTTTAAACTTTTAAATCATTTCATATATATATGTATGGGTGATTCTTTCTAAACATGACATATCAGACCAAAAAATTTCATCAAATTTTAAGTCCTCAAAATAATCTAAAATTTTTTTTGTAGACTTATTTAGTTACACTTATTAATATCTTACAGGCAGCAGTGTAGTTTATTGACATTTGCTCGGGAAAAAAAAAACAGAAATTCACCAAATCTTGGAAAATGACATATTAGCTCAGAAGTTTAAAAAGCAGTCATTTTAAGTTAATAGTAAGTAACTAAACTTAGGCCTTTATGTTAGATGGACAATAAATTGCTTAAATTAATTCTTTTTATCCACTGTAGGAAGAATCAAAAATTTTTCTGTTGCTGATATGTACAGAATAAAATTGTGTATAATAATCAATCATTAAATAAATAAATAACTTTGATTACATCCAAGCATATTACAATCATACATAAACTTGGTATTAGGTTAATATTTGCTTTCCCTCTTTACAGTATTAGCAGTTAAAAAGAATTTCTGGTAACACTTCAATGTCCTGGCATTCATAAGCCAGGAAAATGACAGCCAGGATAATGACAAATTCGCCATTTTATAGCATATAACTTTACTTTAATTTAATATTTTGGCCTAAGACGTTTATATTCTGCAGAAAACAACATGATTTCTTAAAATAACTCAGATAAATCTATGTAGTTTATGCTATTAATGATTTCAAGAAGACAGGAAAATGACAACACAAAAACCTACTCACCTTGAAAAAATTTTTGAAATAGATTTTGGACAAGAAAATTGGTTCTTTATTCATGCAACAAGACATGTTCATATAGGAGGGTATCATCTAATCAATCTATTAACATAAGGTATTGATTGCTGGCTCTATCTATTTTGGTTATAAACCAATAAATAAAAGTAGCCAGAAAAATGACAAATTTTCTTGGGACAAACAAATTATTGATAGAAAAAATTATTTTAAGCGAAGTTTTTGTAAATAATACCCTCTGCACATATTCTAAAAATGCTTAAACCGGTTGAGATAAGAAAATTTTAGATATTGAAAAATTTATGAGAAGTTTTGAAGCTAGTTATTATTGTAAACATTGTTTGGGACAGACCAGGAAAATGACATTTTGAAGTTCATTTAATTTTTTTAACTATACAAAACAGTCAATGCTAGTGCAAAGTCATTTTAAAATGCTAACAGCAATGCTATTTAATAATTTTTTTTTAAAAAAGTTCTTTTAGTATTCAAGTATTAGATCTTGGAGCAAGTGACAGTGAATTGTCATATTTCGTGAGAATCACCGAAAAAATTATAAAAATTCCTTTTTGCCCATAAATTTACTTTTTTTTGTCTGAACGGCTTATTTATTTACTTAACTTTCACCATTATTTTAGCTTGAACAATACTGCTATTTCTATTTATAATATGTGTAACTAAAAGAGACTGCACCACGTTGTTTCAGAAAAAGATGATTAGTTTATGAACATTGCTTTGCAGCCGTAACGAGTAAATAGCGCCATCTGTTGGCAAATTTAGTAGTTAACTTTGAAGCATCTACATAAGTTCAAGTCTTTTCTTTGTTTAATTGATTTTTCAAATTGTTGGCCAATTTCCGTATGTCCTGTTGTCAAAGCAGTAAAAATATAAAAAGTGACCAAAAGGTTAAAGCTATTAACTACGAACTTTAAATTAGTGTATATTACTATTGTAATTAGCTCAGTAATTTTTTAGTTTTAGTGTCATTGTTCAGACATTTATATGATTATTCGCCAAAAGAAGGAATATACAAATGATATATGATTTGTCGTTTTAGTCTGACACGAGAAATGTTTTACAAATTAATAATAGAAAGCAGAAGACAACTGAACTTACCATCAAGGTACACTGCGTGGAGTTGATTCCAGACTTTACCCCAAACATTTTCCGGAATGGATTTCAATTTATTTTGCGAAAGGTTTACAATTTTTAGATTTGGATACCCTTCAAATGCATCTGTTGGCAATTCTTCAATATGATTCAGTCTGGAAGAAATGATGATCCAGAGTAAAATTTTCTTTTCACATTATTTTTTTTAAAATATTATGTAACATTAGCTTCACATGAACCCTGAATGAGACATTCTAAAAAATCCGGTTCTGGTGAAATTTTGGAGACTTTTATGGCATATAAATATATTTTCTTTTCTTAATCAAAATTCTAAGAAATACACTATAAAAACATCCTTCAATATGCAAAAAATGCTGAACATCAAAACTTATCATTTTTATGTAATAATTAAAAATAACTAAAAGATGTTTATTAAGTCTACTTACTTGAATTTTTTCAAATAAAATCTTTTTATCGCATTTTCTTCTAAACTACACTTTTCAAAATAATAATAAAATTAAGATTATTTTAAATTCTAGTTTTATAACAATAAATAGTTTAAAACGTATAACGTAAATGCTTAACTATAAAACATTTAAAGTTTTGAATATTAAAAGTCAAGAATGTAAATTTTTTTATTTAAACATCTATAGAAATTTAGAAGCTTCCATAGTCTGGTTTCTTTGATAAAATTCACTAAGACGTTGGATTTCAGTAAAAGGGGCAAATTTTAAAAATTTTAACTACATTTCAAAAACTAAATTTCTTAAACTCAACTGTTGCTCACGGAATATTAAAAATCATAAAACCTGTATCGGATAAACTAAAGGAAAGAAGGGATTCTGACGCCCTCCTCCAACACATTAACGTAACTTTATTATTTTTGTAACAATGAAAAAATTATGTTACTTAGAAAATGAATAGTAACCAGGAAAAAACACGAACACCCAGAAAAACTTTTAAGCTGAAAATCCGATTTTTACGTTTTTGGAACCAGTTTTATGGTTCTAGGGTCTTACATTAAATATAATTAAATAATTAGGGCACACTACAGTTTATATTACGAAAGAGAACACAAAAAAGTACTTTTTCTGTATGAATGCATTTTTATGAACTATTTTGAACTTTTGTTTTTTGTCGAATTTGAATTCTTGATCTCAAAATAGGGGAAGGAGATAGCCGCAATCTGAAAAATAGGGTCCCAATTGTTTTGGCTGTTGAAGATTCGAAACTCTTCATGTTAATTTCATTTTTTGCCAAATTCACCATCTCAGAGAAGCTTTATTTTTCAAGAAAGGTATCGAAGGTATGTTTAATCAAAAAAAGTATATTTTGTATCTGATTTCTCAACTTAAAATGTCATCTACTCTGAATAAATACACTCCGCTACCAGTTTAAAAAAAGACCATTGCGGTAAAGGATTTAAGTAATTATCCGCGACTGCATATAGTTCTGTTTTATTTAGTTATCAAACTATACAAATAAGCTTTCAAAGCAATATAAAAACCTTTAAAAGTTAAGCATGACAGTAATTTAATTCGTGCTATTCTTTATGATATATATCATGGAATTATAAGTATAGTTTGAAACATTAATTCTGAGGTGTATGAGGATATCCCACCTCTTTTTCGGTTTTCACACAGAATAACTGCTTCTTTCACACATCGGGATATAACGAAATTAGTATCCAAAGTCCTGATTCGCGCAGGTCTATATTGCATCGAACAAATTTGGGACCAATCAGAACAGTGATTACACCATCTCCATTGTTAACACTCACTTATGCTGTGATGGACGCCTGGAAAACAGTTCCTATGGCAACCTATCAAAAGCTGATGAATATCATCTTATTACTACTATCACCGCAATATGTGATTCAAGACTCTCCGAGTCACATATACTCCACAGAATACCCGGATACTTTTGGCCTGATAATGTATTTCAAAAATTTATTACGCTCGTTCCAGACGAATCTAACAAACTATTTGACCGATAAGACTACCTTCATAGTACTGCTTCTATTTTATGTAAATTGTTAAATACAAAGTCAAACTCATATAATGATTATGATTTAATGTGCCTTTAGTTTTAAAGCCGGAAACAAAGAGTAAATACATTATAAAAAAAAAACTCTGCTCCTAAAATAATTAATTTTAAAAAAAGTTTTCTTACTTAGCTTCTAGCAACCAAAGATGTTTGGATGGATTTGGAAGCATAGACCTTGCCACAGTTTTAATTCGGTTTGTGTTAATATACAACTGCTGAAGATTCACCAGTGATGCCAATACTTTATCTCCAACCTTTTCAATTTTATTTGAAACTAAGTTCAATTGCTCCAAAGATGCCGGTCCACCCTCAAACCAGTGATTTCCCAACTCACCAATATCATTTTCAGACAAGGAAACGTACTTCAGTTTTTGCAAATGACTCAGCCTGAATTTGTCTAATTTCGTATGACTCCTATCCAAGACCTTATAGATGTTTAAGGTCTCCAATGAATTTTCGAGTCCCCTAAATGGCGTGTCTCCAAATGACCTAACTACGCATTGCTCAAAATGTAGCTTAACAGATGTGTGTCCTCTGAAAAAGTCCGACGGAATATCGCCTAAATGTGACCTGAGGATAGCGAAAGATACGTTGAAGCCGACAGTATTTTTCACAGCAGGTTCAATCTCAGTTATACTATTGACGCCTTCACAGTTGACAGTTGGAATGCCTTGATCCTGGTTACAGGAGCAAGGGAGTACTTTGTCTGTGGGAGGACAGTCATCAGCAAACGCTGTAGCAGCGATGAGGAGAATCTGGACAAGTAGCAACATGTTGGAAAGAAAACCCTGCAGTGAAAAAAATTGAGAGTTTTTAAAATCATCTGGTAGTAATTTCAATTTAATAAGTTCTACAGTGAACTGATCGGAAGACAAGGTACGTTTTATCGGTCTTTATTAAATTATACTACCGTAGAATGCTCTACTTTATCTACAGATTGTCGAGATATTGAAGTCACTAAGTCATCCTCTCAGCAGAAGATCAAAATTGTGATGGTGTGTCTTCATATCAGCCTCCGGAATGTTTCTCGGACCATTGCCAATAGCCTAGTGTGAAGCTCCAAAACGACGTAAATAAAGTACTACTGCTACTTTAATTTAATGTTAATGCATATTACACAAAAAATAATTAAGGATATTAGCTTTTGGCACCTCATTTATCGACTAGATAATCACTTTTTTGCATGCGTCTACTGAATATTTAAATGATGTGCCAGAACAAGTATAGTCACAGCTCTCCTAAGTATTATTTTCAGACAAAAACTTTAAAAGTGTCCAGAGTTTCCACTAGTTCCCAGCATAATTCGTAGAAACATCTAATCCCCTCTATCAAACTTATTATGTTTAAAATCAAAAACACTCCTCTAAAATATGAGAAATGCGACTTATCATTATATATTGCTTCCAAGCCTTCAATTGAATTCAACAACATTCATCTAAGTGGAACACATTTATAGCTTTACGTAAACGCTGGTTTGCTTTTTGTTGTTTTTGTTTTTACTAATACCACTTGCAAATACCAGCAGGCTTGCTATGGGAATCCAAGAGATTTTAAGGCGGAGGGTGCATCTCTTGTTTTCACAGTGGCACCATCTATGACCAAGAATACGACTTCAGTCACACACACGTCACAGCACGTTTTGCAGAGAGGACCCATTCATTCATCCACAGATAGTAATTTTGCCTTGAGCAAGAGAACAATCTATCTTCAATTCAGTACCCTTAGAGGTATTGATTTGTTATGGGAAGTAGGGTGACTTTGACGTGCGCCAGCCACCATTTAATACACGGGGATTCTATAAACGGCGGGATTCGAACTCGTGATTTAAGTCCAGCGTCCTACCAGCCAGGCTATCCCTGCCTGGTTTTCATTTTAAGTGGACCTATTAGCAGACGCTCCTACTCTCAGTGCTTCCCACTCAGATTTCGAAATTCTTTTATCTCTTTACATAAAAATATATTTATAGAAAATAATTTTTCATCACCGATACATTACCGAGATACTGTTCTGCCGATATATATTTAATTCCTGCCAGAAAAGGGAATTTTCCCTCCCTTGATATTAAGAATTGAGAACATTTACTTTTATTTTCCTAGCACAGTTTAAAAATGTTCCGATAGCTGAATCAAAAGTCAAGGGTGAGCGGTCGTTCGGCTCATAAGCTGCCCATATACGTTCTATAATAACAAAGTTTAGAGTAAAGTCTTCGAATTTGAACAAAAAATTTGGCTTTAAAATTTAAAATTGACAAAAACTAAGAAATTGTATGTAGAAAGAGATCTATTTCCTATTGGAATGCAACGTGTCCTAATTACATTTTTAACCTTAGCCACGTTGAATAAACATTAAATAAATGATAACTATGAAATGTGGCAATTCAATGTTATATATTGGAATTTTACCTTAACGTTGAAATAAATCTCCGTTTTTTCCATGCAAGTGGTGGTTTACTTATAAATGTTACTCTACGTTATTTTTTCCAAAAAAAAATGCTTTGTATAAGCGTCAGTTTTGGTAAAAATATTAATAGCTGCATTTGCCAACTAGTAATTCAAAAGAAGCATATTTCCTTCCTAAAAAAAATTGAGTTTAATTCATTATGAAACGGGTAAGACAGAATTCAACTATTTAATGATAAGAAAAGTTTTGAATTTAGCATTTAAGGGGCAGTAAAATATTTTAAAAGTTTCTAATTACTTTTGCAATTTCATTCACAAAAGTGTTTCAAAAAATCGGTTTCTGAAGATACTCGTATGAGATATGCCCAATTTCTCCTTTTTGGAGAAAACACTATTTTCACCAGAAAACCTATTTAAGAGGAGTCGGCAGGCAAATATCAATAATGCTAAAACTGACTTCTTTCGATGTACCTTTTCTAAGAAACTACTTATGGTACCGTTTTGAAATATTTTGAGGGATATTTGAGACTCTATCAGTTGCATACTGTGATAATATTTTAAAGGTTACAGGAATATATTTTCAGTTATGCAAGATAATTGCTCAAAAATGATGAAACTTTTTAAAAAATTAAAATTTTTCAGCTCATATTTTTTAAAAAAAAAATTCTGCCAAAGATATTTATTAACAGTAATCACAGTGTAAACATATAAATGTAAATATTCAGTGAAAGAAAAACTGAAACAATATTTTGTTGAAATGATGAGAAAAACTGCATCAAAATAGGTCAGTTTTAGTATTATTGGTATATGCCCTACAGAGTACATACTCTCCTTAAAAGTTTTAAAGGAACGTTTAATTAGCAGCAATATCGTTGGACAATTAGTTTTCATTTTTTCAATAAAACAATTAAAGTACTTCACAGAAAAGTGACGGCTGTTGATCAGGCATTCCTATGATATATACAGAGAGCATAAAAAACAAATCGGTGACCACGTTCTCAAACTTTAACCATAGCTGCCAGTTTCGCATTTTTAAAAATTTCTTTTACATTGAAATGAGCAGAATTTATTTTAAATTTTACCATCATTTATAACCATTTTACCATCATTTATAAGCCACATAAAATAATTATTTAGTCTTGCATAAATTCTATTGGGATCTAGCGTCTAATTTATTAGACAACATTTGAAAAAACAGAATCACTTTAAAAATAATATTTTTTTTCTGTTCGTATGTCTTAACAAAGTGTTTGTTTAAGTAAAAATGAAATAATATTCTTGTAACTATTCTGAAAAATAAATAAGAAAGGTAAAAAATTCTAATTAAGTAGCATTTTAGACTGCTTTATGGCGAATAAATAACGTTTTAGATGTTTTATGGCACATAAATATCGTGTTGAATCTAGTAGATTTTGTTTCATATCTAAAATGTGAAAAATACAAAATAAAAATACCTTTCAATGTGCCAAAATTGTTCAACTTTGAAATTTATAGTTTTTTATGTAATAATTAAAAATATTCATGTAATAATTAAAATTAGTTTTCAAAACAGTTTATGTAATAATTAGTTTTAAATATCTTTTATAGCTTTTAAAACCTTATAATTTATAATTTTTAGCAAGTTTAGCTAATTTTTATTTTTAAAACAATTATTCAATTGCATTTATGAGCTTATTTAAAATTTGAATTTTCTGCCATTATTTAAGGCTTAGGTCTTAGATTGAGATGTTTTTAAGTTATATGTAATATTTCGGATGTCAAAAAAATTTTCTATCAAATTTAAAAACTCAAGAAGGAAATGTTAAACCATAAATTTGCTACTATTTTAAATGTAAAAATAAAATCGTTCTCAGAAGTCAGGAAAGTTGTCAGTTATCGTATTGACGAACCATACATGCATGCAAACAGTCATGATTTCAAATTTGAATTTATAAAGATAAAAGCAAAATTCTTATAATGAAAAACTAAATAATTCGTGTTACTCACCCGAGCCTTGCTTTGTATAAACGAAAATAATACAATTTCTTTTATCTTCACTAACAGATGTTTCATTTAAATTTTTTTCGGGGCTGCATTGATAAATATCTCTGTGATTACTTTAAAGAAGATTTCAAATTTACAATCGGACCTTTTTTCTCCATAAATATGTCTTAAAAGGTCAAACAAAAAAAATTTATATATATGTATATATTGCTAGCATAAGAGCATTATGCACGATTTGAGATCTTGTAGGTTTATGAATCCTTTTCATTGTTCAAAACCGATTAATTATTCTTAAACCAGTCTATTTTCATCAACTTCCTTTCTACTTGTTCTTCTCTTTTCTCTGACTGTTAAATCCAATTTCTTTTAAAATCCAGAATTACCCATACTTATGTAGGCAGATGAAACCTTGCATCTGATATCATTAGTTTTTATAATCCAGTAATACCAACAAAACTTTTATTCTACCAATTTAAAATTAAAAATATCCGTTAAGGCTGTTTTTCGAAGGCACTGTTGTCACACGAAATATCGCTTTTCGGCGAATATTATGCTATTTTCATAACAGATATGAGTTTGCCCCAGTAAATCATGGCTCCTCTACACTCCGCTGTAAGTTAAGATGTGCTATAGGATATTGGTAATCATCTGCAAATGCATATAGTTCCTTTTTATTTAGTTATCAAATTATGCAACTGTTCTTTCAAAACAATATAAAAGCTTTCAAAATTTAAGAACCTCAGACAGAAATTTAATTTATATATATATCACAGAACTATTAATAAAAAAGGTTATAGCTTCGTTGTCTTATTGGAATCTTAGAATTGGCAGCATATTTCGATGAATAACGAGAACATTAGTTCGCAGAAGAAAAAAAAACTACATAACCTTGTAAGAGCATTGGATTTGATTGGACCATCAAAAATGGCGCGTCTTATGTTGACATACCCTTATAACTTAAATGCGAGATGAGGAATTTTTACTTTTGCTTCACTGTGGAAGAAAATAGTCTGCAATGAACAATGTTTATTATCCTTTCATATTCTTTAAATGTGAATAGAAAAATTTATATTTGTTACGATTTTTAGATATATTTCTTGTTAACACTTACTCCTTATTAATTGGTTATTCTATAAGTTTTGTTTTCCTCATTTCGCACGATTTAAGAAAGCTAAAAAAGTCTGTGTAACGTCATTTCAAGAGTTGGCGATGTTGATATACGATCTCACTGGGAGCTGAGCATAAATTTGGCGTACACTTATATACAAACATGCTCTCTCCATAGGGATAATGATTTTTTTTCTTAACTTGCAACAGAGTAAAAGTCAAATTTAGCCAATCTTAAGCCAACGCCCTCTTTGCTATTTCCAAAAATGGTGCAAAATGTCAATATTACGGAAAGCTACAGTTTTGTTTTGTATTTTCTAATGACACTTGGATAAACTAAGCTCACCAGCCATCCACCTTGCATATTAAGTAAGGAATGTGTGCCTTTCTTTTGACAAGAGAGCATCGCAAAAGTGTAAGTACGTCTTGGCAAAGAACCCCACAGATAGATGGCAGCACCACTCATTCGTGAAGTCGCTTCCTCAATTTAGTCGTAGGTATATTCTTTAGGTCTGATGGGGAAGGAAATTTTCTCCAAATCCTAAGGTACAGCTCACTGACCGACCACAAGACTTTCAATTCTTCAGATTTTACGAACACATATATCGCATGTAGCGGAATCAAGGATTGAATCCTGGCCCCTCCAGACTGTAGTCCGATTCTATAACCTCTGGGTTACCACGTCCCGTTACAGTTTTGTACAATTTATAAGCATTTGTGATATAATTTTTTAATATTTAAAAACTTACTCTAACGTTGAATTGTCTAAGCGCATAAAAATTGCTGACACTGAGAATTATTTATTGTGTTTGATAATTTTCATGTAGGTGGAAAAATCTCGCCAGATCGACGATTTTAAAAAGAAGTTTAATAGCTTTTACTATATTTAAGTGATTTGTCTATTCTGAAACAAAGATTATTTTTTACGGCAAAATGGTATAAATAATTTAAAATTTTGCTTCTCCTCAAGTTCAGAAAACTTAAACTGTGGCTTTTTTATTTTCCTTGGTGAAAGAAGTTCGGAAACACTGTTATAAAATAAAAAAAAACGTTCATTTTTGAAAAAAATTAATAGAAATGAAGTGTTAAATGTCAAAAATACAATTAAATGCTCACTGGCCACAAAATAACTGAGAGATTTAAAAAAAAACATTCCTTCATTTTCTATATCTTTTATCAACTAGGCTGAACTGGGCCAATAACATAATGATGTTAATTGGCCAGTATGAAGTTTAACTACTAATTTTCTTGATGAGTTTATTGATTATTAAATCAATTTATTTTAAACATTTCTGTTTCTCCCCATTTTTCTACACTACTTTTCTTTTAATATTTTTGAGGGTACTGCGATTCCGTGGGCAAGAAGAAACTTAAAAGACATCTATCCTCGCCATCTTGAATTTTAAGTTAAATTTTTTATTTTCGTTTTCTTGTTATATTTTGTACTTCAAAAACTTTTTTGATGATCTAATATTATTCGACAATAATACTTTTCAAAAGAAGAGGGTATATGAAGGTATCGTTTTATTAGATTATGAGAAATAGCACTTGGTTAACTTTTAAAACTTCTATGAAATTTTCCTTAGAATTTTAAAACAATTATGACTTGCAATATGTTTTTATAATTGTTTTAAAATTTCAAAATTTGTGATATGTTTTGATTTGATAATTTAAAACTAGATATTTGTCAGTTTTTAGAGATTTAAAATTTAATTTTACTTCATTTTAAACTGGGGAAACTAGTGAAGGAAGTTCTAGCATCTTCTTAGTCGATTTTCACTGACTTGTATGATGTTAAAAATTTATTTTAACTTAAATTGTACAAAACAAAGATATTTACTAAAAATGTATAAACAGAAAAACGAATACTATTTAATTACCCCTCGAGAACTGCTGATTACAGAACTATGTTGGCAAAATTTTGCCAGGAAAAATTAAAACAGAATCTAAAACCCACGCATACTTTAGATCCCAAATTCTGATTGCGTAACTACCTTGGACAGAATACAGTAAAAATCAACTAACAACTAGTTTGTTCCCCGTCTCATGATGTTATCTAACATAAATGATTAATTTGCTATCCAAAGTAAATTATCACCGTCCGTAAATCCTAGAGAGATTTCAGTGAAATTTAAGTATGGTGCAAGTCTGTTTATACCCACGGTTATAATCAAGTCCAATCTCAATTTCAATTACAAAATGTCAAACATAAATCAGCGTTTTTACTTTATGATATAGCTGTTATCAACTTAGATTTTAAAAAAATACCTGAATTTTTTGTGTAACTAAAGCCAAATGTATAAACTATCATGTTCCTTTACTAAATTATTCACAAAAATCATAAATTTACAACAATTTGTTTTGCCTGGTGAATGTTTATTTAGTTAGACTATTTAGTTACGCATAACTTAAATTCTCAATTTATAAATTGTCAACAGCTGCAACCAATACTATATATAGAGTGCCCATGGGTTTTATGGTATTTCAAGTCAATAGTTAATACAGGGAATCTATGAACAGATGCTATTACCCTTTATATGTCTAGTCTTTAAAGCTATAATTTGCTTAATATTGCAAACTCGTCCGTATACACATTATTGATTTGATTAACTTTGTAAGGTATGGGCTTATTAAGGTATAATTTTGGTATGCTAAACAATTTTTCCTCGTAAACAATTTCTTAATTGCACTGCAAATAGGAATGAGAGAATCGTTGGTTTGACTTTTCACTTTTATAGTTATTGTCGTAACTAGCCTTCTTTTAATGTATTATATTTCATTTTTATTATTTCTCCATCAGAGATTTTGCATAAAAATGTTGATAAAAAATTGTGGATTATTTTTATATTTTTTGTTAATTCGAATTTATCGTTTGGTTGTTGATAAATTATTACAACAAAAATAGTTCCTAAAACGTTATTCCGTTTCGTTATTTCAAATTATGACAAGCTAGCTGTACTTCATTCCCTTTCGATTGGTGACCCACACCCTGTTATCCCAGAGAAAATACTTTCCCACACACCGTCGACTAGATCTAGGCATACATAGATTAGGCGTACTATTATTGGACTGTCATGTACTGGAGAACCTATCTAACAAAAAGCTGAAAGAAAAGGTTAGTTTTTCGATTTTCTTAGAAAAAAGCAGCTATTCTTTTAGTCTGAGAGTCCCGTACAATTCTTTTAATTAATACAATTTTACCATATTAAGCTTTGGAGCTTGAAGTATTCTTTCAGTGCTCTTACAATGTCAGTCTAGTTAGGAAGTTGCTTTTTCGTATTAATAAATAGGTTAAAATCAAATGTTACAACATTCAATGAAGGAATCAGAAATATATTCCTTTTTTTTTAAAAAAAAGTGAGAATAGTTAAGTTAGTAAACAGTGCTTTATTTAAAACAAAAATGCAGAAATACTTTCATATATATAGTTTGTCTAGTAAGTTTTTGATCGCTGCATTGATCTTTTTTTATTTATCTCTCCTGTTTGAGAAAGTACATGAATTCAAATTTTTTCTTTTCGAATTATTACTGTTTGACCGTATAGTTCTTAAATATCTTGAAGATAATTTGTTGGTAATTCGAATAGAAAAGTATACCATTTATTTATAAGTTGAGCATATGTTTAAAGTCTTTAATTTATTTTACTTTAAATAATTTTTCGCTAAATCAACTGCGATACTGCTATCTAGTTTAAGAGCATAATTATTCCTTATTTTTCTCAAATTCTAATATAAATTTCGAATCATAGTTAAGAATTTGTACACTAATTCATATATGCAGTACTACTTTCATTGCACTTACTGACAATTTTCCTGGAATTGCAGAGTAATCTTATTTTAATAAGTTATTTCAAAATATTACATTCATTTCAAAAATTGCTTAGACTTATGTGGGAAAGGAAAAACCATTTCAAAGTTCATTTTATTTTATTGAAAATCTTCCAATTTTAATGAATTGAAATCTTTATCATGAAGTGCATTGCCTGGTCCACATTTCCCCACAAATATCTTAGGTAACTGTTGTTTGTAGATCCACTTCAAATTTTCATCACAAACTACATCATTATCTAAAATGTAATTTAAAAATTATTATTATTTAATGGTACGCATGTTGTTTACACATTAAATAAAAAACTTCTAAATCATTTATTTAATATCTCTTAAATCTTGTAAGGTTTTATCAAAGTTTTCTAATGTTTCTATATAAAACTAGCCGCTTCTAATAGCCAGCTGATGCACCTTCTTAAATAAATAGAATTTTAAAGAATTAGAATGTCGCGATTTAAAATCTTGCAGTCAAAATTCAAGACAACATGTAAATATAATAAACTCATATTGGTCAGATGAGAGTGGATTTAATTTTTGTTTCGAACATGATCGCATAGTATCGTAAGTACTGTGGTGAATTTGTTATTCATGTTTTTAGTAAAACATTACCTAAGATTAAAAAATATCAATTATGGTAATGGATAACAAACTTTTAATGGATAACAAATGAAATTAGCATTATTGAATTATTTGCTTTTATAAATTGTGCGACTCACAAGGGAAACTAGGGAAGTGTAACTCGCCAATTTTTAAATAAATTAGTGGGATGTATGCCTTATGAGGAATAATTTTAGGGGGCAACATTCGTTTCGGCCCATAGAAGGTTCTGTGAGAGATAAAAAATAATTCAATGTATAGAAAAATCTGTATTTTATTACTTTAATGCAGACTATTAGTTATTGTAATTGTCTCATATTCCAATTAATTTGTAATTAATTGGATAATTAATTAATTTGCTAATTGATAAATTAATCAGAAAATTAATTAATTATTAATAAATTGTTAATTAATTATTAATTAATTGTTAATTAATTAATTGATTTGCAATTACATACTCCAATTAATTTGGAAAGTTTTTTGGGAAAAAAATGAAAAAAATTTGATGTAAAATTTTTTTTTTAAATTAACCTAACAGGTTTTTCTGAAAAACTACAGATATATAAAATTTTCGAAATCAATTTTGACAATAAATATGCATTATATAGTACGTGAATGTACCAAAAAATTAATTGGAGTATGAGACAATTACAATAACTAATAACTAATAGCATTAAAGTAATAAAATACCGATTTTTCTATATATTGAATTATTTTTTATCTCTCACAGAACCTNTACGTGAATGTACCAAAAAATTAATTGGAGTATGAGACAATTACAATAACAAATAACTAATAGCATTAAAGTAATAAAATACCGATTTTTCTATATATTGAATTATTTTTTATCTCTCACAGAACCTTCTATGGGCTGAAACGAATGTTTCTCCCTAAAAGTATTCCTCATGAGGCATACATCCCACTAGTTTATTTCAAAATTGGCGAGTCACATTTCCCTAGTTTCCCTTGTCAGTGCATTTCATTTATCAGGGTTTTTTCACCAAAACTTAGCAAATTGTAGCACATTTCTTTAAATTGAAAAATACACAGATATAAAACAGTAAACTATACTTTTTAAAGCAAAAAATAAACTTTAAAATAAATAATTTAGTTAAATGACTCTGTACTACAAAAGCTAAAATACGGCATGTAAGTAAATGAGTATTTAAGTTAAAAAATTAAAATGAGTCTTTTCATTTACTTGACACGTATAATTAGTAATTAAAATAAACTTAAGCTTGCTAATCAGTTTTATCTAACTTTTTGGAGCATGGATTTGATTGAACGCATTGGAAAGTTTTTGCTATTAAGAGCTTTTCTGATCTTAATATTGAGACTTAGCTGATATAAGTTTTAAATGTGTACTCAAATGTATAATTTATTTACGTTTGAGACATCTATTATAGCTTAAATTGCTGTTCTTTTTTATACTTTCTTTAGCTTAGGACCCTTAAAAAAACACTGTTAAACTTTTTATTTGTGCATTGCAGAATGTCTTCTACCTTTTATGCTTTACCAAAAAGATGATAATGCAGTTTATTTTAATGAGAATAGCATACCTAGGCTAATGTTTATATAGACTAATGTTTCTAGTATGTTCACTAGACTAATGTTTCTGTGCGCAATTTTAGGTTCAAGTCAATTCAAGGTTAAAAGTCAATTTTAGGTTTACGGCTATCAATGTACAACTCCGTAACCTTGAAATTTTGAACCCAATTCAGAAGACAAGAAAATTCCTTGATCAAGCATTTAGAAAAACTATCCTTTGGGGAGAAATGTTTGCTGGAACTAGAAGAAAAGCAACCTGGAGAGGAAAACAACGAAACCCTCCCACTGTTAGCCCCACGACAAGAGATTCTAACCCATGATCTGGCAAGCACTGGGGATGCTTTACGTCAGCACTGAGATCGCAATGCAATCAGAATTCGTATTGCTCAGCAATCGCTGAAGAACAGAAACCCGTGTCCAGATATTTCATCGTATGCCGATAGACATAAATCCTTATTACGAACTACTCGTACTCATTTGAATTGATTCTTATATTTATTAAAACTCTCTTATTATTTTCGTATTCAAAAGACGTTTTATTCAGATAGGTACAGAAAAACATTTTCCATTGTAATTGGGTATAATATAGCCTACGTCACAGGTTGTATTGTTCCTACTAAATTTAACCCATGAACGGCATTTTCTGCGAGCCTAACTTCAAGCCACAAATAAACAAACGAAGTGTTCGATCGTTTAAAGATTTTATTGCATTATAAAGAAAAGTTATTGAAACTAAATACAACTAAATAAACAACAACAACTAAAACAAATAACAACTACTAATAACAATAACTAAATAAACAACAACTAAATTCCATTCGTTTAGCATTGCGTCATATGTTGTTCCTACTAAATCGAAGTAGTTGTGTTTTTTTCATATTATACCCAATTGAATGATATCGCGACCAATTTGAGGGATACACGATATTGGCCACCAACTTATTAAATAACGATTAAACAACGACTTCTCCGATTATTTGACATTTTTCATTGGAAGTCAAAGATTTAACTTAAAATTAAGGAAAGTTCGATAAATGAAAGCACCACTTCAAATACGTATGAGCAATTAGTCCATAATTGAGAAGCGTCCCAAGCGGTGAGCATATACTAATTTTCGGGCATTGGTAAAAAATAAATTTTCAATCCTTTAATATGCCGTACTTCCCTCTACAGCTTTCATAATTAACTAATTATCAACACTGTAGAGAGTTGCAACACTTATGTATATATTTTTTTTATTTATTTATATTTTTAGAATTGCACTTGAAAAATATTTTACCGAATAAAATTGCTTCAAAATTATGAAATATCTCCTTGTTAAAAGTAAAAGCAAGAGCACTTACCATCCATATACACTGCTTGCAACTGACTCCAGATTTTACCCCAAACATTTTCTGGAATGGATTTTAATCTATTTTGCGAAAGGTTCACAGTGTTTAGATTTGGATACCCTTCAAATGCATCTGTTGGCAATTCTTCAATTTCGTTTGATCTGAAGATAAAGAAAATTCGACGTAAATATTTCACGATTCAAGTTAACTCATTCATATTGAGCTTCAAACAAAATTATTTGCTCTGCAAATTTTTAGATTAAACGTTATAAATATTTTTCTCTCTGATGCTGTTCCTCCTCTGTTGTTAGTTCTGTATTTGTTTTTGTTCTGTATTTGTCTTGTACCTTTTTAATGTGCCCCAGCCATTGAAAAAAAAAACTTAATAAATATTTAAAGGCTTAAAATAAAAATAAAAATGTGTCATAAACTTTTGGTTTTTATTGACCTCCTGATATTCCAGCTTTAAATAATGTCTGAGAATGTGATTTTCGCATAAAAGTATGTAGCTTTAAAATTATAAATGGCAGAAATATGAAATTTGGCAAAACAAAATCTTTGAACTCAAATTTCAAAAAGGAAATAACTGAATAAAAATAATAGGATTTGGATATATATATATATATATATAAACAGTTTTTGATGTTTTTATTAACTACCTCCCAAAACGGCGATTGGTCAGATTTCAAAGGCCTTTTAAAAATACTATTAAGGGTGGTAATTACTGAACATCTTGACTATTATTTCTTTAAATATAAATTATCATTCAAATAGAAGTTTAAAAAATTAGTTCCTATGCATACCTTACCAAAACTGAAAATAATGATACAACGCGTTTTTGAATAATCCATGCATCATTTAGAAAGAAAAATTAAAATAAAAGTCATCATACTTGGCGTTCAAAGACCAAAGCATTTTGGCTGGATTTGGAAGCATAGATCTAGCCACAGATTTTATTTTGTTGTCATTGAGATACAGCAGCTGAAGATTAACTAGGGAAGCAAAAGCTTTTTCTCCGATTCTTTCAATTTTGTTTGAAGATAAAACTATTTGTTCCAAAGACGCAGGCCCTCCTTCAAACCAGTGATTCCCTACTTCCTCAATATCATTGTTAGCAATTGTAATATATCTTAACTTCTTCATGCGACTCAGCCTGAATTTGTCCATTTCTGTGTGACTCTTTTCAATGGCTGTATAGAGGTATAAGGTCTCTAATGAGTTCTCAAGTCCGCTAAAGGGTATGTCTCCAAATGATCTCACGATGCAATTTTCAAAACGTAGCTTAACAGATGAATGGCCTTTGAAAAAGTCGGAACGAATATCACCTAAATGTGACCTGAAGATTGCAAAAGTTACTTTATAGCCGACTGTATTTTTCACGACAGGTTCAAGCTCATCCATACTATTAAAGCCTTCACAGTTCACTACAGCGTGACCTTGTTCTTCCGCGCAAGAGCAAGGGTATACTGTTTCTCGGGGAGGGCAATCGAGGGCAAACGCTACAGCAGCAATTTCGAAAATCAGGATGGAGAGCAGCATGTTTGCAAGAAAGGTCTATAAAGAAAAAATTTGAGCATTTTATATCAAATTCCATTGAAAGCAACTTTATAAATCACAAACGGTAAAATTTTATTAAAAACTTGCATGCCTTCCGGTGTTATAATCGCACACATTCATCAAGAGGACAAAATACAGGAATAGTAAAAACAGAAATGATATTGATCCGACGGAGGTTACGTAATACTAAAGAGATAAATATATAGATAGAATGACTGACTAATTAAATGACAGAATCTGCCATCTTGTGTTTTTATCTGTGTGCATATATATATATATATATATATATATATATATATTCGTACAAAAAATTTATCAGAGAAAGTATAAATGTTTTTTTTAAAAGTTCTTGCTTTTAGTTCAAAAATTTTCCATTATATAGCGCTCTAACTCCTTTTTAGCGTTGTTCTGTACCGTTATGATGTAAAAAAATTTCTTACTCAGAATACAATATTTGATGATGAACATTTTGAAAAATAGTAATGTGATTTTCAGTCATTTTTTCTTGATTTCCCGCATCGCCATCCTTTGAAACATTTTTGACAATAAACAAGGTTTTTGAGAGGAATAGGTCATGCCTTGTTACATGGGTTTACCGAAAAAAAATATTTTCCAAATTTATTTCCTGCAATATTTTTATTAAAAACCGTCAATCTAGTTTAGGACACGTACTTGCATTTTAATTATGTGTTCCAGAATGAGATATGCGTAAAGACATTTTTAGTATTAGAATATATAAGATTAAAAAAAAAAATTAAAAAAACTAGAAATTTTTATAATATGAATTCAATTTTACACTAAACAGAATATTACACAAATTTTTGTTAGTGGTTTAGTTTCCTTGCGAAGTAATGTAATTATCCAATTTATAAATTTATTTTATTCTATTAATTACTGTTTGTTAAATAGACGTTAAACTACGAAATATTGTTGCAAATTGCATTGCTTTTGTTGTGCATGAGGCTTTTGACATCATGATGTTTTGGTGCAATAAAAAATGCTATTTCATTTTGTTGTGCTAAATTTTATTTTCAATGTTGCTTATTTATCGCCTAACATAGTTTTTTTAAACTTAATAGAATTTTTTTTAAACATTTCATAGAAATAAAAAGTAAAATATTGATATTTTTCGGTGATATATTTTTTTAAAGAGATTTATTTGAGACTTACTTACTTCCACACATTTTTTCTATGATCTTTTATAATAAATTAACGTTCTTTAAGATAATCAGCTAGTTCCCCAAGCATTTTATTTAGGTCGCACTAGAGCTGCACAATGGTCTATTTACATAATCAGTGTTAAACAGCCGAACCAATTTTGAGTTTACAACAACTAATGTTCAACTCCGTAGCCTTGTAATTTCGAATCCAACCCAGAAAACAAGGGAACTCCTGGATCAANTATATATATATATATATATTACTTACTAGACGGTGAGTCTTCGGCCGGCTGGTTTTGAACTACGTGAGTTCAGCACCCTGCAGGGCACTGTGAACGCATACAGCGTAAAATCGTTTACCCATATAATACGTGAAATAAAAAAGACATTATATATTAATTCATTTTATCAGATTTTCACAAACTAAGTGTTAAACTTAATGGTTCAAAGTGTTGACCTAAAATATTCTAATTTGCACTAATGTTACGGAATCAGGCACACAAAAGAGTAATTTCTCTGAATAAATCCTTTTTTTTTTCTTTTTTCTTTTTTTTTTTTTAAGTTGACAGATTTAGATTTTAAACCTTCAAAGTATATTTGGTAGCCGTAATGGTTCCAGTAGCTTTGTCAGAAGTGCATTCGTAAGTTTGGGCCCTTTAATATTAGTTTCACTTCTTACACATTTAACTATATTTCGGGAGCTATTTAAGCGCCTCAAAAAATATTGCAATCGTTTATCCAGCAAAATATTATTTTTTTTATTATTTTGGGTCGTTTCTTGTAAATATTTGTTAACTATAGTGAAATTTTACTCGATAATTTTTTAGCTTTTAAATTTGTTTACAAAAAATACACATTTTAAAATTTTTTGACGACAAAAAAATAAACAAGCAAGCATATTAAATAAATTTTAAAAAATCAGTTTTTTAAATAAGTTTTTTTAGATATTTATTATTCATTGAAAAAATAAATAAGATGTTATTACACTGGTTTGGAAATCAAAAACTTAATGTATTATATTATAAAAAACAGTTTATTGTTAAAGATGAGAAATTAAATAACTGTTGTCACTCACCTCTTACTCACTGTGTGTAAGGCTAACTAATACAATTTAATTTTATCATCGATAACAGATGTTACATATTATGATAATAATATTTTTCAGGAGTTCACTGATAAGTAATAACATCATTACATTTTAATGGAGTTTAAATTTGCATATCTGTGCAAGAACATAACAAAAAGGAAAAAATGCCAACGTAAGTTTAAAAAAAAGCTAAGAAAACAAATTTAGAACAGAAAAAAATCTTTTAAATTGAGTCAAATAATACAGATAATCAGAATAATTTTAGCTGGGAAAGATTTTATAAACAAGAAGTACAATTTTGTGCTAGTACCTATTTTTGCGTTTGACATCACTATCTGGACAGGTGGAGTAGAATTTCTTAAGTATTTTTATTGTTCTAATCTAAATAATATTAAATGCAAGGAATTAGGATTAATAATCTAAAATTTAGAAGGATGTCTCAGGACAAAATGTATTATTTGTGGCTGTTCATATTTACTCATCTGATTTAGCTATCCAGTTGATGGATAGAAAAATAAGTTATTGCATCAAATATAATTTTTTGCTGAATCTAATGATACCAAAATCTATAGTACTTATAGTTTTGAATTACAAGGATTCTTTTGTATAAGTAGTACTCTTTTTTTGAATTGCACTTCTGAATTGTATGAATAAAGCCTTTATAACTTCTAAACTATTCCTCCTATCGATTCGTAAATAATCTAGAATCCAAAAAAGCAGTAAACTTTTAAGTTAAATGGATTAAACTATTAAGCAAACTATTAAGTTAAATGGAAATTAGATTCAGCAAATCTATTTTTTTGCTAAATCTAATAAGAAAATCTATATTACTTTTAGTTTAGAATTACAGGTATTCTTTTGTATAAGTAGTACTTTTTTTTAATTGCACTTTGCATGAATAAAGCCTTTATGACTTCTAAACTATTCCTCCTATCGATTCGTAAATATAATCCAGAATCCAAAAAAGCAATAAACTATTAAGTTGATCTGTTTTAAGTGACGTTAAGGGAACATTGTCGTACATTTTATTATGAGCGCCATGCCGAAGTATTGTTTTAGTTTTCAATACCTGAATTTGATTGATATCAATTTTCCGAATTAATTTATGTGTAGCAAGTTAGGTCTTTAAATTAAATTGATGTTATGAAAGTAATAAAACCTTAAAATTTTCCATGCAAATAAAGTGTACTTTCTTCATTAGTTTGTGCTGACAATATATATTAAGTTATGAAATCAAACACAAGCACGTACTTTCTCTGAATAAACATACCGTGTTTTAAAATATTTGGATTTTTGAACCAATCGATCTTTACAATTTTTTCAATCTGTAAAGTATCCTTCCCATAATTTCGTCAACAGAGCTGTCGAAATTTGGAATTTTCAATGTTAATCTTAATTTCTGCGTTCTTCCCACAATACCTTTAAAACAATTCAAAATAGTTAAAAATATTTGACGTAAAACTTTAAAACTCATTTAGTCAAAAATAATTCATTGGAAAAAACTATTTTCATATTTATTCATCGTTTTGTACTTTTTTTAATAATGGTCGAAATCTAAAAATCTTTCGTATTTGTATACTATTCAAATGAATAGTATACAAACTATTATCTAATTTTAAAGAATGTTGTTTTAAAATACAAAAGACAACATTTGAGTAAACTCAGCTTCATTGTTTCTGAGCAATAGAAATTTCTAAATAGGTAAATTAAAACCAAAAATGTCTAAATGTCCTTAAATTTTATTTTGTCATAAACAATTTGATCGATTCCATTCAAAAAATTTGAATCTTGTTAGTTAATGCAAATTAATGGGTGTAGTTAAAATTGGTGTAAAAATTTTGATACATCATAATTCAAAAAAATCTCAATCCTTTTTAAAATTTTTTTAGAAGAAATATTTGTTTTACCCTAGTTTCTATGTTTCGATTTATCTCGAGAACTTTTGATTCGAAAGTTTTTTCACACAATCATAATATTCATTTATCCAAGGATATATTCACATGAATAATTATTTTTATCACTTATTTATAATTTTTCTCAATTTATTTAATAAGAGTGTCAACAATTTGAATTGTAACTAAAATTTTAATTCCATAAATGAAATCTATTTAAAGTATAATATTATATGGCGAAATGCAAAATTTGAACAATATTGATTGAATAACTTCTGAGTTACACAATTTTATAATACCGTACATTGAAAATTTAACTTCTTGAGAATTATTTGACCAATTTCGTCCAGATATTGAATTTTTTATTTTTAATTCTTCAGTTCAAAATAAAGTAAAAATGTGTCTGCTTTGTGTACAGAAATGCTTCAACTCACTTAAAAATCTCTCGAGATACAGCAAAATAAGGCAGGAAGTAAAATTAATATAACGTGGTCTGAACTTCCGATCATCAAAATCTGTGATTTTGTGATCGGATGTTCTCCGGTTTAACTAATGAAATTATATTTCCTGAGGCTATTCCCCCCTCCTATTTTCAACATCAAGAATCCGAATCCTTCGAAAAAATGTGATATTTATTCCCATAAGTTCTGAGGATTAGTATGTATAACAAATCTGCAAAGTAGAATGTGCGATTTAGTATTTCCAGGAATTATATAAAATTTCAAATGATAAACCGTCAAATTATGAAATATGATTATTTCATAGTTTTAATTAGTAAGATTATGATTTATCAGATAGTTATTTTTGGTCCAGTAAATTCTAGACTAGCATCTAGTAAATTGTTATTCTCATTTTGTTTTCTTTAACAAGTGAGGCATGATGTTTTTTGTAATTGCCAAATATTATTAATAACAAGCACATTAAACAGGATTTTAATCCTTCAGGGGGGGGTGTGAGTCATTTACCTGTGCGCCATTTCCCAAATGGAATTGCCCGGTATTCTCTACACTGATGAATTTTTACGGTAAAAGATTATTGTCTGGTATTCCCAAGTCATGGGCTATTGCAGGATATTAATTACCCTGATGCTTTTCGTTATGGAAAATTACTTATAACCAAATAATTCGAATAATTTAAAATTTCTGTTTTATGGAGAAAAGAATTGATTTATTGAATGAAGAAAATGTTAATTTTCTTTGATTGACAACTCAATAATATGCTTTTAAAAATTGGAAAGTGGGCAAAAATAATGCAGTGTTTCTTTCACCGTGATTCTTACATTTAATTTTTTCCCAGAATATTATTTGTTATTGTATACAATGCCAAGCATGTCTTGAAAGTACTTTTGGAGCATACTTCATTCATTGGACTGGCTGTATTATTCTCAAATTTTATGTAACTAAAGGCCCCTAATTTTTCTCTTATTTAACATTTTATTTTAAATATCTGTGAAATAAACAATGAAATAAGCTGTGTGAATATTTGATGGACTACAAAACTACCAAAAGAATTTAAATTATATCTTTACTATTATTACAGAGGTTGGTTTTTGGTTTTATTGAGGTTTTTTGTACTTTGTCTAAAAAAACAAGTATTTCTCACATTGCCAGTGCTTCTACTTTATCCTAATATATGTTTAATTATGTACATTATATTTTCTGAAAGAAGTTCTTAAAATTGAAATATTTTGTGGCTATTAAATAAGTGTAAATAGAGTACAAAGGTATAAATAGAGCAGTAAAAGGTGTGATGAATATTTTGTGGTATTTTTACATAATCAATCATTTATTCAAACCATTCAATTTATATGAACTTTAAGGAAAAGAAAAAATCATTTCAAATTTCATTTCGCTTTTATTGAAAATCTTCCAATTTTAATGAATTCAAATCTCTATTCTGAAGATTATTGCCTGGTCCGCATTTGCCCGTAAACTCTCTAGGCAACTGCTGTTTGTAGATCCATTTCAAGTTTTCATCACAAACTATATCATTACCTAAAATGTAATTTAAAAATTATTATTATTTAATGGGGAAAATGATGTTTATAAATTTAATTATAAACCTTTAAATTATTTATTTAATTTCTATTCAACATGGAAAGGGGCTTTACACCCATTTTTTTTTTCAAAAATAAACTAAAAACTATGAAAATAATTTTTTTTTATAATTGACATTTGAGTAACTGACATTTATGAAACTCATAGAAACGTATGAATAGAATTAGTTGTATTATATGCCTTTAACTACATGTATGTACTCATACGTTCGGCGTTTTTGTGCCTGTGTGTGCCGGCGTGTTTGTGCCTTTCGGCGTAGCATGCCATGCGACGAAGAGAAAAATTGCGTCATTGAAATTGAATTCGTCACTACTTACACGTCTCACTAAATCCCGCGATTATTTTCATATTTCTGAATATCTCTAAGAGGTGGCGCAACTAGTCCACAATTTTCATGATCAACTCTTCACAATTTTCACAGTGAGATTTCGAATTGAAATAAAATCATTTTGAACTTTCTGTATTTTCGCTTTCATTAGTGTTAAAATTTCACATTAGCATTAAAATTATTTCACTTCATTAGTACTAAAATTAATTATTATTAATTCATTATTAGTATTAATTAATTATTATTAATTGTTTCATTAGTGTAAAAAATATTTTTCAAAATATTTTTACCTAATTTTAAAAGTTATTTTTTGCAGAGATTTATCTACAACCTCTTAATCCAATAGAGTTAATAAATATGTTATCACAGTGTATTTTTTTAAGATAAAACTTGGATGCATTGCTGTTAAAACTAGAGATGAGTGAACAAGACATCGTACGTTTTACCACCAGTAGACCAAGCAAAAAACTGCTTGCATACAAAAATATTTTGCATTTTCGAATTTAGGATAGAACATATATAAATTTTCAGAAATAAAAAAAAATGCTTTTTTGGGTCGGAAATTCAAAAAAGAAAAAATTCGACAGAGAATCCGACAGAAAAATCTGATTCTATCAAAATTAGTTTCAATTACTTATCTAGCAGAAATTTAATTCCCTCAAAAAAAGGGGTAAGCGTACCGAGGAAATTAAGGGAGTTTTCAATTATGTATGTTAACATTGAGTTATGATAACAATAAGTACCAATTATGTTAACATAACTGAGCTTTTTGTCACAAAATACCCTGGGTATTATTTTTTCTGAAAAAGCATTGTTTAGTTCATACACACAGTAAATCTTTCAGGCATTTCATATATAATATTCGTATAAGACCTGAGTTTTGTACCCACATTTCAACTTCTTAATGATCACACGATTTTAAAGAAAACGCTAACATTTAAATAATAAAATAAAAGTAATTAAAGTAGTAAAAGTCCCTACTTTTTTATTCAAGAAAATTTTTGAAAACTAAGTGTTTGTACAATATAGGCATTACATTTTTTAATTTTTGTGTTAATTTTTCGCTTGAAATCTAACTAATTAATTATAGTTTAAAATAAACGAACTATCACTAAATACACAGAAAATAGTCTGTTACTGCCATCTGATGTACAGATTGAGAAACATACATGATTCCGCGTATTTGAAATAGAAATGTTTCAATCTTTTTGGCGCGTTACTTTTAAACACTCCACCAGCAAAATATCATCGGCACGACAAATAGAGCATGAAATTTCACCCCGTCATTTCAAGTGGAACGAGAATGAAGTAATTAATGCGCAGAACGATAAGGTTGATACAATTAACTTAAAAGACTACACAAATTCCACTTAATTACTTACTTATACTCACTTAATTATTACTTAATTAATATTTATACTTACTTTATCACTCACTTAAATATCAAGGCCAATTTTGTAAAAACTTTCATTTCAGTTTTCATTGCCGAAAATAAAATAAAAATAATAAAATAAAATAAAAAACATTGTTTTTCTAATTTTTTGTGCTAGCGTAGTTTATAAAATGTCATACAACTTCCTTAATTTTTATTTCTTTTCATATTCATCATTAATAAGTTTGAAAAGCTAAGGCAAAAATTCTAAGTAGAATTTTTATGTTAATATGCCAGCTTTAGGAGATATTTAAAAAAAAAAGATAAAGATTTATCGTTCCTCGTGACAATTGAATGAGCTAAGTTCACCAGCAATTGGTCTTGCGAACTTAGTCCGGAAAAAGCACATTTCGTTTGACAAGACAGCGCCTCAAGGAAAAAAGTACGATTCAGCTCAATAGATGGCAGCACTATTCGTTCAAGACACTATTTCTACAATTAAGACATAAATCTGAAGGGGAAGAAAACTTTCTCCAGGTTTCTATACCCATGGTAATACTCAGCAAACAAACACAAAATTTTACGAGAATATAAATCGCTTATACTCGATATGACTTACCAGTTTTAGAAGATCAAACCCTGTTCTTTCAGACCGAAGTTCGATGTTCTAACCACTGGGAAAATAAAGATTTAAAAATGAAAAGATAGGAGAACTTACCATCAAGAAACACTGACTGAAGGTGACTCCAGATTTTACCCCAAACATTTTCTGGAATGGATTTTAATTTATTGTGAGAAAGGTTTACACGTGCCAGTTTTGGAAATCCTTCAAATAAGTCTGATGGCAGTTCTTCAATTTCGTTTGAACTAAAAAATCACATTTGAGTTTTTTTTATCTAATTCATTTATATTTAGTTATATACAGTAATAATTTCTTCATAAGCAGGATGATTCAGGACTATAATTTACGAACATACATGCTGGTCAGGAACATCACCGCATGCAAGAATCAGCAGTCAAAAACGCAATGTTAACGTGCTACATTCCACAAGACCTAATACTACAAGGTTAGAAGCAAATCATTAAAAGTGGCAATTTTTATTATTTAATTAATGTTTTATATAAAATTTCTGCCAAAGAAATTTTTTTAAAATAAAAATAAATAAAAAAATGTTCATTGTTGAGGCTTGCAGCTGCAACAACGATGAAGTATTAGTCGGTGAACGTTTTCAAGAATACAATTTCGAATGAATGATTCGTGAATCTGTAACAAGTTTGCATTTGTGTTAATTGTAACATGATTTTTGTTTGTTTTCATGTTCCTGACTTACATATAGATATTGGACTATTAGTTCTGAATCACAGGTACACTTGTATGAAATATATAAATACACTGGTTATCATAAATTAAGGAAAAATCACAAAAATAGCGATAACTCTTTCAAAAGTAAGCCAAACCGTGCAAAATTTGCATATGTTGTCCACTAAGAGTAGCTGAGTAAAATTGCAATATGCAAATTAGTGGCGCTGCACTCGGCTTACGTCATCTGCCTGGAGCATAAAAGTCCAAGTTTGAGAGAAAGCACACAAATTTTNAAAAACTTCAAAATTTAAGAAAAAAAGGTGATATGCTAGTTTTAATTTAAATATTAAGTGAGATGAAGGAAATTGCGATTTCATTTTTAAAAGTTCCTTACATTAAGGTTGGAAGTGAGATGTGCTTATTTTAAGGAACAAGGCTAAATGCTTTGCTGTTAGTCTACTTCTGAAATGATTTTTTCTAAGGTTCGTAGTTGAAAACTCTTGCTCACATATATAAGATTAAGCAAACATGCACTGATTTTCTGAGCATGAAATATTAAATTTTGGAACCTAGCTTTTGGTAATGATTTGTAAAACTTTGGAATAGTATTTAGAAACGACTGCTTCATATGATTGTTAGATTGTCCGCTCTTTGGAGCGGAAACTAGCCTCAGCTCCTCGAGAGAGACAAGCCTCAGCTAAGTCAGCTCCTCGAGAGAGACAAGCGCTAGTTGGAGCCAATCTGCGGCTATTCTATAAAGAACTTCTGCTTTCAACATTTTACCAATTGAAACTGTCTGAGCTAACTATATCCATCAATTTATGTTTTGTAGAACAAAAATAGAGAAAGCAAAAACTTCATCAGTACTTTGTTGAAAAAGGAAAAACAGAAATAATTTTAAACACAGTCGACAAGAAAATGGATGTATATTGTTTATATTTGCCACTGGTCGGCAAATAAAAATTCTATCCGTGGGCCAGATAAAATCTTCCAGAGGGCCACAGTTGGCCCGCGGGCCGTAGTTTGCCCATCCCTGTTCTAACCACTGCGAAAATAAAGATTTCAAAATAAAAAGAAGGGCGAACTTACCATCAAGAAACACTGACTGAAGGTGACTCCAGATTTTACCCCAAACATTTTCTGGAATGGATTTTAGTTTATTGTGAGAAAGATTTACACGCGCCAGTTTTGGAAATCCTTCAAATATGTCTGCTGGCAGTTCTTCAATTTCGTTTGAACTAAAAAATCACAATTGAGTTTTTTTTTATCTGATTCATTCATGTTTAGTTATATGCAATAATACTTTCTTCATATACAGGATGATTCAGGACTATTATTCACGAACTTACATGCTTATCAGAAACGTGGCACCATGCAAAAATCTGCAGTGAAAAACGCAATGTTGACGTGTTACATCCCACAAGGACTACTACTACAATGTTATTGGCAAATCACAAAAAATGGCAATTTATTATTTAATTACTAATTTAAATAAAATGTCTGCCACAAAAAAATTTTTAAACAAGTGTTTAATGTTGAGGCTTGTAGCTGCAACAACGATGTAGCATTAGTCGGTAAACGTTTTCAAGGATACAATTTCGATGGAATGATTTTTGAGCATGTAACAAGTCTGTATTGTGTTTTATTGGCTACAACAACGATGTAGCATTAGTCGGTAAACGTTTTCAAGGATACAATTTCGATGGAATGATTTTTTAGCATGTAACAGGTCTGCGTTGTGTTTATTACATCACGATTTTGGTTTATTATCATGTTCTTGGCCTACATGTAACATTGGACAAATAGTTCTGAATCAGCGGTGCATTTGTATGAAATATATGAATGTTTAAAACTATTAATTTAAAGAGAAAATGTGTTCTAAATGCTTATTGGATGAGTTATTATGTATGGAAATGAGTAAAAAGTATTTTCAAGAAATATTTTTTTCTTCACTTTTTGAAAATTTGGAGCGTAATAAATAATATTATTAAAGTTTGCTGTAATCTTAATACAAGGCTGCATAACCGTATAACCATTCCTCAACTTAACTATACGTTATTATAATTCATCATCGGTTTTGAATAATTGAAATTACAGTGTGGGCGAGTATAAAATACATTATTTTAAGGAACCTATGCTTCAAATTTATTATCTGAAGCTAATTTTACCCGAATTTATGTTAATAAAAATAAAATATTTCTTTCAGGCTTTAAAGTTTCAGTTTACATGTTTTTTAAGCTAGTGCATAAAGTGTACTATAAAATCTAATTTCTCTTTCTGACGATTTCATAGTTGTCTTTCTTTTAATACTCAAAAATATCATACATTCAAACTTTTTTTTTATAATTAGTCTTTAAAATTTCTGATTCAGACTCTTAGGCCCGGTTTGACTCAGTCAGAGTTTAGAAACAACAGCAAGCTACTTTACTGATACTGTTTCACTTTTTTGAAATATCTCAAGCTTTTTTTTTTCGTATTTAAAAATTGGTTTATATCTTTATGTGCTATTATTACTTAAACAAAAAGCAATAATCATAGGGGCTGAGAACTACGCATTCTACTTTAAAAAAATTAATGAAACTAGAAGCTTTAGTACCTGGCGCCTAGTATCCAAAACATTTTGGCTGGATTTGGAAACATGGATCTGGCTAGAGTTTTGATATTGTTGCTATCCACATACAATTGCTGGATGTTTGACAAAGAAGCAAAAGCTTTATCTCCAATTCCTTTAAATTTATTACCAACAAGAGATATTTGATCTAAAGAAACCGGTCCATCTGATAACCAGTTATTTCCCAATACATCAAGATCATTATTACCAATGGCAGCGTATTTCAATTTCTTCAAGTGATTCAGCCTGAATTTGTCCATATTTGTGTGACTGTAATCAAGGATTGTATAGAGGTACAAAATCTCCAAAGAATCCTCGAGACCGCTAAAGGGAGTGTCGCCAAATGATTTTACAACGCAATTCTCAAAATTTAGCTTAGTGGATTTGTGACCTTTGAAAAAGTCCGATGGAATATCACCTAAATGTGACCTTAGGATGGAGAAATTTACGTCATAACCGATGGTGTGTTTCACAGCAGGTTCAATCTCGTGAATGCTGTTGAAGCCTTCGCAAGATATTACTGCTTGACCTTGTTCAACTGCACATGAGCAAGGATATACTAATTCTCTGGAAGGGCAGTCAATAGCAAATGCTGCCACGGTGATTGTGAGAATCTGGAAGAGTAACAGCATGTTTGGAAGGAAAAACCTACAAAGAAAAATTTATTGCACATTTGAAATCGTATGTTATTAGTTTAAAGTTAGACATTTTAGTATATAAGGTGTTTGTAATTAAAACGGGCCTAATCAGAAGCATTTGCAAGGCGTTCTAACAGTCGAAAATGCATAAGCATTGGTAGAAAAACTAAGTACGATATGGCAACGAAAATTCTGCATAACAAATTTTAGTTCAAAAACTAGCCAATTGAGAAAGAATTGGCACAATTTAAAAAAGAACAATGTAAAAATTAAACACGCACATTAATTAAAGTGGTTTGTATTAGAAAAACACAAACGAATCGAACAAAAAACAGGAGTGAAGGTATTGTTTAAATTTATTATCGTCCAAAAGAAAATGATCAGTAACTAAAAATTGCCATGATACAGTGATGATACTGCTATCAAGCAGAGCAGTAGGGAAGGAATCATTGAGTCTGAATTGAATAAAAGTTTGCAGAAATAAAAGTCTACAATCAGTTAAAAGTCAGGTTCTTAAATTGAAACGAGAAAAAAGTCTTGATCGTGTGTTATAATGCATATATAAGACATTTTAAATATTTTAATTACTGAATCACCAATTTGGTATTTAATAACAAATATGATATTTTTAATTTCAAGTTCAACTGAAAACTTTTTTTCATCTTCTTTTTGCTTGAAATATAGGTATTCTGATTATTCTTCAATCTTCTTTTAATTCTTTCCAATAAGTATAATAATGAAATAAAGAGAAAAACATTATTTTTATTTAATTTTTTTTTAAGATAAGATTTTTTATATTTAAAAAAAGTAATAATAAATCTTTGCAATAATAAAAGAAAACAAATTCAGATCAATGAAAAAAATTTCTTATTTTTAACACAATTTATTAATTAATTATGTTAAATTAACTGCTAAAAATACGTAAATTAATATAACGTTTATGTTAGAGGTTAATTTACATAATCACTTACGTAAAATAGCCACTAAAAGTTTATAATTATTTTATTGCTTTTCAAAACCAATGAATCAACAAATTAATGAATGAATTCTTCCCTCAAAACTTACTGAAAATTGAATAAAAACTAAACATTCCTTAACAGGAAACGCTGGCCAAAACTACAGTAGATTCCTTCAACAAGGTTGCGTATCTAGAGTAAATTTATTAGAATAACGTAATTTTTAATCGGGACTTCAAATAATTCTCCATTTACTAAATTTGTTGTCCTCCTATAACGAATTTTTCAAATATATATCTTTTGTAATTTCGTCCCTTTTGATGAAAATTGCAATTAGAAATTAAAAATTTTGGAATTAGTTTTTTGATATAATTCCCACTTCCTTTTTAGAAGTAGACGAAAGACTGTTAACTAATGCATGTAGATGAAGAAATGTTGAGCAATGTTGCAAGCAACGATAAGGACTCAAAAAGTAATAGTGATTCCCAAAATAAAGACACGATACAACAAAAGCAACATTACACTGAAACATTATGATGATTTGAAATAATTAAAAGAGATTTCCAAATGGATAAAAAAACTCCCAATTTTACTTTTTGCTCACTGAATGATTGAAAAATGTGATGAACAAAATGAATTGATTTTTATAAAAATTTACCTTCATGAAATGCTAGGCAATAAAAAAGAAAAAAAGTCGAATAAACATAAGTAGCATAAAAATATTGACACATCGAAGAAACATAGAGACATAATATTCTCAGAATTAATAATTAGTCAACACTTTTGGCCCTTTTTTATACAGTAAAAATTATTATTTTTATAAATCTGTCATACGAATTAGCATATGCATAATCATATATTTTTTACCATATTCATAAATATAATCTAATCTCACCGACAAAAGCCTTTTGTAGCATTTACTTAAATTACTTCAAAAATCTTTAACCTCTGTATAACAAAACACTTCAATGGTGAATTTTGCAACTGAAACTAACTGAGATTCCATTGTAATATTAAACCCGAAAAAACACATTTGCATAATTAACTTTAAACTCGATTCTTCAGTTAAGTTTCTGAAACTTGGTGGAGTTAATGTTTAAACCAGAGGATTGATATATTATTTATTTTCTCAGAGAAAGAAGAAATTTTTCACAATAAGAAAATAATTTGAAATTCAAATTTCAAAAATTTATAAATACTCGTGTTACTCACCTGAAACTCACTGTGGGAGAAACAAAATAAAACAAATGTCTTTTATCATCGTTAACAGATGTTTCATATATATTTTTTTCAGGAGAACATTGATAAATATCACTGAGATTTATAATCAAATTTGAATTTGCATTCGCATATTCTTTCAAGAATTGTTTATGAAGATGAAAATGTCGGAAAAATTACTGTCATAAAAAAGAGCTTAAGAAGCAATTTAAAATTAGACAAAAACATTATAAATTGCTCACTTAACCCTTTGAAGTAGATGGGATACCGGTCTCTCTTTTATTCAAATTTTTCTGATACTTTAATTACAAGCAAAAATATGTTTTGGTATTTTTTAATTATGCAAAACAGTCTAATAGTTACTCAGAAAAATCTGTTAGATTATCTGAAATATATTTGTACTAAAATATTTCAAATATTTATAGTTTTACTCATTCCAAAATGTATCGATAACAGATTTTGTAAATTAAAAAAATTTCAATGATGTTTCTCTTAGATATAAATAACTGCAAATAAGTGCAAATTTAAAAAAATATTGTTTGGAAGTGAGCCGTATGTGGAAGATTTTACCTTTAACACAGAAAACTTATTCCATAACAATAAATTATTAAAATGCTATATATAATATTTCTTACTTATTTTGGCCTAAATTAATATAAAATAATGAAAAAAGTATGAAGACTATGTTTAAAAATTCTGCGTCAATTGTTCGAACTTAAACCAATAAAGACATTAAAGTTAAGGTTCTTACGAAATATTTTGAAAACTTTCTCTTTGTTAATACACGAATAAATGGGTATCCAAAAATTTCTTATTTTTCCAATTATTATTTTTCAATAACTCTTGTTTCATTTTATTCATTGAAATAGGCTCGATTAAGTTTAGTTTCCGAATTTTGCATAAAATTGTACGGTCGCTTAAAATTATGAAATTACATGTTTTAAGTACATGTTTTAAAAACACAAATTTAAAAGTACATGTTTTAAAAACACATTCTTAAAAGTACATGTTTTAAAAACACATTCTTAAAATTTATAAATCGGTAACTAAATTCAATACAACACATATCAAAAAGAAAAAAATTTTTAAAAAATTCAAAAATTTTGTTTTTTTACTGAACAAATAATGAAATTGCGGACATGTAATTCTGCGTATGTTAACATAGAAGAAATAAAATCCTTTTTCTGGCTGAAGGGCGCCTTAAGTAAAAATGTCTAAGCTGATATCACTTCACTTACCTGTCCCCACCGGCAATGTCCTCACCGATGGTCAAATAGTTATAAATATACCAATAGAAATAAGTTTCTATTGGAATGGAAATACGAATCGTCCAATAGGAGTAGTGAAAACAACTAGTTGCCACGCAGAACCACAAAATAATGCCATTTGATTGATTTATTCTACTCAGTGATACAGCTCAACTTCTGGCTTGGACATCTCTATACACTTTTTATGTCACATTAAATATTCCTAGTTCAAAATTTCACAAAAAAGATTAGAAATTTCACGGTATTTTAAGTATTATACCTTTTTATTTCGCCGTTTAAAAAAATGCTTCTTTCAGTAAAAACGTTAATTTTTTAAATTTCTGCAATTTTAAATATTTTATGACAAATTATATCTAAATCAAACTTTGCTAGAAATACTCAAAAAATAAATATTAGCATAAGTATTAAATAATATCTAAAGATAGGATACCTGCAGGTCACATGGTGTGAGTATTTCGATCCCGATTGGTTGCTGAAACGGAGCATTTGTTTACATTAGCAACTGTTATTTCCATTCTTTTTCGAGTAAGACAAACCCGCCAAGTATCAGTTTTCGTAAGTGACACATTCTATATTCTTTCACAAAGATTTCAATTCTTTCACAATATATTTCTTACTTAACACAAAGATCGGCACGAAACAATGTAGAACGTAAACAAACTAATTATACATCGAAGTTGACAGGTACATAAAACAAAAAATAATTACGGTTACAATTAAACTAATAAACAAATAATAAATCTTAATTAAGTAAAAGACGTAGACCAGAAAGAATTATACTTAAACTAATTCGATGAGCGATACGGCACTGTACTTAATTAACTTCACGTTAATTAATATTCTAACTTATAGGGTGAAACTTAGCTCAACTTGAACACGCTATTTTGCATATAAATGATCAGCTGGTGCTGACGTCTTAGGTCATATGTGTGGGTATCCGTGATCTTCTTATTCTTGAAGTGTAAGTATCGAATTGTAAATTGTTAGAGATGTATTGTAATTCTTTTAAAAAATTACGTTAAAAAAATTTCACATTTTGAGCTTTAAACTACGTTGCATTGTTTCAGAGATGAAGACTTGCTGGAGTTAAATTCAATTCCTGAATCCCTAGTTTGCGGCCTCCATTTTCTGGCAATAAAATGGAGTAACAAAAATTATATAACATGCATAAAGTATTATAAGCAGGAGGAAGGTTAGTGTGTCAATTTTCATAATTCTGCTGATAAAGCTTACTAATTATCATCCTGAATAAATTTAGTGCAATCTTATTACAATTTGAATGCTTAACTTCATTTTGGGTACATTGGCTGATTTGAATTTATGCTTTTTTTAAAAAAATCGGGGGGGAGGGGTTTCTAGAAAAACTTATTTTTGTCTACACTAGTCCCATGATTAAGGGTTAGTGGAAACTGATTATTCAATCAATTGTTACTCATAAAAAGGGAACTACTTTTAACCTAAAAATACAGTCTTCAACTAGTAATCTTAATGATATGTTTAATTGATATTCGAGCCTAATAAATATCAATTTATAATTAATAAATGGACTACAGAGGGGTGATAAAAAAAATTTAGCCTACTTATGGGCTCCTAGCAGCCTTTCCTTTCAACCGATCAAGAGGAGATTTTAGATAATGTTATTCCGAGATAAAAACTCGAAATCCTGGTACCAGTTATAGGTAACCGATTTCGGTCATAGGTTCAGGAACTCGAAATTTTCAAATGGTAACACCTTTTTCTTAGTTTTTACCCATTGGCAAAATGGGTGTTGTTTTGGGAATGATGGCGTGCTCATCTTATTTGGACGTCACCGCTCTTTTCAACTATGTTCAGGTGCAATAGTTAACAGTGCGCATGCGTCGTTATTGCATGCGTTGCTATGGCAACCGCTGATGTTTGATAATTTTTTTAGAATTCTTTTTTTCATTTTTCATTTTGTTATGCATTAAGTTGGTGAGTTTATTTTTGACATATGGGACCAGAGTAATACCATAAATACTTTTTGAGTTGTGAATAAAAGAGAATTTCATCATTAGAACGATATATTTGAAAAATTAGACAACAACCATTTTGCCAATGGGTAACCTGCGATCACCTTTCGGTGATCACAATTTTTTAATTAGTTAATAGAAAAATATCTTAAATTAAATAAACAACAGATTTGTTTTTAATTGATTACTACCCAAAAAGCAAAGATTGTTTCTTTTGCTTTCTTTCTATTTTATTTATTTAAATAATGATTAAAAATTTTTGAATGCTAGCAAAAACTTTTACATTCTTTTACGCAGGGATCTCCAACATTTATAAACTAGCCGAATATTCCAGTGTACTGGTTGGACTGCAGGCACCTTTTTGTTTTCTTTTTTTAATTTTTTTTAACAAAATGTGCAGTGCATTGAAAAATCTTAAAACGTATTAAAAAGACGGATGAATAAAAAAAATGGATGTGCCATGCATGATGTTCAAAAAACAGCTCTGCGCACGACTGAATAAACACAAATCGAGTTGCACAGAGAAACTTTTTTATTTCCCATGAGCTGCACAATCAGTCTTCCCGATGAGCAGACCTAGTGCGTTCTCCAGAAGTGGTATCCACTCTTTCAGGACCGCCCCAATAGGTGGATATCATTGGCCATGTTAATTTGGACGTCTAGCTTCTGCCACACTAGATGGTAGCACCGAGACTCTATTTGGATGCTAAAGTCCACTAGGAATTTTAATTTTGCCGGAAATGCCAAGAGCAAATAAGGCACTCTATGGATCTTTTACATACCGAATAATCATACGACATGCCGCTGAGGATTTTCTGCATTCCGAAAATCCGGTGTCTGGGCTGGGAATCGAGCCCGCAGACTTTGGCTCTGAAGGCCGATGACAAACCAACTGCGCCACCCAGCCACACTAGAGGAACTAGATTTAGATAAATTGCCCAAATTTCTAATGACCATCCTATAGATTTCAACAATGTAAAAAAAATTGTTTGAAAGACAGCCTATACCATTTACTATACTTCGGTCGACTGAGATAGAGCTCACTATCTCTTTGACATGGGCCCAACTCCTAACCAGCCTATTCCGGCAAAATAAAAGCCTAAAATGTGGAAAAATATTTCCAAACAAATGTAATGCTTTACAAAATTAATCTTATTTATTCAATAAATACTTTGAAAAGCTTTGTGTAAACAGCCATCTTTATCATAAAAATTAAATATTAACACGCTTACATATTGACAGGTATAAAGAGTCACAAAACTATGTGCCCATCGAAATCATTAATATTCTTAAGTTCAATGTTGGTTCATTTTAAAAAATCAAATCTTTTGTGTCTGTTAAGTAAAATCAAAATAGGTAATTAAAATAAGTAATTAAAAAAGAATTAATAAGGATATTAATTTGCAGCATATAAAATAATAAATAAAAATAGTCTCAAAAAGCAATTAATGAGCAAATCAAAAATTTGTCTACGCTTAAGCCTTCTATGTTTTAATGTGCTGCATTTTAGTAAATTTTCGTAAAATTGGCAGAATTTTCTATTATTTTATACGAACAACTCCCTACTTTGAGAATAAAAGCCCAGTACCCGTAATTGTAACAAAGTAAGAAAAGTAGAGTTAGTAGAGTATAATACTCATTTGCAGTCAATGGGTCAATGGAATGACCACAGATACTAAGCGAAAAAGTTTACAGTTAGACCTATAAACTATTATGCTCTTCTATTTTTGAATAAATATCATCGATGTAATTTTTTATAGAAAATTTCAAGTTCGGAATAATTTTCAATACCTAAAAACGTCGAAAGAGGAGATCGTAACATAGTTAAGTTTAAGTTGAATTCACAAGAACAATTTTACAGTATTTATAATTTTATAATCTTATCTAGTGAGAAAAATCAATAAAAAGTGAGAAAAATTAACAAAACCAGTGTACCAAGGAAAAAATTATTAAATGGTGTCTATATGCCGAGAAAAAATATGAAATTTAAATAGAACGGTTACTTATGAGAAAGATTTGGCAAATATATTTTTGAAATATTTTTATGGTATATTTCAGTAACAAAGTACCGTTTTCAAATGCGTGAAGCGTAGGACTGTCCTAAAAAATTATACATACGCAACACTAATAATTTTTCCCTCGCATTTATTGTTTAAGATAATCAAATGTTCTCAAGTTGGGTGCGAGAATATTTTTGTGTTAATATTTTTTCTGAAAAAATGCATAGTTGATTTATACACTTTTATATTTCCTGGAAAAAAGTGTATTGCATGAGTAGTGAGCACTTAGTGCATACAACATGAATATGAAGAGAATTCGGCATTAGCTCCTGTTTATTTTCCCACTTTTAGGGATCTTCCTTATGTGAAAAATTTTTGTATTCTTATTGAATTTTTTTGTCGATTCGAAATTCCATACATTGTATGTTAAGAATGTTCCAACTTCGGAGAAAAAGAGCAACGACTTCAATCTTGTAATTATTTTATTGAAAATCTTCCAATTTTAAAGAATCTAAGGCTCTGCTCTGTAGATTATTGCCTGGGCCGCATTTTCCTTTAAAATCAGCAGGTAACTTCTGTCTGTATATCCATTTCAAATTTCCGTCGCAAATTATGTCATTTCCTAAAAATACAAAAATAAAAAATATGTAAAGAAAACTGTGGTTGTTCACTAGGAGTAGTAACGGTTAACAACTGATGGAACAATAGCTAAAAGAAAAACACGGATTTCTACGTGGGGAATAAGATGTCTACCAGTACAATTATTAAATTCCTATTTATTAGTATATAAGACATATTATCTGGATTTTAACTTGAAGTACGTTTCGTTGGACATAATTGGTTTGACATAATTGGTCTCGGTTGACATAATTGGTTGTTGAGCCTCACATTAGTGACTTACGTTCGTGATCTGAACACGCCCACCTCGCCAGAAACGCCTGTCTAGACATGATCATGCCCAACTTGATGGATGTAGCACAGTAAACTTAATTATCTAACCACGGCATTTGACTAGCTATTGCTTTGCCGTTGCTGGTTAGTAATGGTGGAGAATTCGTCAATTCTTTAATTTTGTGATTTTTTTTTTCAATCTAAATGCTACGTCCTGAAATGGGGTACGTCTTTCTTTTACACAAAGAATGTTGGATTGACATAAAAGAACATGTTAAAGATTTAAATTTAAGAATTTGAAGTGATAAGATATTACTTGATTAAAAACTTTGTTCGCTTCAAAAATATACAAGATTTGCCAGATGTGAATGTGAAGAAAAAAGTGATTTGAAATTAAAAAAAAATTTAAAAAGTTGCCAATGAAAAATGGAAAAATAAGGGTGAAAAACAAAACTAAAAAAAAAAAAAAACACAGAAGGTAAGAGAGAAATGTCGTTAACTAGTAATGACATTAGTTCCTCACCACCTCCACATAGCACGTGGAAATACACTTTACTCTGATCTGCCCCCTCTCGGCCACTGTGGTTTTTCAATTTCTGTTTCTCAACTTTTTTCTCTTTTGGCTACCGTGGTTTTCATAGTTTGGTTTCTCATCTTTATTTTTCCGTTTTTCATTTTCAACTTCACATTTTTATTTCAAATCACTTTTGTTTCTTCACTTTCACGTCTTTCAAGTCTTGAAAAATGGCGCCTATTTTGGAAGAGCTTGAAACATGTCAGCTGTAATTTCCTATTTGTATATTTTTAAAGTGAATTAAGTTTTTAATCAAATAATAAGAGAACATGATTCGCTATCCCTTTATTGAAAAAAGAAGAGAAGATGTTCGGAACTTACCTTCAAGGTACACTGAACGAAGCTGACTCCAGACTTTACCCCAAACACTTTCTGTTATGGAGGTTAACTTGTTTTGGGAGAGGTTCACAATTTTTAGACTTGGATATCCTTCAAATGTATCAGATGGTAGTTCTTCAATTTCATTTGTTCTGGAAAAGAGATAGTAGAAAATATGTTTGTAGCATTTTAAACAATCTATATATATTTCTCTTACACGGCAACAATAAAAAAGCCTCATTACAACTCCCCGAATGGCAATGCTAGAAAATCGACCAATGATTGCCGCTAAAATTGTCACATGCCAAATTTAGCTGAGATGGCTCAGCATACAGCGTTTTTAAAAATGGAAACTGAAATAACCAAAGAGAACATTAGCTAGGCAGAAGTAGTCGATAGATCTCTATTTTAGTATTTTATCGAAAGCGCTTTTTTTCACGAATTCATATATTATGAATTCATTTGACGTTTTTTGATTTATATCACGAATTTATTTGTCTTACTAGAATTTATTTGTTTGTGCAGGTTTTTCCATTGCAATTCACTTCTTTCAATTTTTAAGAGACTTAATTATAGCCAAAATTTTATATCAGTTTTAGAAATTTTATCTTAAGATTTCATACTATAGCACATTTCTAATAGGTTTAACGAATTACATGTCATTTATTTGAATTCAAATTTATTTTAATGACTTAGTACTTACTAAAAAGAAGTAATTTTTTTAAAAAAAAAAGTTTTTATATGGATTTGAATTATTGTTTTGAATTTTTAGAATTTTGTGCATTTGCAATGTACTTAAGTTAGTAGCGAGCGAAGCGAGCTTGGTTTGCGAAGCAAATCATATAAGATTGCGTAGCAATTTTCTGGGTTGGCGAGCATTAGCGAGCAGGGGGCGCAGCCCACTAGTACTGTTACATTTTCGTTGTGACTCTGATTAGATTGGACATCACTGTGATTAGATTTTTCGTCTCTAGTCAGTGTTTCCTAGATATATAAATTAATTGATCCATATTTATTTGCTTTTAATAGTGTTTGTAAATAAAAACTTCCCTATATATGAACTCCGGACGCCTTTTCTACAAAACCTATCTAAATGAAATTTCAGAGAGTGTTGTAGCACTAGACAAAGATGAAGAGACAAGAAGCAGCATTCAAATTATTATGCATTCTTCATTTTCCCGAAGCAGACAGAACTCAGTCAAAACAAAGGAAATATTTACTTCTTCTTAGTCTCGGGTTGCAGTTTTCATGCTGTAGATATAATCCCAAATAAATTTTGTACGTTTTACTATGGAGACACACATAGTTACACAGTTTAAAGAAAAATGGGTGTAACCTTTAAATATTTCTCAAAGTTGATCGATTTTGTTTACCCTCATAACGATCTCAAGCCAATATCTTCGCATATCAATATCTGAATTTCATTTCGATTGCTGCAGCAGATAGGCCACTAGACTTTCATGAATTAGGGAACTCTGGAAGACTATACTATATTTTGAAAAGTAAACGTTTTATGTTTTGCGAAAAGAAAATATATTTAAAACTTATGATGGGGATAAACTGAAATGCTTAAAGTAACTTGAGTTGATATGTATATATCTACTGATACCTACTGAAAGCTTGAAATATTCGATTAATTCAAATAGTATAAATAAGTTAGATGCCTCCCTAAGCGAAAATAACATAAAACTTCAACAGAAAAAAACTCATTTCACAATACTGAAAAAAAAAGGTTCACCTAAAGGTAAAATTAAAATATTAGGTTGTTCGGAAAGTAATTTCGCTTTTTCCCAACAGAGGACTTCAACGTACTTTTTCACAACCAAATTTTATTTTTAAATCGTATTATAAATTTTGAAAGCTGATATAAGAAACCTTAATTGTGGAAAAGTTTGATTGATTCTACTCAGTAGTTTTTGGTTGGTACCCCTTCAAATATAGAAAGTGAAAGACAGCATTTACGGCATATTTTACTTTTTTACTATCGAAAAGATAAAAATGCTGTTAAATAAACCTTATGTGTATGGAGACGATGCATTAACAGTAAGCCAGTGCCAAAACTGGTTAGCAAAAATTGATAAAGCAAAATTTCAATTAAGATGCACAAAAATGCACTACGTTAATTTAGGCTGATGAAAACACAATAAATGAACTAATTGACGCATATTGGTGAGATCACTGTGAAATTAAATTTGTAAAATTTGACCGTTCATGATCATTTGAGGCACCTAGATTTATTCTCAAAGCTCGGTATGTAGGTTACTCCAGTTCTTAAGGAAAGTGCTCGCCAACCCCCGAAAATTGCTACAAAATCTTATATTATTTGCTTCGCAAACCAAGCTCGCCTCGCTAGCTACTAGCTTAGGAGCATTGCAAATGCACAAAATTCTAAGAATTCAAAACAATCATTCAAATCCATATAACAACTTTTTTTTTTAAAAAAATGACATATTTTTAGTAAATACTAAGTCATTGAAATAAATTTGAATTCAAATAAATGACATGTAATTCGTTAAACCTATTAGAAATGTGCAATGGTATAAAATCTTAAAATAAAATTTCTAAAACTGATATCTCCTTAAAAAGGTTAAAATTTTGGCTATAATTAAGTCTATTAGAAATTGAAATAAGCGAATTGCAATGGAAAAACCTGCATAAACAAATAAATTCTAGTAAAACAAATAAATTCATAATATATAAATTCGTGAAAAAAAGCACTTTCGACAAAATACTAAAATATAGATCTATCGACAAAGACTACTCACTTCTGCCTAGCTTATGCTCTCTCTGGTTATTTCAGTTTCCGTTTTTAAAAGCACTATATGTTGAGCCATCTCAGCTGGATTTGGCATGTGACATTTCTGGCGGCAATCATTGGTCGATTTTCTAGCGTTGCCATTCAGGGAGTTGTAATGAGGCATTTTTTTGTCGCCGTGTAAGAGAAATATATATACAGATTATTATTTCATCAGTTCCATTAAATGTTAATAGAAAGAAGTATATTTGTTATAATTTTTAGTTATAATTATTATTAATTCCTATAACCTAATAATTGATTACTCAAAAAAATTTGTTTTCCTCATTTCATACGATTTAAGAAAGCATGCAAAAAGGCGGGTTTGCATCGTTATTTAATGAGTTGGCGATGTTGATATACGTTAGCGCTAGAAGCTTGGCATCCACTTGGCCTACACATAGATGCAAACATGTTCTCCATGGGAATAATGTTTTTTTCTTAGCTTGCAACAGAGTATAGAATGGACAATATGTAATTCTATAAAATATTTATTTACTATAAGAAAATCGTCTTTTAGTTTCATGAGGAAAAAACAAAATTACCTTCCAAACAACCCAATAGTTTTAAAGGCACGTTAATTTGTAAGCATTAATTAAGATATTCACATATTTCATAAATAGAAACTCAACTTAAAATATTAAAACTCAAATTTATGCAATTTTGTGTTGTGACTTTATTTATGCTTGCATTATATTATTAAAAAACCTAAAGACATTAAGAAAAATACTTATTGAACGTATTAAAATAACTCAATCTTTTGTATTCTACCAATATAGTATTTATTAAAAAATTTAAGACACTTTTTTTTTTCGAATCAAAGTAATTAGTAACTCTTCTTTTATTTATTATACTCTAGTTCTATTTGTAATTTTCAAGTTCATAAATGAAGTTTATTTTAAAATATGTTGTTAATTATTATTGATATTTACGAGTACAAAGGTTGAAATTTAATTTGAAAAATCGCTACAATACGCTTCATACTTGCTCTAAAATAAAATAATTCATTAATTGAATCCAAGAAGAAATTATTCTCAACAAACAATAGAAAATAAATGAAAATAATAACCAAATATCCGAATTTTCCAATATCCGAAGTTGTGTTTTGGATGGATTTGGCAACATTGATCTGGCTACTACTTTGATATAGTTATCATTATTGCACAAGTTTAAACAAAAAAGTTAATGCTTTTTCTCTACCCTTTCCAATGTAATTTAATATTGGAAAGATATTGTTGATACATTAGTTTTAATACATGATATATTGGTGATAAGCGTATTGTAGCATTTTTCACTGAAAGGTAAAAATAATGCAAACATTTTCATACTTAGCTTCCAATACCCAAAGATTTCTAGCTGGATTTGGCAGCATAGATCTGGCCACAACCTTTATGTGGTTGTTATTTACAAATAATTGCTCAAGGTTCACCAAAGTAGACAACGCTTTATCTCCAACTTTTTCAATATTATTTGACTCTAGGCTTAGTTGTTGCATTGACGCAGGTCCATCTTCAAACCATCGATTTCCCAATTCAGCAATATCATTGTGACCAAAAGTGAAATATTTCAGTTTCTTCAGATGTCCCAGTCTGAATGTATCCGTTTTTGTCACACTCTGATCAATTCCCGTATAAATGTCCAAGATCTCTAATGAATCCTCAAGTCCACTAAATGGAGTGTCCCCAAATGAAAATACTATGCATTCCTGAAAACTAATCTTAACGGATGTGTGGCCTTTGAAGAAGTCAGAGGGAATAGCCCCTAAGTGCGAACGATAGAATCCGAAATTTACGTTATAGCCGATCGTGTTTTTCACAGCAGGTTCGAGTTCAGATATGCTGTTAAATCCTTCGCAATTTATTGTTATCCGACCTTGTTCTTCAGCACAAGAGCAAGGATATACTTTATCTTTCGGTGGGCAGTCGAGAGCAAGAGCTGCAACAGCAAGGGAGAGGATTTGGATGAATACTAGCATGTTGGAAAAAGAAGACCTAAGGAAAATTAAAATTGTATATGTAAAACCTATTGTTATTAGTTTCAAGCTGACAATTTTATTATGCAACTTTGATTTTCAACAAACAAATACCAATTAGCTTAAGTTTTAATCACTTAAAATTATTTTTAAATTATTATTTAAAAGACGTGAATCTGGGTAGTGAGGTAAAAAGGATTGATTTATAATTTTTAATGCGGATAGCAATATATACACTTAAAACAATGTAATGAGTGAACAATTATGAGAAATTGTGAGCCAATGCGACATAGTGATTACTTTTATAAATTTGATGCCTTAGCGAGATTCACTCTTTTGTCTCAAAGACATCATACTTAGATCATTCAATTGTTCAGGATATGCTGTAAAAAAGAATCACCTCCCCAGGCCTGCACACTCAGACGTAAATCTTTTCCATTGAGCCTAATTCCATTTAAAAATTTATGCACAATCATTATTGCAAGTAAACATGCTTAATTTTCCTGATTATTATCATTGATGGTACAGGAGTATCTAGTAATAAATTATTAGTCACATTAAAAATATGCAAAACTGACGAATAACGTATTAAGTACTATCTAGCAAACCTGGAACTGCAAGCGACAAGACTATGTCCCCATGAATCAATAAGCATTCCTGCACTTTCTCACTCCATTAAAAACTGCCCCGAATTACTAATATAAGTTTTTTGGTGTTGTAGTTCATTTACGTCGCACTACAGCTAAACAATGGGCTATTGGAGACTGCCTGGGAAACATCTCTTAGGATGATCCGAAGACATGTTATCACAATTTTGACCCTCTGTAGAGGGGATTGCTTCCCCGATTTGGTTGCCCGCCGACCTGCACGCGAAGTCGAGCACTTTACGGTAGAACAGTTTAAAGAGGACCAATACCGCACACCCTCGGTCCCTATGCAGACTTATGCAAGTGGTCACCCACCCGCACACTGATCGCTGCCAGTGATGCTTCACTTCGGTGATCTGCTGGGAACAGTGTCTTAACAACCAGTCCACTGTGGGACTACTAATATAAGAATAGTATAAGAATAATATAAAAGGTATAGGATGTAATATAGGGAGAATGATAAATACCCCGATTATCAAAAATCATCCTCTTCAAATCCTTACAGAGAATTTAATACTTTAAGGGGTTTTTTTCTCATGTTTGTTATAAAATTGCTAATATACTTCTCCTGAGTCGTGATGGCTCAAGGGATAGAGCTTTCGCCTTTCAGTGAGGTGAGCCAGGTTCGATTCCCAGCAATATCTGGTGGATACTAATTCTGCATCGGGCTTGCGCTGATCACAGTGTTGACGTGAAATATCCTCAGTGATAGACGAATCATGGGTTAGAGTCCCCTCACCGTCAGGCTAACCATGGGAGGTTTTCGTGGTTTTCCTCTCCATGTAACGCAAATGCGGGTTAGGTCCATCAAAAAGTCCTCCACGAAGGCGATTTTCTCCCAATACTTGATCTAGCTGTTCCCTTGTCTTCTCTATTGGGTTCAAAATTACAAGGCTATGGAGTTGAACATTGGTAATCGTAAACTTAGAATTGGGTCTTCTGTTCAACCCCGGTTATAAAATAAAATCTAAAATTGCCCACTGTGCACCAGTAGTACATCGTAGATAAAGTACTATTTCTACTCTCATCTCATCTCTATTCTAATAAAGTTAAAGCAGACAACACGTTCGCAAATATTCCGAAATAGTTAGTTATGAAAATACTCTACCTTACAATAAGAGGCACTTTTAGTTTTTGATATTGTTTTTTTATTTCTCAAGAATTGAATATTATTTTGATGATTATTTTATTTTATGATCATTTTGTAACTTCAAAGGTCAAACAAATTTTCATACTTAAGAAAAAAGTTTAAGACTTTCAAGGGTTTGAGAGACTGCTAATAAAGCACGAACAAAAACAAGTATTTTTAGAACACCCTATGCCAGGAAATATTAAGCGGTTATTAAATAAAATAAAATATACTCCCTCGTTATGGTTCTGAAATTATTTTTAAGCCTGTTAACAAATTTAAACATTCTTAAAGATCCTATTTGTTTTTATAATCGCAGGGGCATTTACCACATTCCTCTTTAGCGCGACTTTTGCTACATCGGACAAACTAGTCACGGTTTGAAATTTAGAATTAAAGAACCTTTTTACTAAAAATCATCAACTTCTGTACATTGTTGATATTTAAACACTTGTAAAACAGTTATATCACAAACATTACACAAAATTTGTAACTAAAAAATACCGAAACTTTTTCAAAAATATTTAACTTTTTCAAACTATGCACAAATAAAATTTAACCAATTGTAAATAGTTTTTTAAAAAATTTAACATAGCAAATTTGAGTTTTTTTGTTACTTTTGAACAATTTTTTAAACATTAATTATTTTTATGTCTTGTTTTTTTTTCTTTTTTTTTCACAAAAAGGAGTGAAATAAACAGAAATTTGTTTTTACTTCAAAAACATCTCGATCTAAATTACTTTCATACTTTATATAAAATATGAAAATGAACTTAAAAAGCATTATTTTTAATAAATGTTTCCAAAAATATTAATTATAATTCAAATAACTGAACGAAAAAAAAAACTTTTTTTTCTTTTTAAACTTTCTTAAACTGGAGTGTACAGATTTTGAATAAACAGATCCCTTAATTCTAACTATAAGAACAAGAAGTATTTTTTATAAAAAAAATAAAGACTAAAAATAAAACGTCTTGCTACTCACCTGGAAATCACCGTATGTGACAAGATAATACAATTAGCATTAATCAGATTTAACAGATGTTACATTCTAATTTTTTTCAGGTTTGCATTGATAAATAATGTTATTACTTTAACATTAAATTGTACCTTCAACATCACCTTATCTAGAAATATTTTGTGAAAAAAAAACTTAAACGATAGTAAAAAAATACCCTAGAATAAAGAAAAAGCGTTCTTAACAATATGTGATTTGTAAAAAACCGAAAGTTTTGCAATAAATTAATTGTTTTAAATAATTTTGTCATAAATAGTATACCTTTATTCCTTAGTGGCATGGAATTAAGAAATTCGAGAATTAAAGAGTATGTAAGCTCATATATGGGCAATGAAAAAATAAGTAATTAATAAAAGAAACGCGCGTACACTTCGCCTATATGGATTAATAAGCATTATTTTTAAATTAGCTGAATACCCGTTCCTCGATAAGTGTGAAGAGCAACAGTACAAAATCATACACAAAACTGAAAGATAAATACAACACAAATATAAAGGCTAAAACAATTCTAATGATTTTCACTTATAATGATTTGTTACCCTTCTCGGTGGTTTTACATTATTAGATTAAGTAAAACACGTATTTAGTACTTCAATCCATCAGAATAAAGATTAAGTACACTCAGTATTATCTAATATAATGCTGTAGTTCAAGATAAGTCATGTTTAAAATTTACAACAACCAACCAACTCTTCCCTATGTTTATATCTTCGAGGGCCGTTAAAAATCTATTTCCACAATATCTATCATAAAAGTGAACAGTATTGGGGCATCTTTAAGAGACATCAAATTTTCTCATAAAATACGCTCTTATAAAAGAGTATATTTAACACCTATTAAAAGTGCAAAATTATGACAACGCCAGTAGTATGAATAACCAAAACAAAGCATCATTGGTGTCAATATTAGTATGACCACTTTTTACAATAACGAATAAATGCATTTTCTCCATTAATTTTTCTTTTTAATTCATAGCGTATTTTTTTTATTTCAATTAGCACACATTGAGCCGTGGTGGCTAAAGGGATAGAGTTCGCTTTCTAATGAGGTGAACCGGGTTCGAATCACAGCGATACGAATTCTGTTCCGCACCCGGCTCGCACCGACCACAGTGCCGAAGAAAAATATTATTAGACGAATCATGGGTTAGAGTTCCCTTACCGTCAGGCTAACCATAGGAGTTTTCTGTATTTTCCTCTCCATGTAACGCAAATGCGGGTTAGTTCCATCAAAAAGTACTTCATGAAGGCAAATTTCTCCCAATACTTGATCCAGGAGTTTCCTTGTCTTCTAGATTAGGTTGAAAATTACAATGATGTGGAGTTGAACATTAGTTGTCGTAAACCCATATAAATTGGGGTGCCTGCTCAAAGACGGTTATAAGGGAAGATAAAAAAAACTGCTACAGATTATCAAAATTAATTAGGCATCATTGATGTCAATAATAGTTTCGCAGCTTTTTTATGCTCTCTTAAACTAATTAGCTTATTGTTTACTTCAATTACTAATTACTTCCAAATTAATTTTCATTTGCATGAATGATAATATAGTCGTCTTTTTACGTTTCTTTTCCATGAATAAATATCATTTCTCAATTATTTTTTATTCATTTTTCCATTATTTCTCCATTTTATAATAGTACTCATTTTTGCAACAAGTGGAATGTCGGATTTTTTTTAGTGTCTACGCCGGTATACCTGTAATCCAATACGCACATGCATACGCACACCGACACTCACAAATTCCTCATTTTATTACATGTTTAGATAAATTAATAAATTCCTTGCGATCATTTGGTTAATGGTTTTATTTTAATTCTATAAATTCTAATAGTTTTTTATGTAACAAGGAAAACAAGGGTAAATTTTCCATAGCACCTAATGTAAATTTCGATTTGATTTAAATGTTTTAACTTTCCTCTATTTAATGTGTTCTCAAATTTATTTTCTTGTTGAATGTTTGCTAATAGTGTACCATTAATCCTTTTCAACTGTCAGAAAAAGAAATACGGATACGTTTTATTGCTTATATTTATTGCACAAATGATTTTATCGATGAACTATCAATTTATTACGCTTATATTGTCATTTATAATAGAACAGCCTCATATTTATTATAGAACATCATTGTTTTTCCATAAAGTTGATATGAAACTCTACTGAAACTGTCACTAAAATACATTTTTAAAATGACGTCACATTATTAGGCTTTAAGCCAATCACTTTTCAATCATCTTTGTTGAAATAGAAGCTCCTTCAACTGCAGAACTAAAGTAATATATTGATAAGCTACACCTTTCTAAAGGTGACATTTTAATGTCAAACTACTCCGCAGTAGTGTTTCCAGATATATACTTAGCAAATTTCCACTCGATAACAGCACAATGCGTTCACAGAAACATTTTATTGTCTACGAAGAAAACGCAGCGTTTTCCACCAAAAGAACACTTACACGAATCATTTGAAAATGAGGAATAGCGTGATATTTTCTGAAATCTTTCAATTGTAAATGAAGATTTCATTTCATAAACTAAAAGTATTTCAAATTAGTAAAATAAAAATATGACGAAACTTCTTAAAATTGACATATTAATTCTTAAAATATGGTGCATAAAATCTTCAAAGAAGAAATTTATACTTAGTAATGCTCGTTATTTTAAATTTCACATCTAAATATTTAACTTAGCTTCACATTTTAAAGTTCTAATTTTTTACTTTGAAAATTATGTCTCCTGTCTGTTTATTTTATAACCATAGTTGAACAGCCGACCCAATTTCGGGCTTACAACTACTAATGGTCAACTCCCGTAATCTTGTAGATCTGATTCAATCCAGAAGACTTGAGAATTCCTAGGGAGAAATTTGCCTTTGTGTAGGACCTTTTGATGGAACTAACCAGCATTTGCGTTACGTGGAGAGGAAAACCACAAAATCTTCCCTTACTTAATCTCACGGTAAGGGACTCTAACCCCTGATCAGACTACAACTGAGGATATTTCTCGTCAGCACTGTGGTTGATGCTAGCTGCGCACTGTATTCGTATCGACAAGCCATGTTCAATCGCAACTAATTCGAATTGCTGGGATTCGAGCCCGGTTTACCTCATTGGGAGGCGAATGCTCTATCTTTTGAGTCACCACGTCTCTCTTTTGCCTTATTTTTAAAAATCGTTGTAAGCTTTAAAAATTATTGAAATTACTTTTTTATATTAATTTTGTTGATTTTGCAAAATGGTTAAAAATTCGCACTATGAGGTAGTATGAGTTTTTATGTAGAACTAAGTTATTGCTGCCCACGCGAACTCGTATAGACAAAGTGGATGCCTACTATAATGAATAAAATAATTTCATTATTTATAAGTTATAAACCATTTTGCTTTCTTAATTTCTATAAATTTTATCCCTTACAATCTAATATTTTTAAAGCAGAAAAAGGTTTGATAATTTTCTTCAAGCATTCTTATTTCGATTATTCACTCGAAATGTTCATCTTTTAAAAACATTGTGTAAAATATGTAGACTCTACAGAAAAATAAAGAACAACTTTCAACAATGATTTATTTTATTCAAAATCTTCCAGTTTTAAAGATTTCAAATCTCTGCCCTCAAGATCATTTCCAGGTCCGCATTTTCCATCAAAAGTATCCGGCAACTTCTGCGAGTAGATCCATTTAATATTTGCATCACAAACAATATTGTTTCCTAAAAAGTAATTTCAGTAATATATATTATTGACTGGGATGCACGACATTAATGATAAACTTTTAGATTGCTAACGCAATATTGATAAGTCTTTGAGTAACTTTGTCCTAATTTTTCACTTACATGAAATTTTAGTATACAGTGGCCTCTCACCTATGCACCACTTCTTTCATATGACTTTTTCATTTATACGACAGTTTTCAAAGGTCCCTGCTCATTATATATATAACCGTCGTTAAACAGATGGCCAGTCTCAATTTTTGCTCTTACTGCACTAATGTTCAACTCCGTAACCTTGTAATTTTGAACCTAATGCAGAAGGTTAAGAAACTCCTAGATTAAGTATTGAGAGAAATTTGCCTGCGTAGAGAACCCACTGATGGAACTCACCCGCATATGAGTTTCAAGGAGAGGAAAACCACGAAAACCTCCTATACTTAACCTGACGGCAAAGGGACTCTAACCCATGATCCGTCTACCACTGAGAATATTTTACGTCAGCACTATGATCGGTGCAAGCCGCATGCGGAATTCGTATCCACTAGTCATCGCTATGATTTGAACCCGATTCCCCTCATTGGATGGTGAGCACTCTATCCCCACGGATCCCTGCTCATTATATAGGAATATAATGATAATTATCATTCCTTTATGCATCGCTCTAAAAATAAATATTTCAATTATGCGTCGAAATTTTTCTTAGGATGGACAAAAATTATCTTTTTTTTTTCTTTAAAAAAAATTGCTTTTTTTTAGAAGAAAAAAAATTTATTAGACTTCATCAGATCACCAATAATTTCGTCAAAAGCCAATTTTATTTTTGATTTTATCGCATTTCGTGAGATGGCGAATGCCACCCTGATAAAATAAAAAATTAATTTAGTTTTTGTTAGGGTAGTAGCACCCTCTCTGAATAACTAGAGATGAGATGTTCCATCAGATTAAATTTAGGTAATGAGCTTGCCTATTTACGAACGATTACAATCAAACTCATTCTTGTTAACCAAGAATATTCAGAATTTGAGTTAAGTTTTCTCTTTTTTTCTTTTTTAGAAATTAATCAAGGCAACTGAGCAAGCAATACCTACTTAACTATCACATTAACATGCATATTTGACACGTTTTTCAATGAAATTAAAAATATAGTGAATTGAAAATTATTTTAACTACAATGCATAGCATATTTTTAAATATTTGATTAAATTATTGCTTGAATAGTACATACAGAAAACGCGTAGAAATTTTTTTATCTCGTAATTATATACTATAATTGTACGACCTCATAATGCTGGGATATTTAAAATAGAAAGATTAAGATACAATAAATATTTTTATGAAGAAAAAATCGTATAGCTACATTTTTCAGTAAGCAAAATTGAATGTAACTAACCTTCAAGATACACTGATTCCAGCTGACTCCAAACCTTTCCCCAGACATTTTCAGGAATGGATTTCAGTTTGTTTTCTCCAAAATTCACAATTTTCAGATTTGGAAATCCCTCAAATGCATCTGAAGGCAATTCTTCAATTAAATTCGATCTAAAATATATGTAAAAAAAATTAATTCGAGTATTTAAATAATCTATTTCGGGTTGAAACAAAAGAGACAGACAATTTAAAGAAAAAAAAAAAAAATAAAAGGGCAGGAAATTGAATTGCGTGTTTTCTGTTGCATGAGATTTTTGAGAAAACAAGTGCCATTTATTGAAGAAGCTTTTAACTAACTTTTAAACTTGGTGAGAATAAAATACCGTATTTCTTAAGCAAAAGAAGCTTAATTTTTAAGAAACTATATAAGCTCATAATTCCAATTTAAGCCTTTTTTTAAGTAAAAAATATTAAAACTTAGCTTATAAACAAAATGATAAAATACAAATAAAATGGCTTTTAAAGAAAAGCTTAAAGAGCATTGAAATTTATGAGGTAGAAAAATAAAATTTCCTTTGAATTATGAAGAGAAACTAGTACATTTTGTACTAACATTTTTATTTCTTTAGGCTGATACGGAATTCTTGAAGTCTGAATTAATTTCTGTAGTTAAACAGTCGTCACCCTAATCTTCTGAATTATTTTACCTCAAATCTCGTTTACGAAATCGGTATTGATAACTAAGCACTAAACTCTCAATTAACATTTTTGACTTCTAATACAATTTTCTGATGATTATTTGATGTTCTTATAAACGATTTACTCATTTTAAACTTATTTACAATTTTATAAAAAAAAATCATTTCTTAAATTTAATATATTTTATGGGCCAGGACAGCCTGTTTGGCGGAGAGCTGGACTGACGTACGTGAAAGCAGGAGTTCGAATCCAGCCGGCCGAAGACTCCCCATGTAGTAAATGGTAACTGGTGCACGTTAAATCTATCATGTTATAAAGTCCTCCATGTTCCGTAGCAAATAAATACCTCTGAGGGTACTGAATTGGAGATTGGTCGTTCTCTGTTTTAGGTCAAAATTGAGATCTGTGGAGGAATGAATGCATGAATGAGTCCATCATATAAGCGGATGTGACGTATGACTGAGGCAGAGGCTGAATTCTTTTCTATAGGTGGCGCTACTGGCAAACAAGAACAATCGCACCCCTTGGCTTTATAACCCACGACAACAACAGCAATATGCTTTATAAGAAAAATTAACGCATAAGCTTTTTTAAAAGAAAAGAAATTTTAGTTAAAAAATAGTTTTCATTTGTTTCTTTGTTTCAGAACCAAGCTATTTTACAAATACCTTCAACCTCCCTAACTGAGTAATTTTCTTTCAGAAGTTTCAGTCTAATCATTTTCATTATTGTTTTTTTTTCAGTATCGAGCTATAACCTTCGAGCTTTACCTTCAACCATTACTAGTTACATAAACTATTTTTCAAAAAAATGTCAATCAACTTCTTCAATTTTTAAATAAAACTGATGTATAAATGCAGTAAGTTAAATTCATTTTTCATGAAAGAGCACCACTTCCTTACCTTTATGATTTGAACCGAAAGAATAATACGAATTATTTAGTTAGAGTTTGAAAAACTACTACTGTATATTTTAAAACATAAGACCATCCTTGTTTAAGACAAAAGTGCGCTTTTTCTAAGTCTCTTATACATACCTACGTTTTTCTTACTCACTTAAAAGCTGAATTAAAAAAAGCAATAAGACTTGCTATTATTGTGAATAACTTTCAACTACCCAGCCATCTTCATTTATTTGTTTTCATGAAGTCCTTGTGATTCTCTTTTACTTCTTTTCCCCCAACGTTTTAACCAGTCGAGATTGAGTTCATCAATAATTCAACTTGGCAAAAAGCCAAAGTAAATCAGTCGTTATGAGCGAGAACTACTAGATTTTTGAGGCCAACATTGTTTAACTTTTTCTGTTCGTTTGCTGTTCTAATCGGTTGCTGCTTTATGAATAAAATTGAATAGTAAAAGTAAGTTTTATTTAAAAATATATATCCTTATTTATTACCAATTCTATACAATTATTGTTTTTTTTTAATTTTTATATTTACGTGTTTATAAGTTTTATATGTGTCGTTTCGCAATATTTATTCTAATGCTAGACTAAAAGCATATTTGTGGACAACGATCACGTAAAATTTTATGAATTTAACACCCCTTTCAGCTTTTGGATATTTTCCAAACATTTTCGATCTATATTCAAAAATATACAGTACATTCCCTTAAAAAGTGAAAAATAAAAAAAAAGCTTTTCATACTTCGCTTCTAATACCCAGAGAGCTCTCATTGGATTAGGAAGTACAGATCTGGACACATCTTTGATTTGGTTATCACCCACATATAATTGCTCCAGATTCACCAGGGAAGCTAATGCTGTTGCTCCAAAGCTCTCAATTTTATTTCCATCCAAATCAACTTGAGTCAGAGAAACAGGCCCACCTTCAAACCAATGGTTTCCCAATTCACCAATATCATTGTAGGGAGCTGAAAAATATTGCAATTTGTGCAGATGTTTCAAATTGAAGTTGTCCATTTTTGTTACACTCCTGTCGATGGAGGAATAAATGTACAAGGACTCCAGGGAGTTCTCGAGTCCGCTAAAAGGTGTCTCTCCAAATGATGTCACTACGCATTCCTCAAACTTTATCCTAGAAGATATGTGGCCTTTGAGAAAGTCTGAGGGGATGTCTCCTAAGTTACAACGAGTGAAATAGAAGGATACATTGTGACCGATGGTATTTTTGACTGCGGGTTCAAGCTCAGACAGACTGGAGCCTTCACACTGAACGATTGTATGACCTTCATCTTCCTCACATGAGCAAGGATATAATTTATCGGAGGGAGGACATTCGATGGCAAACGCTGTGGCAGCGAAGGCAAGGAAGAGCTGGGTGAAGAGCAGCATGTCGGAAATGGAAACCTATTGAAATAAAAATAAAAGGCCATGTTTAAAATATAAAGTCTGCAATTAATTTAAAACAATATATTTTCCTAAAAATAAATCAGACACGTGCTCTTTTCTTTTCTTTTTTCATAAAAGGAAACCTCGCTTTTTTTGACACATAGTCCTTAAACAGAGTTCCCTAAGCAATGGGAGGGGAAATATTTCAGCTGTGGGGAATGTTTTATGTACAGATAGATAGATAGTTTAATTAATTAATATTACAATTTTTACTTGGCACGCAATATAATTTTCAAATATCTGTTATCGCATTTAAAACTGCATCTCCCCTATAAACACCTTAAAATTGTTAATCTTTTGAAGCAGAATTTTCATTTAACATATTTTTAATATATTTTTAATTGTTTCATTTTCTTTTTTTCTTTTTTTTTTTGTTGTACTTAACATTTTACTAAATTAATGTTAAGAAATACAGCGTGAAACATCAGTGTCGTTTTACTGCATTAAAGTGTGTTAATGGTAAAATCTTGCAAACACTATTCACTCCAAAACAATAATTTTTTTCAAATTCGCCCATATTTGCAGTTATTTTGATCTAAGAGAAACAGTTATTCATCATTGAAGTTTCATTAATTTACAAAATCAATTATTGATAAATTTTTGAATATGAATGAAAAAGTAGATAAAATTACCTTTTCGGATTTTATATTTTAGTACAAATATAATTCCCATAATTTGACAGATTTGTTTTTGGTAACATTTAGCATATTTCTTAAAATTGCAAAATGCCAAACTACATTTTTGCTTGTAATTAGAGGGTCATAAATAATATATAAAAGGAACACCGGTGCTCCATCTGGGTTAAAAGACGAAAGAAAAAGGAAGGAATGTTAAACCATCAGTCAACATATGCAATTAAAAAAAGGAATACATAATTTTAATACGTTAATAGGAATTATCCTTGTACACTATTATTAAATAAATGTTTTGGTATAAGGCATTTAACGAGTTTCCAATGAAACTAAAATTTAAAAATCAAAATTGTAAATTAAGTTGTCACGATGACCGAACAAAACTATTAGCTTTAGTTTTTATCCCGAAACTAAACAGAACCGGAAACTAATTCTTTGAAATCAAATCTATGTTAATACCAATTAATTGCTTAGCAATCACGAGAGTTGGTAAGCGAGGCGAGGAGGAGCAAAACTCTATAGTAGATTCTAATAGGCAAATTAAAATATATAATTATACAAAACAATAAAGTATTTATAGAGAATAAAATTAAAACCTCTTACTACTAACCTGAAACTCCCTATGCTAAAGTTTAAAGTTGCATAAAGATTTTATAATTGTTAACAGATGTCTCGCTTTATTTTTTTCCGGTGTACATTGATAAAGATTAGCGTAATTACCTTAAAGAAGAGTTTAATTTTGTAGCCAAATGTCCTACTTTTAATATTTTTTTCAAACGAAAAGTGATAAGAAATATTCTAGCATGTGAAAAAAATTTAAAAAACAGTTTGAGATTAGCAAAAAAGCTATAAAAAGTTTTACCAGTCAGATAGAATCGATATAAGAATGAAATTTCAAGTTCGATCATCTCATCATCATCTATTAAACATTAATATATTGTGAAACTAAAGAACTAGATATATGAAGATTCTAAGCGACATTTTAGAGAACATGTATAAATTAGCCTTAAAGTTTGCTTCTAAGCAATAAGAAATAAAATTGACGACCCAAAATTATTTCTAGTTTGCAAATCAATTAACAGAATGATATATTTTCAATTAGATTAGGTAAACTCTCCATCCAAAATATTTTTAAAACACATTTAAACTGTTCGTGTCCTAGCGTTCACATTCTTGACGTCTTAATTTGTCACCCGCAAGATAAGTTTGGTTTTTTGAAATAACCGTTCGTCTTTGAAAGCATTGAAAACTCTTCCGGAACGATTCTACTTCAAAAAAGGGTAATACGCTGAAAAGTGCACTGCCTCAAGCAAAGCTTTTACGCGCGGTGAACTGCGATGTAAACAATATCATCTCATTGCACCACAGTGAACTAACTGATCGTAAGACACGGATTCCAGTTCATCACCGAAGTCAAGCATCACTGGCTGCCATCAGTGAGCGGGTAGGTAACAACTTTGATCAGCCTGTGAAGGGACGGAGGGTTCATGGTATTAGACCTCTTTAAACTGTTTTACACAAATTTTTCGAATTAGCGAGGGAACCACTCCCTAAGCAGAGGACGAAAATAGTGATGGTATGTCTTCGGATCTCGTTCAAGGATATTTTTCAGGTCGTCGCCGATTGCCCATTGTTTTAATGAGGTGTTCCGGGTTCGATTACCAACAATGGCTGATATTCGAAATGATTTCTTCTCCTGGCTCGCACCTACCACAGTGCTGACGTAAAATATCCTCTGTAGTAGATGGATCATGGGTTAGAGTCCCCTTGACCCATGGCTAACCGTAGTAGGTTTTAGTGGTTTTCCTCTCCATGTAGCACAAATACGAACTAGTTCAATCAAAAAGCCAACCACGAAAGCAAATTTCTCCCAATACTTGATCTAGAGGTTAACCTGTCTTCTAGGTTGGGTTCAGAATTACATTTCTACAGTGTTGCACATTTGTAATCGCAAATCCGGGCAGGTTTTGTGGTGCTTTCTGACTGCTGACCGCTCACTCTCTGGTCTAGTTCGATTGGATATGCTGTTGTAAAGGATTAGAATTATTCACAGATGGATCGAAACTTTTAGTTAAAAATAAATTTAAGACAAGATGAGCTTTCGTGGAGTATGTGGAGGGAGAACCTGTTGAAAGAAAAACCTTTCGCATCTATGATCACGTGTCCGCGTTTATGGCTGAATTATGGGTCATTCATCAGTCGCTTCGTTTAATTAAGGAACAACGAATAACAGATAGAATCTCAATTTATACTGATTCCCTGTCTAGCTCGCAAGCTTTGGAAAACAGCAACTTCAAAGAATAATTAGTTCACTTAATTAAACAATAATTCACAAACAATATCGTTTTTTATTGGATAAAAGCACATAAAGGCCATATGGGCAACGAGAAGGTTGATAAGTTAGCCAAATTAGCCTGTGATGTATCGACGGTCGAGCTGTTTGAAGATCCCAGCAGGTGGACTGCAAGAAACGTGAAAAATTTATTGAATGGCAGGAGAGATGGAGTTACAGTTTTACAAAGGGAAGGCACACATTCGAGCTCCTCCCGAAAGCTCAAACGAGGAAAGTCATGGGGAATTTCTTTTTAAATTAATTCCTAACTAATCATGGCTGTCATGGATAACATCAGACCAGGTTTTTCAGGACAGTTCAGTTGTGACGTACCTGTCAGCTTGTTGAGGATTCGGAACATATATTGATCCATTGTGCTAATTTTAAACACATTAGAAAGAAATTTTTTCATTCGGAAACCACCTATAAATTTATTAGGCAGCATTGGTCAAACCCTAAATTAAAAAAGGGAATTGAGGATATAGTCAGAAAATTGTTTAGTAACAAGGCACTTTCCTGAATCCTGATGGCCTCTTGCTGCCTATTGTTAGGTTTATTGATTATTGATTTACCTATCATGGTTTGATTTTTACTTGAATTTTCTCTTAAACTGCTTTATGGTGTTTTTTTGCATTTTTATTTCATGCTCTTTGTCGATCTCTGCCCCTATGTGATTCCTCATTTTTATCACTAGTGTTCCTAGAATATGTCTTTTTATCTTTTAGGAGAGACTGTTGGCCTTTGCACTGTGCATCAAAAATTATTCACCTAACTTTCAATGTACATACTCACTGTTATGCTTGTACATTTTAACGTTCGTTTAATTATACATTTACCATGTTAAAAGAAAAGAATTCCTAGAACTGTTCTGTCAGTTGTGATTATATTCTCAGTCGCAAACACCTTTTGTTTAATCATGTGTAATTGTTTCTTTTTATTAACTTTGTACCCCAACTGAAGATGCGGCATCAATGTCTCTTCTGATTGATATTGTTTATATTCATTGTATTGTTTGCATTTAGTTTATTTGTAAGTAGCATTGTTTTCTGGATTTCATCTTTAATATTCTCCTTATTCGTCAAAACTCTAAGTTGAAAATTTTGAATACGTTTGCTTATGCGATTGAACTGTTCGAACTATCGGTGTGTCACCGGATGCCCCCTTGTGGGGTCGAGGCGGGATTAATCTAGTTATTAGTTGTCGTAAACCCATATAAATTGGATCAAGTGCTCGAAGACGATTATTAAGTCAAATTAAAAAATTAGTACAGATTATTAAAATGAATTAATCATCATTGACGTCAATAATAGTGTGTCGTTTTCTTTACGCTCTCTTAAACTAATTACTAGCTTTTTTTGTCTTACTTCAATTAGTAATTATTTCCAAATTAGTTTTTAGTTTCATTAATAATAAAATAGTCGTTTTTTTACGTTTCTCTTCCGTGAATGAATATCATTTCTTCATCACTCATACTTTTCAAAACAGGAATTCATGCTTTTTTTACTTGACTTCAATTACAGTTGATTCAAAATCTTTTTTCTTCACATCTAATTATTTAACTATAGCTTCATATTTTTCAGTTCTATTTTTTTACTAGAAGAATTATATCTCTTGTCTATTTTTATTTCATAACCACTGTTGAACAGCCGACCCAATTTCGGGCTTATGACTACTAATAGTCAACTCCGTAGTCTTGTAATGTTGTTCCCAATCCAGAAGACTAGGGGACTCCTGGATGAAATATAGGGAGAAATTTGCCTTCATGGAGGACCTTTTGATAAAACGAACCCGCATTTGCGTTGCATGGAGAGGAAAGCCACGAACACCTTCCATGGTTAGAGGTTCATGGTCCCAACGGCAAGAGGACTCTAACCCATGATCCGCCTACTACTGAGGATATTTTACGTCAGCACTGTGATCGGTGCGAAATGGATACGGAATTCGCATCGACCAGTCATCGATAGAATTCGAACCCGGTTTACTTCACTAGGAGGCGAACGCTCTATCCCCTGAGTCACCATAGATCTCTCTTGCCTGTTTCATAAAAATCGTTGTAAGCTTTAAAAATTATTGAAATTATTTTTTATATTAATTTTGCTGACTTTACAAAATGGTTAAAAATTCGCACTATGAGGAAGTATGAATTCTTATGTGGAACTAAGTCATTGCTCACCACGCTAAATACGAAACGCTTGCTTATGAAAATCATTTGTGCTCACTATAATGAATGAAATAATTTAATGTATTTATATGTTATAAACCACATTGTCTTCTTATTTTCTGCAAATTATATCCTTTACAACCTAACATTTTTAAGACAGAAAAATGTTTGCTAATTTTCTTTACGTATTCTTAATTCGATTGATCCCTCGAAATGTTAATCTTTTAAAAACATTTGTAGAATATGTAAACTATAAAAAAAAATAAGCAACAACTTTCAAACAAAGATTTATTTTATTCAAAATCTTCCAGTTTTAAAGATTTCAATTCTCTGCCCTCAAGATCGTTTCCGGGTCCGCATTTTCCATCAAAAGTATTTGGTAACTTCTGTGAGTAGATCCATTTAATGTTTGCATCACAAACGATATCGTTTCCTGAAAAGTAATTTTAAAAAATATAATTTTGATTGGGATGCAAGTTAATCACGACATTAATGATAAACTTTTAAACTGTTAGTGCAATATTGATAAGGTCTTGAGTAACTTTGTCCCGATTTCTCATGAAATTATATTTTTAATGAAAAATAGGCAGAGTGTAAATAAGAATATAAATTATAAAAAATCTAGTTATAAGGCATCTATTCAATGCGTAGGAATCGATACTCATGGTATGAATTGAATTCAAAAGTTAATTTGTTTAAACTAAGGCTGATCTAGATCAGTAATTTAGTTACATATATACCCAATATACTAGAATGGACTGTTACAAAAGTAATATTGCTTCTGTAATTAACATCCTCTAAGTAAACAATGTTCGAAGCTGCCTGGTGCACTTCGTCATTACTTCTATTTATATCCTGTCAAAGTAATTAATAAAAATTTTATGTTTACTTTAAAATATAAAGTATGATTTATCCCGTTTAAAAATCACTAGCGTCTTTTATTTTAGCTTTAGAAATCCCAGGAAAATAATTATTTAGTATTTTCATAATGATCATTATTATTTTCATAAGTTAGATATGTTCATAATAATTAATAATCCTCCTTTACTTGTCTCTTTTAAACACACAAATGTTGTTTGATTCAGGAAATAATTATCGTATTGAATTGAATAATTTAAAATTCGCAACACCTTTCAGTAATATATCAAAATTCAGTTTTCTATTCCAATTCTACTGATGCTTAATATATAATCTTAATATGGCCTAGCTCATCGCACATATAAAACAAATAGCAGATGTTT